GGTGCATTGCCAACATTAAAATTAGAGAAACCAAAAGATTGGTTAGATGAAAGAACACCTGTTGTTAAATTTGGTAGAGTTAGATTAGGCAAGACTTTATCAATGCCAATTGTATTAAAGAATGATGGTTAGATTCCAGCTACAGTTAAATGGGATTTGGCAGCAGTTAATGAACATTTTAGATTTTTAGATTAAAACACTTTTTCTTTAACTCCGAAGACTACAGCTACATTTAATATTGAATTCACTCCAAAAGATGTTGGAATTAAGTAACATTATTTTGTAATGTAAACCTTATTGAATCCATATGAAATTACTAAAGTTGCAGTAACAGGAGAAGCATTTTAAGAAGATATTGTATTTGAAAATTTGGATGACGAAGTTCAATTTGGAGATTGCATAATTAATGTAGAAAAGAAGATACAGTTTTTCTTAAAAAATAATGGAACCAACACAATCAGATTTTAATGGAATACCTAAGGATGTGAAGATTTTTGCTTTATTCCAAGATAAGGTCATTTAAATACTAAGGAATCTAAACCAGTTGCATTAATATTTAAATCTAATCGTAGTATAATCCACAAATCATTTGCCTTATAATGTGATACTAAATAAATTAATAAGAAAACTTCATCAGAATGGGATGATAGTATGGCAACAACTAAATATGTAACATTAACAGAATATAATTGGTTAATGAAAAGGAGAGAAGAAGAAGAGGCTAGAAGATTAGCAGAAGAAGCTGCTAATAAGAAAGGAGCTAAGAAGGTAGATAAAAAAGCTGCTAAATAAGAAATAGTATAACCTCCATAACCTGAGCCTGGAGAGGAAGCTAATATTCCAATATCAGATCCTTTACCAGAACCAGAATATCAAGTTATAGATAAAAGTGATAAAAGTATGCCAATGAAAGTGAATGCAATAGCTGATTTTGCTAAATATGAAATAGATTAAAGGAGCATATATTTTAAGGAGACATTGATGTATACAACTAGGGTTCATTAATTAAAATTAAAGAACACTTCTTTAATATCAATAAATTATAATTGTAAAATAGTATCAGCAGAGACTGGAGCTATAGATCCTGGATATTTCTATGTTTATCCAAAATAGGGAAAGATAGCCAGTAATAGTGATGAGATGTTCACTATTAAATTTAGTCCAACTGAAGTAGATGAATCAAACGAGAGATTGTTAGTGATTTCTATAGATAATTTAGATCCAAATTAAGAGAAATTGATAGTTGAATTAGATGGTTAGGCAGAGAGACCAATATGTCATTTTGAGTTACCTCCTAGTAATTATAGAGATAAGAAACCAGATCTAGAAGCTAAATATAATGTAATTGAATTTGAGAGTTTGGGATGTAAAGTTAAAAATACTAAACGATTTTATGTTGTCAATCCAACATCTGTTGGATATGAATATGAATGGAAAAGAATTGATGATGAAAAGAATTAAAATGCTAACTATTTTAAATGTATCACTATAAAAGGTGTCGTATTATCAGGAAAAAAATCTGAAATTCTTTTTGAATATTCTCCTGACACATAAGGATAGCATGAAAGCTATTGGGTATTTGAAATTCCATAAGAACATATTGTTTAATACTTTCTAATAACTGGAAGTGTGGTTGAACCAAATGTAATATTTAATGTTGGTAAAGTCAATTTTGGACCTTTATTGGTTCAAGGAAAAAATAAAGAAACAGTTATTCTAAAGAATCTTGAAGATGTTCCATTGTCATTTTAATTTGATAAAGAATCTTTTCATAATCCAGAATATGGTGATTCACTTACAATAACTCCAGTATAAGGAACTATCAAAGCTCTTGGAGATTAACCAATTGAGATTCAATTTGCACCTAAAGTAGAGAGAGAATATAATTATAATCTGTTATGTAATGTAAAGAGAAGATAAAGACCAGTGACTTTGAATGTTAAAGGAATTGGTTATATTTTACATAATAATGTATATTTAAATGGAATTGCAGTTACTTAATAAAGTACAGTTGTTGAATTAGGAGATTTATATATAAATGAGAAATCTAGTAAATAGATTACTGTAGAGAATTAGGGTGATTTTAATTTTGATTTCAGTGTTAGAAAATCAGCTCAACTCTCTAATATTGTGATTATAAATCCTGAGAATGGTACAGTAAAGAAGAATGAGAAGTTTAATATTGAAATTAGATATTAACCAACCACACCTTAAAAATTAAATCAATAATTTTCTTTATGTATTTCAAGTGGACCCACTTACAATTTCTAATTGATTGGATCAGCTAAGAAACCAGCAGTTGAATTTTCATTTTTGTAGTATGATTTTGGACCATGTTTTGTTTTAAGATAACCGTTGCCCATTACTAAACACTTAGAATTGAGAAATAGAGATGTTTAAGCTATGGCAATAGAAGCTTTATATGAAAAGAAACCATACTTTGGTGTTTAATTACCTTCTGGTTAAGTTTTGTTACCTATTTAAATAGAAACACATAAGGATAAGAAGGGAATCATTCAAACAAAAGAATTGAATGTATTATAGATTCCAATTACTTTCACCCCAAGAGAATTAATAAGATATGATGAAAGTGTTATATTTGATATCAATGGATTATAAAAAGTTGAAGTTAGATTTACAGGAGAAGGAGTTCCTTTAAAACTTGACTTATTAAAGACAGAGTATTAATTTGTAGATTTTGGAATATACGGTGTTGGATAAGTAGGATCTGAAGTGATATCCTTGGTTAATAATTCATAAAAGATGGTCACACTAATATTTGAATAAAATTTATTAAAAGAATTGAAATAAAAATATTACATAAAGGTTAGACCAAAGAAAGAATTTGTAATTAATCCAAGAGAAAGAAAAGAAATCACTCTCACCTTTAAACCTTAATAAAGATTACATTCTTTTAAAACAGATCTTTTCTTTAAGATAGTTGAAAATAATGAAGTAAGAAAATTGCTAACAATCTCAGGAGCTTGTCATGGAATAGAATTAAAATTAATGGAAGATACCATAGGATTTGGTGGAGTAGTCATTAATTCAAGACTTACAAAGAATGTCTAATTAAGTAATTTAGGAGATGTTGCAGCAAAGTTCTAATGGGATACATCATTTTGTAAAAACTATTTCACTATAACTCCACTATCAGGAACTTTACCAGCTCATGAAGATTTATAATTTTCGATTACATTCCATCCTAATGCTATTGATAATGATATCAGATTTGATAAAGTGAAATGTTTAATCCAAAATTCAGATCCTCTATATTTGAATCTTTTAGGAAAATGTATTGAATAACCAAAGGAATAAATCTAAGAAGTTAAATTTGAAACTGTAGTTCGAGTGCCTACTTCTAAAAAAGTAATTGTAAAGAATCCTACTCCAAAACCTTGGAAAGTTAAAGCATCTGTTTCTGCTTTATTGCCATAATTTAAAGATTACTTTGAAGGCAAAGAATATGTTGAAGTTCCAGCCAATGGATAAGCAGAGTATGAAGTCATTTATAAACCTTTAACAATGACATCAAATCCTTAAATCTAAAATTTATAAGATTAACATGAAGGATCACTCTTCTTCCCACTTCCTGATGGATAAGCACTTCTATATAATCTATTTGGTAAAAGTTTACCACCACTTCCACAAACTGTTGATTCAACCATGAAAGCAAAAAAAAATACTACCTAAGTCTTATAAGTGAAAAATTGGTTAAAAACTAGTCAAAGATTTGAAGTAACATGGACTTTAGATCCTGATGATCCTTCCATTATTCTTAATGGAGCTAATACTTTTGAAGTATCTAGTGAAGGAACAAAAGAATATAAACTCACTATCTATGGGCTCAAATAAGCATAAAATAAAGTAACTGTTTATTTTAGGAATGCTATTACATAAGAATTTGTATTCTTTAAAATTGTATTATTTAATATTTTATTCTTAGAATTTAAATATCTAACCACCAGATCAATTACCTAAAATTGAATTATTTTCAATTGTTAGAGAAGTTGCTACTAAATTGATTACTATCGAAAATCCCATTAATTAACCAGTTGAATTCAAGAAGGATTAATTAATTGCTGAAGTTGATAGCATCTCGTTCAACCCATAATAATTTGTGATTCCACCAAAATCTGAATTTGGACTTGAAATAGCATACAGACCTTTAATTGTTCAAGATATTCAATCAAAAATTACTATAAAATCCGTTTAATTAGGTGAATTTGTTTATCCCATCAAATTATAGGGATTATAATAGAATGTGTCAAGATCACTTTATTTCAAAGCTTCCTTAGGTACTGAAATGGTTTTGCCATTCAAATTTATGAACTATACAAAGAAACCTACAATGTATACTTGTTATGCAACAAAATTGGGTCCAAATGGAAAACCATTACCTGTGAATATAGATCCTAAGGCTAAAGGTGCTCCTGCTTAAACTACTGATTTTATTTGTGAATAAGTTTAATTCTAAGCACCTTAATCTGAATCATTTGATGGTGTTGAGTGTTAAATTAGTGTAAAATATGAACCAAGTAGTTTGAATGAAAGCAGAGGCATTTTAGTTGTAACATCACCTGATGGAGGAGGTAATTAATTATCATAAAATATTTTAGAATATTAATGTTTATTGATTGGTTAAGGAATCACACCATAACCTAAAGGTCCATACAAATTGTCAGGTGCAAAACCTCCAGCTATAGAATTTAAGAATCCGTTCTTTGAAGCTCAAGAGTTCACTTTGAGAATTGATAATCCTGCATTTACATCATCTGTTAAGTCGCCAATCAAAGTTGATGTAAAATATAATATTTAATTTTTAAGGGTAAAAAAGTATTAAGCATTAACATTACCTATAAAGCAGTTCCAAATACAAGCAACAATGGCAGATTGATAATTTCCTGTGGTGATTTACCATAATGGGTATTTTATCTATAAGGAGAATGAATAATATTATTAATATTTAATATGTAATCTAATTATTTTATAATGAATATCGTAAATTCATTAAATCAAAACCAAAACCATAAAGACTAATTCAAGGTTATAACCAAAAGTATCTACTGAACTTGTTGGAGTTTATGTATTTGCACTTGAGTTAGTTGTATTTTTAGTCTGATTAGTTTTTGTTTCTTATTAAGCATTGCAGGATAAGCATTTACTTTTATTTGTGTTCCAAGTGTATGTATATTCAGATAAAATAAAACATTGTGATTGATCCAAACTTCCTAGATCCATCTCTTAACATCTTCCATCTATTACTGAACATCCTTTTTTTGTAGATTTATTCCAATCAAAAAAGGAAATACATTTTCCATTTGTCTTTTAATAAGATTCACATGTATGAGCATAACATGAACTAGTAGAAATACCAGATGCATATTTAAATGCACAACGATCTTTTGCTGATAAACATGCTTCTTGATCCTAATCTGCTTAAGTGCAAGATAACATCAATGAACAAGACTATCCATTCCATACACAAATACCATCAGTTCCACCAATTGTGCATGCTATTTTTGTACTATATGATGAACACATTTCTTTATTTATACATTTAGATCCATCAGTTATACAAGATGGTAATTATTATTAACATTATTATAATGTATTACCATTTGTTATACTACTGCACATAAACATTTAACAATTTCCTAAAGTATTATTCCAACTACATTTGCCTTCTAATCCATATGCAATAGAACAACTTTCTTAATTTTTATATTCACTACAGTTTTACTTAGATATACATGCAGCTCCATCATATGTACAATTTGATAATTAAAGAGTGCATTATTCATGAGATGTTCCAGTCAAATCGGTACAACCTTGATTTTTACATTCTCCACTTTAATTCCAAACACAAACACCGGTTGATGTTATTAATCCATCTTTTGATTCTAATCCAATAGAATCTATTTAACATGATGCTTAATTTACATATTAATTGCATACACTAAGATTGATACATCCACTCTATCCATCTGTAGTACAACTTTTACTTGCATTTTAACAATCTTAATGAGTTAAGTAATATGCATCCGAACAAGATGTAAATAATTTACAAATTGGAGGTTGACTTGAATTTAATGTTGGTACAGTTTTAATACAATCACCATCAATTCCACTTACACAACCACTAATCGTATTTGTTTCTGAACATAATGTAATTGCTATACAACTTTATCCATCACTTGTACATAGAGGAGATACTTATTTACATTCTTCATCACTCTTTAATTTTATCGATTTGCATGATGTGAATTAAATGCATTTAGATTATTTATCAATCCATATACAAGGTCCATCTACTCCCAAAAAGCATTATTCTCTATTTATGAATTCATTACAACTTTTTATTTTCATACATTTAGAGTTCTCTCCTATAGTGCATAAAGTATTAAATTTTTAACACTCACTATGACTTGTACCATTATAATCTTAACATTCACCAATATTTCTACAATAAACCTTATCCCATATACATTTTATATTATTATAGTTAATATTACAATCTTTTTCTTTGTTAATAATTTTACACTCTTTTAAAGTACATTTGTTACCAATCCAATAACATTGTTCATCATTGTTAGATTTAATGCATCCTGGTTCACTTAAAGTTTAACATGTTCCTCTGGTTACACATTTTGTACCATCAGTAGTACAAGTTGATAAGGCAGTTTTACATTCTGAATCAGTAGTAAATTCATATTCTTCACATGAAAGCCTTTTACATTTGTTAGTATTTTCTGCTGTACAAGTAGGAAGCCAAAGAGAACATAATGAAGCAGTATTTTAATCAGATGGGGCTGTTGAACAAGATTTTATTTAACATTTTGAATCATACCAAAAACAATCATTTCCAATAGCATCTCGAATACATGAAATTTCAATAGTAATATTTGAGCATTTTTAAGGGATATCCACACAACCCAATAAATCTGATGAAACAGTACAATTTTATAAATAATTTTAACATGCTTAATGAGTTGAATAATCAGAAGTTTTAGGAGCAGTTGAGCAACTTAGATTTTTGCAAGAAGATTCAAACCAAGAACATTGTTAATTATCTTTGGTAATAAAGCATTGTTATTCAAATAAATAGTCACTACAATTAGGATTTAATGATTGACAACCTTAAATTATTTATTATTATTAATCATCTATTTTGACAAAGACAGTACATGAAACATCAAAAATTTAACATTAAGAATGAGAATTTAAGGATGGTGATGCTACATTGCATTATTTATATTGACATTTTAAAGTTTCAGTATTCCAATAACAATTTTAATTAGAAGAATCAATCACACATTCAGCATAAGTAGTATATAAATCACATGATTTTAAAGATTGACATCCTAAACCAGTTGTAGCTATAGTACATTTAATACTGTCAGATGCATTATAACATTAATTATGTGAAGTATAATTGTTGGTTTTTTCAATTTCTTCACATTTTAAATCTACACAATTCATAGAAGATTGATTCCACCAACATTTTTAGTTTGAGAAATTAAATTAGCATTAAATTTATGTTAAATAACCACTACATTTTTATATTTTAATGATACAACCACCTTTATTAGCAACAGTACATTTATTATTTTCATTTTAACATTAATTATGTGTTGTAAAATTATTAGATAAAATATGACAAGCCATTTTAACACATTAATTATTTACGACAATGCATTAGCCTTCTTGAGACCATAAACAAGAATTTGAATTTTATTCAGAACATGTTAATTTTTATTCAATACAAGCATTTTAAGTTAAATTGATTGTACATATTGGTAACCAAGATACACATTCAGCATGAGTTGTTTTGATTGTATCCACATTAGTACATGTTTTATTTTTACATCCATTTATAGAATCATTTGTACATGTATTTTTCAAATATTAACAAACATCATGTGTATAAGTAAATGATTCACCTAAAAATATTTTATCACATTCAATAGAATTAGATATTTCAATACATGAAGCACCTGAATTTGCTTATTAATTTTATATACATCTACCTCTAGATGATTAATAACAATCACTTAAATTTGTATATTAAAAACAATCAGCTTAAATATTTATACATGAATTCCCTGTTCTATTGACACTGCAATAATTTGAGAGTTTTTAACAAATTGTATATGTTAAACTAGAGGAACCATCAGTAATTAATTAACAATTCTTTTCTTAAGCAATTCCAATTGGTTTACATTAAGTACCTGTCCATTTACAATTTCCATGATTTTTAGAATAATTACAATTATCACTTGTAGCAGTGCTACATGTATCAGCCATACGAATACAACCAGTTCCTGCTGTATTAAGAGTACAAGAATAATCATATTATTAACAACCATCAAATGTAAGATTACCACCTACATAATTTTAGCATTAACCAGAACCACAAGATTTATTTGCTCCTGATACAATCATTATACAAAAATCTCTTTTGTCAGAACAATCAGAATTTATAGTAGGAATTGGAAGACTTGTACAATCTACATGAGTGTAAAGGCATTAAATTCCCTTTACAACACATGTTCCTTCCTTAGCAAAATTACATTAAGATAAATCAGATGAATATTCAGAACAGAAATCCTTTTTTACAATACATCTATTTTAATCTCTATTTAAAGTACATCCAGATATGTTTTCACAATCAACCATTGTTGTGTATAAATAATCAGTACATATCTTATTGATGCAGCCTGTTGATGAAGTATTTGCTTTACATCTGATTAATACAGTTTCACAATTAGGATCACTATATGAATTCAAACGAATATCACTACAAAGTATCTTTTAGAGTTCTTTACATTAATCTTATATCCATATACACTGAACATAATTAATTGTTGAATGACATTAATAATCATACTTGTATTCTTCACAAATACTTTATTTATTAATACATCCTTGTTAATTCACTTTACTTAATACTGTACATTAAGAATTTAATTGATTACATTTCTCATGTGTATCATAATTATTCGAATCCGTTGAATCATTACAACTAGATTCTCTACATTAAGTACCTGTCCAAATACACTGTCCTGTCTAACTTATTTTACATTATTATTCTATTGTGTATTACTAACATTTTTATATTTATATACATCCATTCAAACTACTGTTTATAGTACATTCTTAAAATTAAATATTGCAATCTAAATGACTATTACCAATTAAATTTTAACATATTTTCTCTTTACATTATCCTCCTGTCCAAATACAATCATTCTAACTTGAAACAAAACAATTGTTTATACTTAATAAACTACATGAAGAAGGCTTTGTTATGCATCCATTACTAGAATTATTCAAAACACAATTATTCATATATGAAATACAATTTTATTAATTAAAAACTGTTAAATAATTTGGCGAGCCTATTATATTTGCAGTTTCACAAGATTATTATACACATTTATTATTATTCCAGATACAAATTGGTGATGTTCCAAATTAACAATTTTATTATAATTATCTATCACTACAATTAGATGTTAAATTCATGCATCCAATTTAATTATTATTGACGATACAATCAGATTTAAATATTTAACAACCTGTTGTTGTAGTTATAGAATTATCAGCCATATTACATTATTTATCAACACATATAGAGTTTTTCCATAAACAATCATCTCCTTATAAAGTTTGATAACATGACTTTTCACTTTAATATGCTTGACATGATAACATTTTATTCATGCATCCATACCCAGAATTATCCAAAACACATCCTATTAAATAAGCCTCACATTGTTAATGACTTTAAAATGATTTAGGTGCAAAAACACATGCTTTTGTAAAACAATTATTTTTCCAAACACATTTATTTTTATGAACATCTGTTGTACATTAATCTTACTGAATGATATTCTCACATATTTTATCTACACATCCAACAGAGGCTGAAATATTGAAAGTACATTCATTTGAAAATATTTCACATTCAGCTTAAGATGTAGCTGATGTATTATTTGAACAAATCCTTTCTAAACATTTTTATCCATTCCAAAAACATTTAGTACCATTGACCATATCAATACATCCTATTTCCTTTGTAGAACTGGAACAAGATATTTGCTCAATACATCCATTCTATGTAGTAATACAATTTTTTTATATTTTCTAACATTATTCATTAGTATTATAACTATTTGGAGCCTTAGAACAAACTTAATCATAGCATGTATTATCTAACCATATACAAGGATCACCCAAATGATTTCTTACACAAGCAGCTTCAATTTTTACATTTCCACAAAATGTCATATTTGTACATCCTCCTTTTTCTTAAGTTGTACAATCTTTCATGAATTAAAAACATTATTAATGAGTTGATAATGTTAGAGGTGCATTTGAACATTTCAAAGATAGACATTTATTTTCTGACCAAAAACATTTTTCTATTTTAGATTTATTTGAAACACATTATGACATCAGTTTATGACCTTCACAATTATCTGCACTTTCAACACAACCACTTTATTCTCCAACAGTGCATTTTGATAATTATTCCCTACATTCATTATCAGATTTGAATGTAAGTGGTAATTAGTTGCATTCTGTAAAATCTTAACATTTACTTTCATTCCAATAACATAAAAGATTCTTCTAATTTTTAAAACAAGCAATTTCAGTTTTATAATCTGAACAGTTTCCTAAATCTATACAATGAACTCCATCTGAAGAACATTATTATGATACATGTTAACAATCTGTATATTACGAATAATAATATGCAGAACAACCTGCGAATTACTAACATTCTTTATTAATCCATGCACAACCTAAAGTAATTCGGCATACAGAATCAATAAATTAAGTACAATATGTTAACTTTTAAGTAACAACTCCAGGTGGATTAGAATTTATAATACATTTATCTGATTCCCATACACAATTTTAGATTTGATTTTAGCAATCAGATTGTGACAATAATTGTTCACATTTACATTTAGTATTGGAGATTGTAGAAGCATCTAATAAGATGAATAAGTAAAAGATTATTGCTAGTTTAATTTTCATTTATTTATAATCAAACAAATCCCAATTCTTTTTCTGAATCTTGAACTCTGTTTTCAAGTACAATAGTATTTTATTGCAATTTGATTCTGTCCTAATTGATCTAATCTACTTATTGCTTTAAGAATTAATGTTATTCTAACTGTAATGCATTCTATTCATGAAACTCCTACATTAATCTCCTATACTCTTCATTTAAGTATTTATTGGAGTCATCAAATGAATCTGTCGTTATTTATGATAATTCAATTAGATTATTACGCAACTGTTCCTTCTCTTTCTTTGCAAAATCTTGCTCATCCATCAACTGCTGTAACAATTACTACTGTTTAAAAATCTATTTACATCCAATCTTTATAAATGACTCTTCACTGGCATTTTCATTGCAAACTCTTCCTAATCATACTATTATTATTAATCTTAGAAATCGTTGTTATAAGCCATTTTATATTTTTATTAAATACAAATAATCTCTTCAAATTATTTTTAATATCTTCACTCTTTTTTTTTATTGTTTCCCTCTCCTTAATTCTTTTTCACTTTAAAATGGACAAATATAAATAACACAATTAATTAATTTATATGAAAACCACTAACGAACCATCCTTATTAAAATATCGAGTATCCAATTTATTAAATACCAATTAGATTTTAGACTAAAAAAATAAGAAAGTTGTTTTCTAGGCTAATGAAGACTAATTAAACTAATTTTCCGATGCTCTTTCCATCATAATAAACTTTTATGATGATATCAAATCCTAAATTCAAGTAGCCTCTCAACCTCATAAAAGAATTAGGAATACTATTAACAAACAAACTAACAATTCAAATTCAGATAAATCTAATAATCACTCTATTGCTAATCTCAATTCTGAAATTAAGGAGGATTAAGACTTTCGTAGGTATCTTAATAATTTAAAATTTCCTATAGACGTATACCTCATTTCTTTTTATCCCGCTTTAAGAAATGGGCTAAAATGATGGAACAAGATACTGCTTATAAATATCTTTAGAACGTATAAGAATCAAAGGTTATTTAAGCATATAATTTATTTAGACATCAAAATAACAACGTTATGAATTGGGTGATTTATAAAGATGTTTTCGAGTTTAAGTTAATGAATCTAAAGAATCTAAGTTATGTAAGAATCTCTTAAAAGATTTATTTATTTCCTTTCTTCAAAATGAGGCCACTCTTTAAATAATGCATTACAATAAAATTAGTTCAATCGAATAAAAAGTACAATATGGAATTCATTCTATCTTAGCACAAATACATTTCAGAAATAAAAAATATGATTCAAGAAATGTATGAACTTAAACCTTTTGATTCCTATTTGTCATCAGAAAAAATAAAAGTTAAGAGAAATGCAAATAATAACAATAACCAATCTCCTATTTAAGAAAAACAAGAAGATCTAAGAGAAGAATTTAAAATTCCATATATGCATGAAGAAAATTATTCTAACGATAGTTTTAAAAAATATAACCATATCCCATCTTTAGTTGGAATGAATAGTTTTTAATGAATCTTTAAATTTAATTCAATTTATTTATTTTTTTTTCTAATACTCATATTCATACAAATTACTGTTTATATTAAAAACTTGTCTAAATTTGATCTTAAAATTTATTTCCATATATATTTCATTTCATAAATGTATTAACATATATTAAATGCTTAAAAACAAAAAATCATAAAATTAGAATCCGAATAAAGATTTGAGTGTCTGTCCAACTAATAAACTTCAACTATCATTTCTTGATCAACCGCTTTTACCTACTCCTTGGAGGAATTATAAACATTATAACATTCAAACACCAACTATCTTAATTAAAGAAACTGACAGAGTTGAATAATTGTCTTACCAAATTGATAAACTTAAACCTCGCTATAGCAGATCATTAACTAAAAATAGATAGAAATATTTTGTTGATACAGAATAAAATGTTTATGATCCTAAAACAATCGAGAAATAGATTTTAAATGGTAGTTGTCTTAAATTTAATGAAGATTTAAGTGCAAATCTTTATTTAGAATAACCATAGCAAAACAAATAGCTTCTTCCTCTTATGTTAAATTTATATTTTTTAAATTCTTTTTAGAACAGAATCTGTTAAGGTTGGTTCAATCACTATTAGTAAAGATGTTGCTCTACCCAAATATCTTGATCCTCCTAAAAGTAAGAGAATTGGATTCAAAAAATTACCAGAATACTCTATTCGTAGATTTAGTCATGTTGAGGATTTAGTAGAACGAGTTCGATTGCAATAAGTTGATATCCTTAAAAAATATTAAGCAAAATCCTTTTCAAAAGATATACAGAATAAACTTAAAGATGAACTATTTATCATTCTAAAATAATTTTAATGATTAATTTATATATTAAAAATAATAATAATAATGGCAACAACCTAAGTTGAATCACACTAACAACCATAAGATTTTGAAAATGAATAAAATGAGCAAAACGAAAAAGCATAAACAGGACCTGAAGTAAAATTATTAATTAAATTCAAGAATCAAGGAGAATTAGCCATCCTCTAAGATCAAAATAGAAGATATGCTTATAGAATTGGTCATCTAACAAAAGCTATTGATGAATTAATTTAATCAGAAGTAACATCTATAATATTATTCTAGAACCTATTACGCAATGAAAATGCTTAATTAAAAGCTAGAATAGCAGAATTGGAAAAAAAATGATTAACATAAAGTATATTTTTTTAAAATAGACCTTTGATGTGTAATATTACAATTTAGGCTTTTTACATATTTTTCATTCATTCTTCTCTATAAGTAATTCTATTCTGTTCTATTCTTTTTAGTTTGAAACGATAAACATAATTAATGGATTTTTTAATTAATTTTTAATTTTCTTTATCAATATTAATATTATTTAAAATTTTTCTTAATATTTTCTAGTATGATGTTAGTTTAGAGGTGATTATTTAATGGCTAATAAATAATAATAGAAAATAAAAAATATCAGTAATTAATTATTTTTAATAGTAGAAAATTCATATATATTTGATTTTAAGTTTAATATTCTAAAACTATTAATTGTTTCAAAAACTATTATTTATGATTTGCATAAAAAAGAACTTGTTTTTTGATGACTCATTTAAAGTTTAGCTTCTTTCAGATAGTATTAAATTATCAAATGTAGTACTTTATTTATAAGTTTAGGATAAGAAAATGATTAAATACATTATTCCATTATTTTAAAATTCTTGTATAGAATGGAAATTATCGAAATGTTAATCAAAATTGGAAGGATTTAGTATTTTATTGAATGGGAAATTGGAATATTTCGAGATGGAATAAAATCATTTGGAACTACTTAAATAATTTCTGGATGGAAAAATCTTTTATATGAGTATTCATAAAATATATAAGACGGTATTATTTTGTGGGAGGGGAACATATGGACATGTAAATTAGTTTAAAAATTATAGGTGTTCAAATATTAGAATTGTTTGACTGGTGAATACGTTGCATGTAAATCACTGAAAATAGGGTTTAAAAACACTTAAGAAGTAATTATTGACAAAATTTATTTAGATATTTCTGGAGGAAGTAAAAATACTTTAGACATTAAAACACCCAAATATAGTTAAGATAAAAGAATTTTATATGGAGACTAAACATTTTTATATAATAATGGAATATTTGGATGGAAAGTCTTTGGGAGATTTATTGAATTAAAAAATTCTTGATGATCAAGAAATTATTGTAATTTTAAAAGTAAAATATGTATGTATTATTTTTAGTAAATATTACGTTGTATAATTTATATTCACAAAGCAGGATATGTATACAGAGACATAAAATAAGAGAATATTTTATTTGGTGAATTTGGAAATTTATAAACTTTAAGATTGATTGATTTTGGTTTAGCAATCCATTAGAGTGATTTATAAAAATAAAGAAAATTAATTTGTGGAACAGCAGGTTATATTGCTCCTGAAGTTTTTAAACTAGAAAGTTAAATAGATTAAAAGATTGATATATTTGGAGTTGGTGTTCTATTATGGGAGATGTAAGATTAAGATAAAATAATAAATAGGATTAATAATAGTAGATTTATAGAAGGATAAGATTAGGAAGAGAAATATAGATTGAATAGAGAATATGTTTTTTAGAATGAGTTTACATAGAATATAAGAAATCCAATATTTAGATATTTGGTTGAGAAAATGATAGTTGATAATCCTGAGTAGAGAATCAGTGCAGCAGATGCATTAAGTTATTTAGATTGGGCTGGAATATAGAGTTGTGACTTTATGAAAGACTATGAAAATATCAGTACAGAATGAGATGGATAGTAGAAAGAAGTGTTACATATTTGTTTGATTATATATTTAATTATTATATATGTGTGTATATTTAGGTATCATTCTTTGATTTAATACTTCTTTCTGATTTCAAAATATTTTCTATAGTTTTAATCTCTAGATCTTGAGACAACAATATCTTTGGCCATAAGATAAGAGTAGAACATTTGAGTCAGTGGCATTCCTTAACGAGCTAATCTAAAAGTATGCAATGAAATAAAAACTTATCATTATTATACCCAGTATTAATTAATCCACTTCCTTCTGAATTCTTACCAGCTGTTAATAAATAATATTCTCTTTTTTATATTTAATCTATGATAACATAAAACAAATACTTGATTCTAATTTATATTTATATAATGTTCCTATAACTCCAAGACCAAGCATTGTAGTGATTATTCTACCTTTTGGTTATCTAATTTTGTAAGTCTTCCAATATATATAACCAAAAGGGTTTTTAATAAATCTGAAAAAGTTTTTAAAGAATCTCCTTTTATTTCCTCTATCAATAAATTTCTTTTGCATCTTAATAGAATTGAATATATATAAATACTCTAAATTTCTCCATTTCCCAATCATATGCTTTTCCCATAGATCTCCAAATCATTTCTAATCTTTCTCTCTTATTTGGAGCATGATAATATAAATAATGTTATCCAAATGTTCTCATTTTTACATCTGCATCTCCTGTTGATTAATCTCTTATCCAAATATAATCCTATTACATCTTCTCTTGAGAGTTAGCCATTTTAAATCTTATTTTATTATTTAATTTATGCACTAAGAATTAAACTGTCCTCGCTGTGAAAATTCATTTGATATATATGAACGTACACCATAAATGTTACCAAAATGTGGTCATTCAATGTGTATGTAGTGTCTTCGTGAATAAACTAAAATAATCTGTCCTGAAGATGGGTAAATTAGTAAATCTATTTTTTAAGAATTGTCTAACCATAAGATCTTAATCTATACCCTATCAATTAAGCAATTTTAAAAATTATTAACAAATCAAGTTTAAAGAACTCACATATTGATTCTACAGAACTTGGTGAAACTGTGAGATTATCAAAATGTGAAAATTTCTTTGAAGTCATGGAATCTACTTCTATTTGTAAAGAACATAATAAAAGAATTGAATTAGTCTGTTTAGAAGATCATAATAAAATCTGTGTTAATTGTGCCCTATTTGGTGGACATAAACATCATAATGTTAGAAATATTGATGTAACAAATTCTCTTTTTAATTTAAAACTAGGAAGTTATATCAGAAATCTAACAATCCCTTGAAGAAACTGTTCATTTAATGTAGTAAATTCAATCCAAAATTAAATCCTTAAAATAACCAATTATCAATAAAAAGATACGTGACTAAATAAGAGTTTGTATCAAATAACAATAGACTCTTGCAGAAGATCAATTCAAAGTACTCTCATATTACCACTTTATTCAAGGAGATGATTACTTAGCTTATGATGAAACAAAGAAAAGTTGTTGAAGAGATTGAACAAAAATATAAATAAGTCGAAGACCAATTAATTAAACGTGAACAATAATATGTTAATTAAGTCATTGAAAAAGCAGACTTATGGATGCTAGCGTATCTTTTAAATACTAATCTTTTTAGTTCTTAAGAACGTATTAATTAATTTGCTTCCTTAACTGAAAAAGGAGAAATATCATTCTTTCTACTTTAAAAAGATACTTCTAATTCTTAAGCCAAATAAATTATTGAAGAACTAGAAGAATTTATGAAGAAATTTTTAATTAGATTATAAGAAGTTACTCAAGGTTAAATAATACCTTAAGTTCCTTTAACTAAAGAATTAATGGGAAATTTCGAATATAATTATCCTTAAGTTTAATAATCATTTTTTGATGATCCTAATATATTAAGAGATATGTCTATGATTGATTCAAGTTTTCTAAAAGATATTGATGATAAACCACCTCATAATGAATTTTTGACACATAATTTATTAAATCCTCAACCTTTATATCAATCTCAAACTGCTCTACAATCATAACCCTCATCTAATAATATTTCATAGAATGCTATCAGTCCTAATCATGAAAAAAAATTATCATAGAATGATACTTTAGTATCTCCTAAACTTAAAAGATAATCATCAATGTCTCCTAAAAGACCTACCAAAAAGAAATTCAATACTAAAGTTGAATCCATTCTTTTAAATTGCAATGGTGATACTTTAGATCTCTCTTAACAAGGTAAATAATTAAATATATTTTTTTATTTTAGATCTAGGTGATGATGGTATGATTCTTTTAGAAGAATCTATTAAAAATAAAAAATTTAAGATTCTAAAATTAATGAGAAATAAAATAAGTGATACTGGTGCATCTAAATTACTAGAATTACATTGTTAAATATTACATTTATAATCAAATGTCATTACTGAAAGGTTTCTAGATTAAATTTAGTAATTAATACAAAAATAAACCTAAATTCATATTAAAACCATCTATTTAGGATAAAATCTTATGAATTAATTTAGAGTAAAGAAAAAAATAGAGGATTTAAAGAAGTTAGGCATAACTATTTAAATATGATTAATAATCAGTGTGTTATGCTTTTTGTGTTATGAAATGTGCCTCTTAATTAAGATTATAATTCTTATTCATTTTCACACATTAATTCCATTTCTACTCCTTACATTTATTTTTCTAATTTAATTATTTTCTGCAATAAATGAATTGATTATTCTTCCATATTCAATTTATCCTTTGTCAATTTACTAATTTCCTTATTCAATCTATAAGACTCTGTTGAATAGGCTACATAATCTTCCTTCAATTATCTTTCCTTTACTTAAACTGCCTCATTAAATTAATCTTCTAATTTTTATATATTCTTCTCCGTTTTCTCTTTCATTTACTCCATCTCCTCCCTTATTTACTTTGACTATTCCTTTAATTGAGCTAAAGTTCGTTTACTATCTTAAATATAATTCTATCATAATCTCTCTTTATCCTTACTTATATTAATTGCTATGAATGAGTAAAAACTTCTAAAAAGTGAATTTATGCATTAGTATTTTAAAAATCCTCAACATTAAAAGGATACTTAAATCCAAAAGAAGTGATTTGATCTGTTTTTTCCATAAAATTTTCAAAAAATGGTCTAGTATCGCTTTGACTTTTTGAATAACCTGTAAAATTTTTATTAGTCCGACCCAATTTATGTTCAAGAGTTTAAAGTTTCATAGCACTTCTATTAGTAGGTAAAGTAGCTAAAATATTCTCTAATTAAAAATACTTTAAGGAGGTTACTTAAAGTATAACAGTTATCTGATTCTAATCTCTGAATGTGTATTGTTATTATCTGAATACATTAAATATTAATATTATTAAAAAAAAATATAGGCAAACCGAGTATCGATCTCGGGACCTCTGCAGTGTAAATGCAGCGCGATAACCATCTACGCCATTTGCCTAAACTCAATAAATACTTAGTTTCTATTCATAAATATATCATCTTTCCAATATATTATTTATTTTTGAATATAATAATAGATTTTAATAAGATTTTTTTAATTTATCAATAATTATACTAAAGAATCTACATCTATTCTTAAATTTTTACTCTCCTTTAATATTTCTCTTCTCTTTACCAGCTCAAATTATTAAATGAAACCAAATTGAAAAATCATAATCACTAAATTCATTTGGAGCCTATGAATTTTGAATCTCTACTCTTTTCTCCATTTTCTTTTAGTTGAAGTACCCTATTAGTTTATTTTATAATCTTAATTCAACATATTTCTACTTAAATTTTACTTTCTTCATTTAATTTCATAACGAAAGAGAATACTTATTAATTATTTCCTCTTTGAAAATCTAAAAATTTATTTATGATATAGTTCTAATACTTATTTACTATTTTTTTAGATCTCTGCAATCATATTTATTTAAATAAGCCTTATGGAATTAATTCTCATTTGAATTATCTATTTGTTTATGCATATAATAATTTGTTGAAATTTCATAATGCTTCATGTATTAGTTTACTGAATAAAAAAGAGTTAGTAATTTTATAAACACACTTCAAGATGATTTATAAAAGTCAATTTGCATGTTTAGACATATGTATCAACAGTTCTATCACTCTCTAATGTCTGTAATTGAAAATTCCCTATATGATTTTAAATCCATTATCAACTCTATAATTTAATACAAGGTTTTCTTTGAATTAAATTTTCTAATCATTTAAATCTTTGGTTGTGTTGAAATCCAATAAAGTTGTTGAGAATTAGAGTAAAATGTACTTACAATATTTAAAATAATATGAGTATAATGTTTTAGGTATATTTTAAATATATAAATATTTACAATATTATTAAAGAAAATATATGATGTCTAAAGTTTTAGTTAGTAATATAAATTAAAGAATGAAAAATTAAACCAATTAATCAGAGATTTGCTAATATTGCAATTTAAGTGATTGTGAATGTTCAGACCAAGAAGATTGGGACAGTTGTGATTCACCTAAACCAAAAACCCTCTATTCTTTTAAAGAAATCAATTTACAAAATAAATCCTTATTAGCTGAAATCAGAATAATTTGCAAGAATCTCATATATGTAATTGGTTTAGCACCTAATATTGCTAAAGAAGATGTAATCTTATATTTTTATTACAGCAATTAAAAAAACTTGAATATTTTGGTCAATATGGATAAATCTAAAAATTAATTGTGATTCAAAGTAATACTTTTAATCCCCCATCTCATGCTGCTTATATTACTTATCGAAATGAATAAGAAGCATCATTAGCAATCTTAGTAAATATAATTATTATTTATTTGTTTTGGCATGTGAAAAATTTCCCTTACACGACAGATAAGTTAAAGCTTCTTTTGGAACCACCAAATATTGCACAAACTTCTTAAAAGGTTAATAATGTAAAATCAAGGATTGTGTTTACTTACATCAGCACCCAAAAGACAAAGACAATACACAAGTATTGAAAAAAGTATGCACTTTTAATTATATTTAGGAAGAAATGAATAACTCTAAGTGGTTATTTTCTTATTCACAAAAATTAGCTTAAGCTAACTTCAAAAAGTTTTACACAAAAATTAATTACAAAAATGCCCTACAAAAATCAATATTTCCAACCACATAAAATATTTTAGATAACATGATAAAAGAAAGAATTGTTGATCCAATTTAATAACAATAATTATTAAATTTATAATTGGAAGAAATAAAAGAAACTTAATAATAATAAGAAATATCATAACCTATATAATAAAAGCCTATAGATATTGAAAAAAGAGTGGAAGCTGTCATCCTAAAAAGTATTTCTTTTTTTTATTTATAGTGGATGGAGATGGCAATAGCAACTCGAGATTTAAATTTACAAATAGTAAAAATGTCCCATAGGATTATGAGGCAATATAATAAATAAAATAATATCTACAAAAATGATTAATAAAATAAAAATAAATTCATTTTTAATTATCTTTAAATCAACTTATTCTAATAATTTATTTCATCAATACAATATATTAATGTTTACTTTTTACTTGATTATGTTTATTTTTTTTAATGTTTTAAGGAGGACGAACTAATTGTGACTTTCCTTATTATTCTTATATCTTGTTTTTTTATATTAATCAAACTAAAAATTAATTTCTAATTTTATTTTAGCGTTTACATTAGCAATTTAAAAATTTTAACCAGATATTAAAAAAAAAGGAGCTTGAATACCTTATCAAATAAAGATATATCCTCACTTCTGATTTTTATAACAAAACAAAGCTCAAAAATATATAAGATAATTATTTATAATAAAATATAATATTTCAACTAGATGAATTATTTTCAAGATTATCCTACTAAAATAACACTAATGATTATGCCATTCCTTTTAAATATCACTTTAATACTACAAATTAAAATTGAAAAAGTTCAATTATTGTATATTACCTTATTTGACTTACTAAAATTTTAATTAAATTCTAAATTTCTTAATCGAATTCAAAGTTTATAAATTTAATCAGTATCCTAATACTCTACGTTTGATAATGTTTAAGTAGATATTAAAAAAAAAATAAATTCAATATGTTTATTATTATATTTTTGTTAAATTTCTACTAATTATTTTATAAAAAATTGCAAATAAAAAAAAATTTCCCTTAAATTTTAGATTTTTCAATTTAGGCAAAATCAAATATTCTTTTCTGCTTAACAATTATTTTTTGGTTAATTAAAAATCAATTTGATTTAATTTTATTAACATAAATGCTATGAGTAATAAGTTTGTTTTATATTGATATTAATTAAAAAATCATTCTTATAAGATTAGATATATAGAAATAATCAATATATTATGATAATTGAAATCGCAGTAGATGGATATTCTTGCAATTATTGATACTTATTTATTAAAATAAAGAATAATTTAATATATTAAAAAATGAGAAATAAAGGTGAATAAAATTAAATATAATTAAAGCCATAATTTAATGAAAAATTTTTCTTAGCTATTATCTGAAAATTTGTAAGAAGGGAATGAAATCAAACCAAAACCTGATTTTTCAAAGTATCATTTTTGGGGATTATACTTTTCTGCAAGTTGGTGTCCACCTTGTAGACAATTCACAGGAATGTTAAAACATTTCTATGAGGAAATAAAAAAGACTAAGAATTTTGAAATAGTACTTGTGACTCATGATGAGGATGAAAGAGATTTCATTAAGTATTATTAGAAAATGCCATGGTTGGCAATTCCATGGTCTGAGAAGATGGCAATAAGTTATTTAACTAGAATTTGCAGACCATAAACAATACCACATTTATGTATTTTTGATAAAGAAGGTAATTATGTAACATGTGGAGGAAGAGATGATATTGCTATGTATGGAATGAAAGCTTGGAATCATTGGGAAGATATTGTTGAAGAAAGAAAGAAATATAGAGAAAAATGATTAATTTTGATAAATTAAATTGCAGATGCATATGAAATGAATATAACAAATATACAATTGTATAAATTTTATAACATACTATATTAAAAATATGAATTAATGATGCGTATTAAATTTAATATTTAAGTTATCTTTTAATTAAAATGTCGCAATCTCCTCATAAATGGCATCAAGAAACAATAGATTCTCAAAAATCAAAGATGGAAAAAACTGTACCAATTTGCCCACTTTCTTCGGATATTGCAACTTTAACTTTACCAAATGGGAAAACAGTGCAACTACCAATATTTAAGGGGACAAAAGGTCCTCCTATGATTGATATTACATAGTTATATTCTAAATCTGGATATTTCACTTTAGATCCTGGATTTTCATCAACAGGAGCGTATAAATTAATAATAATAATGAATTTAGATGTATGTCAACGATGACTTACATAGATGGTGATAAAGGAGAATTATTATATAGAGGATATCCGATAGAGATTTTAGCTAAATATTCTTCATATATAGAAGTGTGTTATTTATTTATATATGGACATCTTCCATCTTAAAAAGAATTGTAATTATTTGAGGAGACAATGGTGAGTGAAATGATGATAAATGAGAAACTAATAGAATTTTATAAGGGTTTTGCATCAGATAGTCATCCGATGGCAATTATGGTTGGAGTGGTAGGAGCTTTGAGTGCTTTTATGCATAAAGATTTTGATGTAAATGATCCAAGAGATAGAGAATATATAGCTATTAAATTAGTAGCTAAAATGCCAACATTAGCTGCTTATGCATATAGAACAGCTTTAGGATTACCTATTGTATATCCTAGTAAAAAGTATTCTTTTATTGAGAATTTCTTATATATGGTAATGATATAACAATAATTTAAGATGTTTTCTACACCTATGAATGATTTTAATGTAGATAAAGTAATTGTTAAAGCATTAGATACTATTTTTATGTTACATGCAGATCATGAATAAAATGCTTCTACTTCTACTGTTAGAATAGCTGGTTCTTCATTAGCTAATCCATTTGCATGTATTGCAGCTGGAATTACAGCTTTATGGGGACCTTATCATGGAGGTGCTAATGAAGCTGTTTTAAATATGCTTAAAGAAATAGGAAATAAGGAAAATATTCCTAAATATCTCTAAAAGGCTAAATCAAAAGATAATTCGTTTAGATTAATGGGTTTTGGACATAGAGTCTATAAGAATTATGATCCAAGAGCTAAAGTTATGTAGGAAATGTGTTACAATGTTCTTGAGAAAACAAAAAGAGCTAATGATATTTTAGAAGTATCTATCTTATCTTAATAAATCTTAGTTGGCAATCTAATTAGAATAAACTGCTTTAAAAGAAGATTATTTTATATAAAGAAAATTATATCCCAATGTTGATTTCTACACTGGAATTGTTTATGAAGCTTTAAGCATCCCTACTTCTATGTTTACTGTTATGTTTGCAGTATAAAGAAGTATTGGTTGGATTTGTTAATGGATGGAAATGATGTCTGAAAAAGTCTAAAGAATCAGCAGACCAAGATAACTCTATGTTGGAGAAGATCAAAGAGAATATATTCCTATTTAAAATAGAAAAGAAGAAGAAAAAAGTAGAGTTTGTAAATTACCTATGCATAGTGGCTTATTTGGGCTTGTCAAGGTATGAAAACATAAATATGTTAATCAATTTAAAATTATTTTTTTGTATTATTTTTTTAGTCTTCAAGAATCCAGAAATAAAAACCATTCATCTTTTTACTCATCTCAATAAATTTACTTTTTATATTTAAAAATATAATTAACGCATAATAATCATTCAATTCACAGGTTTTATCTATCATAATTTAATAGATGCTTACTCTAAAATGAAGTCCTATTAATGAAAATACAAAACATTTCAAATCCTATATCAAATAGAAGAAAACTCTCAAACCATCTGGGTCTTAACTGTTTTATACATCATGAATTGATCCTAATTTTGATGTTGTAAATGAAATATGAGCATTTCCTAATTTTATTTCTAATTCTTATCTTCCTATTTTATCAGGTGCAGGCCATTTAGAATCATTTTCTCTTTCATTATATTCAAATTCATACTTTATTATTTCTGATTCTTCTATAATTCTCTTGAATTCAGAAATCACTGACTCAGATACAAAACATTCCTTTCTAATTAAAACATCTTATTTATAATTTGAATTATTTGCATAACGTAGTCTTCCATCATTCCGAAACTCAAATTCTAAGAATTCATGTCCATAAATCCCTTTATGTCCAACACTACTCATACATTTTATAAACTTACTAATATCTCAAATAAAACTCATCATTTTAATTTCCTTGCATTTTAATTACTTTAATTAAATAGTGATTAATTAATAAAGTCACAAAATTATACAATATTATAATATTTAAAATCATATCAGAAATCTATCAAATTTCTCAAAAGTAATTTGAGTATACACCCACTCACACATTTTTTTTCTATTTAATTCTTCATTTTCATTACTTAAACTAATTTCATTGAAATAAAACTGCTAAACACTAATTTAATATTTTATCTAAAAAAAGATTTAAATAACGATTTAGAAGTATTATTTATTATTATTCTTAATTAAAAGAAAACATTAAACAGTTCATTTATCTATTAATATTCATTAATCAACTTTCACTCCTTTTAACATTTATTTTATATCTACTTTCGTTCCTAATAAAATTATTTTATATTTTTCTTTAATGAATTCTTTTCATTTCGAATTGAAGGATTTGCATAAAGAATTTAATAAGATCAAATTTTCTATAATATTTATATAGATAAAAAAAACCAAATTCCTATGAATATTTTGAACTTTAATTATTTCAGATGTATTTTTATATAGATATCATTCCTAACCTATGTCTGCACCAAAAGAATCATTATCTTCATCTTGATCTACTTTTTATTAGACTTTTTCTTTTTTTGCATTTGATTTATTCGTTTTAGCTTAGCTTTTACCGTTGATTTGTTTTCCTGTTTATGTGCAATAGAGTTCATTTTCTTATGAATAGCGACTTCTGTCTTTAAAGGCTTAATCATGATATGACTATAGGTGAAAAAAATATTTAAGTACCTACTAAATTTCTTTAGGCAAATCTTTCCATTCACTAGCAATTAATTTAGTGATTTCTTAAAATTGTAGATCTAACATAGCAAAAAATAAGACTTGGATATTGCAATTAAAATTTCTCTCTTTTGTCTTAAAAATAAAAGATGAACGCTGATTTAGGCATCTTAGGTGCTAATGGATCTTTTTGTTTTTTTTGCTTTTTTTGTTTTGTTACTTAATGCTTTGGTTATTCTTCTGGTTCAGGTGTTGGTGCTAAATATGAATCAATTAAATCTTTAAATCGTCTTAGAAAATTTTCAAACTTGGTTTGTTCTTTTTTCTATTTATGATATTTTCATAATTACATCTTACATCTCTGAATCAAGATTTTAGATTAATAATATATATATATATTAACACATTTCCTATCAAAACTAAACCATTTAAAAATAAATTAGTAATTCATTAGCTAAATTCATTGAAAATAGGAATCAGACCATAAATCATTTAAGAAAATACGGCAATTTCTATCAGTAAACCACTTTTCTTTTTCCAAACTTTATTTCATTAATTCTGTGTCCATCATTTTCTTAAGTCTGAAATCTCTCTTTTTTACATTATTTATAATAGTGTAATTTTTAGGACTTTAGTAAAATGTCTTCAGATGATATTCCTTTGGAATTGGTTTAAATATAATTAAGCCATTTTTCTTCTTCAACACTTTTTTATCAGGAATAAGTGGCGGTTATATAAAATTCTCAATTTGAGGCATATTAAATTAAAAAGTCTTTGTTATTTATGCATTTTCAAAAAGATCACATCCTACACCTTTGTCTTCATATTTTTTGTCAGTTTAGGAATGGAATCTAACTCTTGGAGAAGTTGTTGAAATTTTTCTATGGTTATTTTTTAGAGGTGTTGTTTTTCCTTGATGATAGGATTCCTAATTTTAAGTATCAAACCTTTTTGGAGTTCTCTTTTATAAAGTACATGGCATAACAATCAGATCCATAGTATTTATAATTTATTTATATTGAATTAATATATTTATGATCAAAATATTATAATCAAAGAATCGTGTTTCCGATTTCGAATACTCTCTTTAAACCACATAGATTATCAGTTTTCATAAATTGACTTTCAATTTTACGTTTTTATACATATGAATCACAAGTTTTTAATTATTTTGCCAATGACATTCTTCTACTGACAAAATATCTGGACATCATAATAAAATAAGGTTTTACTTTTCTTATGGATTAAATTGAACTTTGGTAGTATTTTATGTATTCAAATTAGATTTGATTTAAATTATTCTGGAAGATGATTCAGTGCTAATACTAACTGATCTTGCTAACAAGAGATGTAAATTAGAATATTTAGAAGGATTATAAATAGGTTTTTTAACATTCTACTATCTCAAAAGTAAGCTTAACTTAATTAAATTCTGATTTAAATCTTGATCCATTTTTATTTTGTGTAAAAATATTTATTTAGTGTTAATGAATTATAAATCATTTTAAATTCTCTTTTTATCCTTACATTTTTTGCATCAAAAGATGTAAATTACTTAAACTCAATTACTATCGATTAGTTGATCTAGGTTATAGAATTCCTTCAGCAACTAAATTTTTAAGATCCATACTATTATTCTTAATTAAAGATGAATTTTTCTTTTTGGAATTTTGAATAACTTATTTTTATTATTTTATGAGCATATTTTAACTGTTATCACGAGAATGTCTAGGAGAACTGGCAATTGATATAAATTAATGAGATTTATCCCCAGCTAATAATTTAGCAAGAGGAGATCGAGCAGAATGTACTTATTTTTATATTTCTACCTCCTTTTTATCTTTAATTATTGAGTTTTCACTTAAACTTTAACATTATTCAATAGCTGATTCTTCATCTATTTATGTCAGTTATCTTGGTTCTGCTATGCTCTTTTCATCAAGTACAATTTATTTATTGTAGGCACTCCAAATGTCATCAATTATTACATTGACAATCATTTATAAATTAGCTTTGAAAATATTTGAATTCAATTTGTAATGTTCTGCTAATTTAAAATCTTTTAACGGAATCTCTTTTTAGATTGCTAGTTTTAACAATTCCTATAATGTTAAGTTTAACTCACTTAGATTGTGTATATGTGTTCTTATTGGAAAATCTCTTTGAATAAAGCAAATATTTTTTCTACGAAATTATTTGCCAATCTGTTGAAGATATTATCGATCTCTAAAAATTTCTAACTCTCTCTCTAAATCCTCAAGAAATCTAACTCTTACATAAATTTAAGATCGTTAAAAAAAATATTAATGACAAAAATATTATAAATATTTAAATTAATGCAATTAAACAAAAAAAATGAGAATAGAAATATAAGTAAATTAATATATAATTTAGCATATTAATATTTATGTTTATGTTCAAATTATAGGTAAATTTGTAGTTGGAAGACTCTGATTTCGAGGATTTCTTTTTTAATTTGGAGAATGTTCTTCTAAAGTTGGTAATTGACTAATCTTTCTTTAATACAAATAAGAATTTTCTTCTTATGATAATCTTCTATATTTTTATTTTAATTATTTATAGATTGGAACTTCTTTTTAATAATCCAATAATATTTTGGCAATAACATTCCTATCAGAATAATTATGTATTTTTTTATGTTTTCCAGCATAATTAACTGAATACTATTATTCTTTAATTAATATATAAATACTTAAAAGCATTTCTTATTCTGCTAGATATTATGAAATTCTAGTAGGATTAGGGGATGATTATTATGATCCTCCTCCAAGAGTAGTTTATCTATTTCTATTAATAGTTTCTTAGGTTTCACTACTTTAATGAGTTTCAGTTTTAAATTTAGGATTGTTGTAATTGGCTTTAGGTAGCATATTGGCAATAGAAATTTGATTTTTTGGAAATATAATTGTATTTAACAATTTACTTTGATCATCAATAGTTTAAGTTTTAAATTTACTAAAATAAGGTAGTTCTGTAATTGCATAAGATGTAGGTCTTAAATTAGTTTAGACTTATAACATCATTCGAATAACATTTTATAAATCTTATGAATATTATGATGGAAGTCTTGGATATAAGCCTATAGAATATTGATAATAAAACCTCTAATAACTTTCTTATATAATCCTTCCATATCTTCAGCTCTAAATGGAGGTTTAAGAGCAGCAATTTCATATGTTACACATCCCAACGACCATATATCTGATTTTTAATCATATGGTTAATCCTTCCATACTTCTGGACTTGCATAATATGGTGTTCCTGTTTATGTATACAATAGTCCTTTCTTAGCTACTTTAGAAACATTCATATCTCCCAGTTTCACATCTCCATTTGATTATAAAAACACATTTGCACTTTTTAAGTCTCTATGAAATATTTTCAAATCATGTAATGCCTTTAAACCACTTGCAATTTAAAATGTTATCTTTAATATATCATTCTCATTCATCAATGTATTTGATTTTATACACTTCTATATCTATTAGAATAGATCTCCATTATCTGCCAGTTCCATAACTATACTTTTTTATTATTATCGATTTTATTACCATAATGAATTACTATTCATATCAATAAATGCTTCTTTATAGCTTATTATATGTGGATGTTTAATAGAGGCCAATATTCTAACTTCGTTTAAAGCATTTTATTTCTCTTTATCACTCAAATTTGTTAAGTTCACCTTTTTCAAAGCATATTCTGCATTGTCTTCAATTCTTTTCACCTTATATACTTGTGAGTATGCTCCCTCACCTATCATATTAGTTAACTTAACCTAATTTTGACATAATCTTAAAATCTTTAAGTGACATTTTATAATTATTATATTATATATTATTAATCATCATGCTTTCTTTTCACTTTTTTAAGCACTACCTTTTTTAACTGAGTTCTTAGCTCCACTCTTCTTTACTGATTTCTATGTGCTTTTCTATGTACTTTTTTGAGTTGATTTTTTTGCAGACTTTTTCGAAGCTGATGCAACTGGAGTTTTTGGTGCTGCTCCTGTTGTTGCAACATCAACCTTTGCAGGAGAAGCAGCAGCTTAAACTTATTTCTTTATTTTTTTTGTAGCTTATCCACTTTCTAATAAATTAGTTATCAAAATATTTACTTTTTCCTGATTTGCTTTAACTTCTACTATTTTATCCTTTTGGCATTTTATTATTTATTATCTTTTTCAAATTGAGTTCTGCTAAATATCAAATTAACAATTATAAATTAATTTAATTGGCTATTTCATAAAAATAATGAATATTAAAAATCAATGACATATTGTGATATGTTATTTAGTAAGAATAACCTTTAGTATGAATGTTCCAAATATTGATATCCTGAATACGAGGTGAACAATAAAAAGTTTCAAAGAAAGAAAGTTTTTAAAATATTGGTTAATGATTTTAGTAATTGATGAATCTTGATATAATAAAATTGTAAACAACAATAAATTGAGATATCATCAAGAAATGTTATGGATATAAGAGAATTTCATTTTTGAAAATTTGAAAAAAATATAATTTGTTTAATCATTAAAGAAAAAGATATATGAATAAAGTTGAGAGATATTCGTTGATTTATATAAAATTAATTGTTTATAATGGGTTCATAATGTTGTAATGGATAGCAAAAATCACTGAACAATGAGATAGTGAATGATAGTATAAAAAACAGTTCTTTGTTCAAATAATCAATTCATAGCCTTCCATTTACTAATTAGATGCCTTGCAATAATGATGAAATATTGGAGTTGAAAAAAGAGAGTTATATGGGGATACCTGAAATAAGTGAGAATGTGAGTTAAGTGAATGAAGGTGAGAAGGAGAAATAATAAATGGCATTATCATAATTAACAGTGGCTCAAGATCCAAAGTCTAACAATACTATAGGAAATTCCTCAGATCAATAAATATAAGAAGGTTATAATAATCGATCATAATCTACTCCATTTAAGAGGAAGACACTTACTTCTCTTGGGACAGTTAAATTGGGGGCAGATGTTTTTGTAAGTTTAAAATAGGGAAGTATAGGAAAATTTTATTCAACTGGATCAACTTTGGGTGCAGGAGCATATGGAAAAGTTTGGAAAGTAACTCATAAAAGTACTGGTATGAATTAAAAATGATAATAAAAATAGGGTTAATAAGAGCAATGAAATAGATTAAGAAGTCTTCTTTAATATAAGAAGAGTAACAAAGGTTATTTGCAGAAATGAATATTTTAAAGAATTTAGATCATCCTCATATTGTGAAATTATATGAATTGTATTAAGATGCATAGAATTATTATTTAATAACAGAATATTTGAGTGGAGGTGAATTATTTGAGAGAATTAAAGCAATGACTACATTTAATGAAAAGAAAGCAGCTGAATATATGAGATAAATATTATCTGCTGTGATGTATTGTCATGAATAAAAGATTGTTCATAGAGATTTAAAACCTGAAAATATTTTATTTGTAAATGACAATTAGAATTCACCTTTAAAAATAATAGATTTTGGAACATCTAGAAAATACGATCCATCAAAAAAAATGACAAAGAAATTAGGAACTGTAATAATTTTTATTATTATTATTTTAGCCATATTATATAGCACCAGAAGTATTGAAATAAGATTATAATGAGAAATGTGATATTTGGTCATGTGGAGTTATTTTATATATATTATTATGTGGATATCCTCCATTTATAGGTAAAACAGAGAAAGAAATAATGAAAAAAGTAGGTGAAGGGAAATATGAATTTGATGGTAATTTCTTTGTTCTTATATTAAGTGCAGCTGATGATTGGAATTAAATATCCAAAGAAGCTAAGAATCTTATTAATAGAATGTTACATGTAAATCCTAATTTCAGAATCTCAGCTAAATAAGCATTGAATGATGCTTGGATTGTAAAACATTGTTCATAAACTATAATAAATACTAATGTTAATTAGAGAGTGTTATAGAATCTATAAAAATTTTAAGTAATATTATATAAATATATATTCTAAATAGGCTAAATCAGTTTTCTCTTAGGCAGTTTTATCTTATATTGCTTTTTAAATGACAAATCATATAGAATAAGACGAATTATTAAAAACATTTTAAAGTCTTGATAAGAACAATGATGGAATATTATCAAAAGAGGAATTAATTGAAGGATATAATACAATTTATTAAGATAAAGAAAAAGCAGAATAAGAGGTTATAAAGATATTGCAATTAATAGATTTAAATTAAAGTGGTTAAGTGGATTTTTCAGGTTTTTAGATTAATTAAATTTAGAGTTTTTAATGGCAGCTATGAATTAAGAGAAATTAGTCTCTTTATAGAAGGTTAAAGCTGCATTCAAAGTATTTGATGCAAATGATGATGGCAAGATTTCTAAATAGGAATTAGAATAAATGATTGGTACATTAGATCAAGAATTGTGGGAACAAATTCTAGAAGAATGTAATGCTAAAGAATTTATAACAGAAAAAGAATTTATTAATATCTTACTTAATTCAAAAATATGATATTTTATTAATGCAATTATTGTCTTTGATTCAATTACTGTAAAGCAATTGATAATCTCTTATTGCATAGTATTCTATATTATTTAATATATATACCTGTTCCATCTCCATTTTATATAATAAATTAGAATGTAATACTTGGGGAATGATACATCTATTGTAATTTGAAGAGCATAAATTTAAAATATTTGTTTGATAATCTACAGATTGATCCCAAATAATAATTTTATCAGCTAAAATTCTTAATGATTCATTAGAGGTCGGTCCAACTTTCCAAATAATGAATAGTAAGTTAAAGTCTTAGCATTTTATGAGGTTATGAAATAGATAATCTTTTTTATAAGAAGATATTATTTGTAGCTATGTTAACTCCTCCAACAACACTTTTTGAATCGCATTAAGAGATTGCCATTAATTAATAAGATAATAATTACCAATTTTAAGGATCGGTAAAAGTGTTAGTAAAGAAATCAGATTGAATTAATAATTCTACTTATTCACAAGGATTATTAGTGCAATCTTCTTTAATTGAATCCATATTTATAATCTCCAAAAATATAAGGTTGAGATTCAAATTAAATTCTAATAAAATTGGCAGTATGATCAAATATATATTCTAAAAATGAATAATTTTCAATATCGTGTGTTAAAGATAGTGAACAAGCAGTAGTTTGAACATTTTCACCAATAGATACAATTTCATCATAATCTTCATCAATTTTCATATTTAAATTTAATTTAACACTATAAGAGTAAGCTTAAAATTAGATTTTGATTTTATCATGATCTTCTAATTCAAAATCTTTATAAAGTAGATTATATAATGAAAGGTAATTTATATTAGAAAAATATGTATCAGCAATTGTAGACATTGATATTTAACCAGATGCATCTGATGGAGTATAACTACCCCATTCTTATTGAGTAATAAATGAATTTTAAGTTAAATCACTTTCCATTTAAATTTAAGTTAATTTAGTACCTTAAATACATGAGTCTGCATTTATTTCACATAATTCGCATGATGAATCACATGCTAACATATATACTGAAAATTCTCTTATTCCAAAATAATCTGTAGGTATTATCGAATCACTTACAAATTTAAAAGTTGGATATTAATATATATGATTAATCCTTATATCAACATTGTAGTATTATTCTGCGTATGAATTACGACCACAAATTTCTATTTTCTATGATTTTGTTTTGTGATCTGACCAAACAACTAATTCATCAACTTTTAATGAATACTACGATGTTGCTATTGCTTCAAATTTCCAAAATTAAAATGTTATTTTCAATTCAAAATGAGGTTCAAAAAAATATTATTTTGTTAAAGTTGTTCCTGTCTTATATTTACCAAATGTTGATATTTCTCTCAAATATCATAAAATCATTACAATCACAAATATTTTAACTTATCTATTCATTTATAACCATCCAACCTTCATTTGAATAAAAATTAGATCCTTCAAAATTATTTATTTTAAATATATAAGGTTTACATTAATTAAAATTTTTATCTAAATAATTACAGAAATAACATCCTACTGGACTATTGTATGAATATATGTAAATATCTCTGACTCCCCAAGATTTCTATTCTTATTATATTTAAATACTTCTGTTGCTAATTCTTATAATGTAGATGTTATTTCTAATATTAATGATTTTCAAATATGCAAAAAAAAAAAAAACATTATTTCTTAATATAAGAATTGTCCAAATTAATCTCCTTAATTTGAACTAACTGTCTAATGATCAACTATTTTACCATCTATTTTTGTTATAATAGATTCATTATTCCATGTATTAATTCTATATTTTTAACTAAATGATTACGCCCAACTTCTCATCTTTAACCTTATTGTATGATGAGGAGAAGATATTAATATTTATCTATAAATTGAAACTCTTGCACCAAAATAATTGTTTCCTCCAAATATTGTCATACTCTCTTAAACATCATATCCCTCATTTCCTCCAATCACACTCCATTCTAAATAATAATTTATTTTTTAAATTCTCAACCATCCGCAGAAGAAAATGTATTTGCTGTAAATGCTGAATAAGATAATGTAATCTAACATTTGCCTATGTAACTAAACATAAACATTAAAATAGGGCTTAACATTATAATGGAAAAAATATTTTAAATTTAATTTATTATATTAGTCATTTCTAAAATTATTAATCATGAAAATCTTAAACATAAAAATTGAATTTAATATCATCAGTTTTCTTAACTTCTAATAATATTTAATTACAAAATCAAATAAGTTTTTATATTTATTAATTAAAAATAAATAATTATATATTATTTTGGAATTAGAGAATTCTAACACTTAATTTTTAAGAAAATGAATCTCTTTTAACCTAATATTTATGTAAGAAATGGCAAATCAACAATAAATTGAAATTGCAAGATTAAATGACACTGTCACAAGTTCTAAAAGTTTGAAAGCAAGAAAAGTCGTTGATTTAGCATTCAAAAATATCAATTATTCTGTAATTGATAATAAAGGAAGTAAGAATTTAATATAAATAAATTAAAGGATCTAGATAGATATTAAAGAATTTGGATGGATTTTGTAAAGGAGGTGAAATTACTGCAATTTTAGGGGCTTCAGGAGCTGGAAAAACTTCACTTTTAAATATTCTATCTGCAAGAATTTCAAATACAAAAACAACAAAATTAACTGGGAAAGTGTTAGTGAATAATTTAGAATATAATTCTGAGACATTTTCTAATTTTGCTGCTTATGTTATGCAAAATGATGTTTTATTTGAAACATTGTCTCCAAGAGAAGCTTTTGAGTTTGTTGCTAATTTAAAATACACTGATCCTGAATTAAAGTAAAGTAGAGTTGAAGATGCAATAAAAACAATGAAATTAGAAAGATGTTAAAATGCTATAATAGGAGGACATAATCTTAAAGGTATATCTGGAGGAGAAAAGAAGAGAACTTCAATTGGATTTGAACTTGTAACTAATCCAAGTTGTATTTTACTTGATGAACCAACATCTGGATTAGATTCATTTACTGCTTTTTAAATAATGTATTTTATATAGATAATAATTTTAGTTATGAATTAACACTTTTGGCACATGATTAGGATAGAACAATAGTATTTACAATACATCAACCATCATCTGATATTTATTTACTTTTTGATCGTATAATGCTCCTTGTATAAGGAAAATTCATATATTAAGGTCCAAGAATCAATTTAGTGAATTATTTTAAAAGTATAGGATTTCCTTGTCCAGATCACAGCAATCCTTTAGATTATATGATTAGTATTATGCATTAAGAAAGTTAAACAAATATAGAGAATTTTCCTAAATATTTTAAGGAGTATGATAATTAATGGGCTCCAAATGTAAAAAAAGAGATAGAATAATGTTCTAAATCAGAAGTGCAATTCAAAAAAGTTGAAACATCTACTTTATATTAGATAAACCTTATAGCAAGAAGAGCAATAAAATCATATTTTAGAGATAAATTATTAATTAGATAGAGATTAGGGATGGCATTATTTATGGGATTATTGATAGGTGGAACATATTATGGAATAGGTTTAGATTAAGAATCATATATAGATTATTCAAGTTTAGCAGGATTATTATTTTTTTTATGTATGAATATGACATTTAGTTCATTGTTTCCTGTAGTTTTACAATTTGCAACTGAGAGAGATGTGTTTTTAAGAGAAGAAAGTTCTAAATTATATACAACATTTTCATATTTTATGGGTAAATCATTTGTAGAAATACCATTTTGTCTAATAACTCCAATAATTTAAGAATTAATATTATATTGGATGGTAGGTTTAAATAATATGAATAGTGGAATAGTGATAACTCATATATTTATAGCTGTATTAACATGTTTGAATGGAAATAGTATAGGATTAATGGCTGGATGTGCTTTTAATGATATAAAAGCTGCAACTGGATTTGTACCCTTAGCATTATTGCCTTTATTTGCTTTCTCTGGATTCTATGCGAATCCTAAATAGTTTTATAATTGGATAGGATGGATCCAATATGTAAGTCCAATTAAATATTCATTTGAAGCTATTGCCAGAAATGAATTCTAAAATAGATTTTATGATTTTGGAGATCCAAAAGATGTTCTCGGATTCAATGTGGGTTAATGGGAATCTGTAGGAATCTTAATTGTATTCTTTCTCACAATAAGAATGTTTGCATTTATGTTTTTACATGCATTAAGATCAAAATAATAATGATTATTATTTCTTTATTTTGAATTTGTGTACAATATTTAATTATTTTTATTTTCGTAATCATTATATTTATTATTATTTCTTTATTTTAATTTGAATTTAAAGGTTATCATATAAAATTAATTTTGATATAATAACTTAAAGTAATTCTTTTATGGTAGTTCAAATTGATGAATTGTAATATCTATAAAAAGAAAAAACAACATAAAAGTTTAGAAGTGAAGTTCAATTTACAATTAGGAGCATAACTGTCATTAAAAGAAATAGAATTATTGTAAGAAGGATTCGTAGCAAAAAAAAAAAGTACTTAATATAGAAAACAGAAAATAAGGTAGAAATATTAGTAAAGATTAACAGTAACTAGAAATTATACAAAATAAATTGAAGATTTAAAAGCTTAATTACATATAATTGAAGCTTAATTACAATGATCATATCAATTAAAACCATATTTTTACTACATAATTATAGATGCTGCTAATTCTACATTACCAAATGTCTAATCTAATACTGTTATTGCCTCTGCTCTTGTAGCTCCAATATTGATAATTGCTTAAATTGATTATTCTGGATATCTAGAATTGATGCTTGGTTATTGTTATTATTATTAATATGGTTACTATTATTATTATTATTACTATGGTTATTATTATTATTATTATTATTATTATTATTACTATTACTATGGTTATTGTTATTATTATTATTATGGATTATTTGATTTTGTTATCAACTATTCTTCTTGTATTTTGGAGTCACTATTTTATCTTTTTAAAATTTCCTATTCTTATTAAATACTTATTCTTTTATTAATTTAACCTTCTGGAAGAAATTGCACACTCAATTTTTCATTTGGAAATATTAAACAATTATCTTTCAAATTAATATTGCACTAAAATTAATCTTATAAATATACTTAATATCTTTTTAACATATCTAATCCAAATAAAAAATCAATACTATCTCCATCTAAAATGGTTAAAGAGCACGGTAGAAACTAATTATAATATAAATAGATTACTTAATCTAGAATTTACATTTCAACTACATGTATTCTTCCTATTATTTTTTATGTACCTACTCCTTAAGCTATACCTTAAAAGCGAGTATCAACTAATCTCATAATTCCACATCTTTCTGCGCAAGCTTTAGACATTATGGTACTTTATGCCCCACTATCAACAAATGCTTATACAGGATGACGATTAATTGATAATTCTATATACAACATAGTAACTGTGCCAAAACTTTCTGGAATATATTCTTCTGCATATTCTCGATTTTCTTCAATGTTTTTTTTATTTATCATCTCTTCTATTATCTTTTAATTTTCAGGATTTAGAGGATCCTACTCTAATTATTACATCTTCCGTATGTATTCTTATTATTCTTACAATTTTTTTTATTGCTAAATCCATTAAATTTATACTTATTGCTAGATGAATTCCATTACACCTGCTAATTTCTTATTTTATATTGATTCTGCCAATTTTGGATCTTTAACTCTCAGAGCTTCCAATGAATGGGGATTTTATTGGAAGTGTTTAATAAATTTTATTGCTTCTAATTCTAATGGAGTTCTCTGCTGCTTTTATTTTCTCTCAACAAGAACCAAATCTTCATTTTACATATTATACTTTGAAAGAGTATCATTATCATTCAATATTCTTCCTCCATAAATCAATTATTATCTAGCCACTGCTATTTAGAGCTAACATTTTAACAAATATTTACTTCTACTTCTATTAATGCTTTTAAGTCTAATACAGTTATTGTTTAATCAACTTATAAGATTGATATTTTATCTTTTACAGGATCTGTAACTTGTAATCTGAATGACATTCTTAATTGTAATTTATTTATTATTTTTATTTTTTAAAACAAATGATCCTTATCTTATCAATCACCTTTAATAAACAATACATTAAGTGAATTTATACTATTATTTTATTCTTAAATTTTCTTTCTTAAAATTAATAGAATTTATGAATCTTTTTCCATATTTTCTGTTTTAATTATATTCACTTCTATTTTTTATTTATTCCTAGACAGTATAAGATTAAAATCAATATAAAAAATAATTCAATATTCAAATAAGTGTTTAAATTTTATGTGAGTAATATTAAAATTCATTTAAAATATGATATTTAATCAATAAATTTTGGTTTATATAATCTAATATCAAATGTTTAATAATGTGTATATAAATACATTGCATATTTTATAATGAAACGATGTAATATTAAAACTTCAATTATTAATAAATATTAATAATTACTTGAGTAATTATATTAATAGTGTGCATTATGAAATAATTTAAATCGTTTTTAAATTCTTATTTTTATCACTTAAAAAAATAAATCCATGAATAAACAATTCAAGGTAGCTTTAATAGGGGATTCCAGAAGTGGGAAATCATCACTTTTGAGATCTTTAAAAGGTGAAGAGTTTCTTTATGAATCTTAAGAAACTGTAGGAGTTGACTTTTATTAAAGAAGTCTTGATTTCAAAAATATCAACTATACATTTAAACTTTATGATACTAGTGGTTGCGAAGCTTACAGATTAATTTTGAATAGACTTTTAAGCTAAATTGATGCAGTCATCATTTTTTTTGATGCTTCATAAGATAAATACTTAGAACAAATAACAAGGTGGTGTCACTTGATAGAAAATGAATTAAGAACAATACCAACATTCCTTATTGGAAATAAAATTGACATCTAAGATTTAAGTCTTAATTCAGATATTTCTTTAAAATTACCAGTGTTCTACGTTTCTGCTAAAACAGGTGAAAATGTTTAGAAATGTTTTAATAAAATATTTCTATCACTGACTCCTTAGAAACATACTATGATTAATTAAAAGTAATAAAATCAAACAACTACATGGGGATTACTTTGTTCTTGTTGCAAAGGAGAATGAATAAAATGATTTAAAATATATATTGTTTAATGATTTTGCTTTATTGTTTATTGTTATTTTCTTAGCTGCATATTAATTATTCATATTTAATACCAATACATTGGTCTAAAGTCATAAATCGAAATTAGTATTTTTTAAAAGGGAAAGATAAGGATATATTAGGATGTATAATTTGATTGAAATAATTGTTTACATTGCAATTTATGTTATGCATCAATAATAAATTTTAATTTATTTATTTTTTTCTAAAAAGAAGAAATAGTATATATGAATTCAAGAAATGGATCTAAAGAAAGACAATAGAAGGATATTGTTAAATCATTATTCTGGGAACATTCTAAAAATTTACCACCTTTTTTTGCTGAGAATGTTTTATTTTTAGAAATGGAAGTAGAATGTAATAATGTTACAATTGAAGTTGTAAATTAATTATTGGAATTATATCGTGTATTTTACTATATTATGATTAAGATTGGTGTGGAATACTTTGAATCAATAAAGAGCAATAAATTTTTGATTTTTAAGAATAAAACGTAGTAATTATTAATGAAAGGGACAGTAAATCAATGCATGAATGTTGCTTATGAAGAATTAAAACATGAAACTGCTCTTAAGAAAACAACAAATTCTGAAAATTAAGAGAAAATTCCTCCTTTACCTCCATCATCAAGATTAGTAATTGCTTAAAAATCTTAGAAATAATAAGAAGTGGAGAATCAACTCAAATATATTAAAGAATAAGACCAGAAATTACAAGTTAATTAACTTTTAGAATATCATGGTTATGAGTCACAGAGAGTTACTAGATTACATAATAAGTGATCTATCTAATTTGATTATCATAGAGCATTACAAGAGTAGGAAGATTAAGTGCAACAACGCTTATAAAGAAGACGAATGTAGTCTGTAAAGTTAAAAGGATAAATATGACGAATTTTCAATACTAATTATTATTTATGTTGTAATATTATAATAATTCGAATGTCTATCTTATTGACAACAAAAAAATTTAAATAAATTGAACCTCATTTTTACAAATATGATCAACCAAAACGAAATATCTAGAATAAATTAGTTTCTTTAATTATAAAAAACAACATATTTGAGTAGCCAAAACTTAAAATTATAGATAAAGTCAAATATTATTAATATAAAGACAAGTAACATTCACCTTCAAATCAATTTAATATTATTTTCTAATAGAAAAACTCAGCCTGCAATTAATACCGAAGATTTCAGATAATAATATTTTAAATAATTTATACTCTAGCCAAATGGAGTCAAAGAAATGAATAGATATTTGCATATCTTGAGAAGTTATAAATTAATCTAATCAAATTAATAAACAAGAATATAAAATTCATATTAAAGAATTAAAATAATTGCAAAAAGAAGTAGAATAAATTAAATTAAATCATAAACCTAAAACTATATTATTAACAAAAGAAATATCTCTTAATATTAGTTTAATAAATAAATTGACAACCGCAATGTTAAATATGTATAAAGTTTATTTTAAAGAGATTTTGAATACATTAATGAATGCTATTCTTCTAGAAGAATGAAATATGCATGATTAAGTATTATATTTAAATTAATAACAAGATTAGACTATGGATAATAATGAAGTTCGATATAAATCCAATAATTGGATAATGAAGAGATTTAATAATAGTTAAATGCTGATTTTAAAGATGTCTTATTAGAACTTGGTAATAATAATAGATGAATATTGATTAATTAATAATTATATAATACAACCGTTAAAACATAATGAATTAATTTGCCAATTACTTGTAATGTTAGACTAAAAGAGTAGTGTCAGTTTATTAATAACAATACTACAGTAAATCTCCTTAAGATAGAAAATGCATAGTATCTAATTAACCATTTAGTCCTAATGAATAAAAATATATGAAATAATTCAAGTGTATAGATCAATATAAGTATTAACAATAACCTAAAGCTATTTTATATCCACCTAAAAGAATGTCACCAACTAATAAATAACCTCTTATAGCTACTAAATTAAGAATTTAAGATAAAGAAAATAGTAATCATTTTTATAATGCTAATATTATATTTCAACCATGTAAAACACCTAGAGATCCATTATAATAATAATTGTTTTCTTAATAGAATTCACCTAATATAAAATAACCCACTCCTTAATTTGAAAATCGTTATGATTGTGATGATAAAAATTAAGAATTCAGATTATCAACATCTGAAATCAATTTCAGATTTGTTGATTCAGAATAACACACTTCTGATGAATAACAACTCAAAAATATAACAGATTAGTTTAACAATATTGAAATTCATTTAAAGGAACCAGAATTATCACCAAAATCAATTAAATCTGATGAATTTTTAGTTTAAATGGATTCTGTAAAAAAATCTGATTTTTCTAATAAATCACATACTAAAAATGTTGCAATCCAAGCTTTTGAAAGTACTCACTTTGAAAAACCAGAGGAATAGTTAGGTAAAATTTTTGGATCTTTGAAAAAAGTTAAGATCATTAAAAAGAAATAAACTTAACCTACTCTTTAAACATAAGTTACTCAAAAAACAATGGAAGATGATAGTATGTTAAAAATGGATACTTAGTAGGATTAATAAGCAAAAACAATTAGTGGATTGTCAAATATTGATTTTTAAAGTGAAAAACTTTAAACTGAATTTACGGATCTAGTATTATATTTATTTTTATAAAGGATTCACATAGAATTAAAAATACATAGATTGATGAACATGAATAGTTTAACAATTTTAGATAAAACATTGCAACTCCTAAATAATTAACATAAAATAATATTAGTAATATTATTATATATATATTTAATATAGGTTTTCTGATGTATAAAAAGTAATTTGAGAAAAATGCATGAATTTTTTTGTTATATATATTAGTTAATAAATGAGAATCTCAGATTAAATTTACATATACTTTAATAACAAATTCTTATTCAATTGAAAAACCTTTGTTATTGTTTTATTCTTTCTTTGATATAATGTGAATTAGGAAGATCAAATCGTACTTTGCGTTTTTCTTATTATTAAGTTCTAAAGGAATCATTATTCTTTTGTTATAATTTAAGAGCACTCCTTGGAGTAATACTTTTTTGATCATCTGATAAATCAGCTGTATGTGATCTATTTTTTAATTATTGTTATTCAGTGATTACAGATAAAGATTATTTATTTAGATTAGGTTCCATACTTACTTAAGTTATAGGATGTGATAATTTTGATGGAGAACTTTCTCTAGAAATAGATGGTTATTGAATAAAAAATGGAGCAGATTAAGTAGCAACATTAGATAATTCTGCACCAGTAGTAGTAGGTGTTTTCATAGTCATTGTTGGATCTTTGAAAGATTAAATCTGATCTAATGTTTATTTATTTTCTAAAGTATTCTTAAGAGTTTAAAATTAAGGAGATTCAATTTTAATTTCCTTTTAACTTTAAGATTGATCAATAACTTCTTAAAATTTAAATACAACAACTTCTTCACCAAAGTAGCTCAAGCTTCTATTAAATTTTAAATTTCTAATCTTAGGTTTTCTACTTTTCTTTTGTAGACTACTTTCAGTTGCAATATTACATTCTTCAGATATTAAATACCTTTCAGTTGAATTAGGAGATCGATTTGATGCTTTTCGATTTGTAGAAAATTTAGTCTTATTTTAAGAGTCACTTGAATTTGATTGAGCAGGAGATCCTGTCTTACTTTTATTATTTGAAAATCTATTTGATCTTTTCTATATAGTACTACTAACTATTTTACCATTTAATCTTAACTTATTCTTCTACGAATTTCTCTTGCTTATTCTTCCATTAAAATTGTATTTTAACTTCCACATTGGCATGCTAATCTATTCTATTAACATACACATCTGCAATTTTATAACTAACAAGTACCCATTTATATTGATATAATTATTACATTAATAATCAATTTTTGTAAATTTCTTCTAAGAATTTGAATGTCTTCAGGCAATCTAATTTCTCCTCTTTTCCAGGTTTTACACAAACAATAAGAATTCCTTTATCTTTCTTGTCTCTTTTAAATCCCTCCAATCCTCTACATGCTATCATATTTTGTTCACCTTTAGCAATCAATTAATAATGTTTCTGTCCTGCTAGTATACTTTTTATAGTTTATTTTATATCATCATTCAATTATAAATCGATAGTCTTCTCACCTGATTCTGTTTGCAAAGATAATTTGAAATTTTTTGGCATAATTCTTTTTATGAGTTCTTAGAGAAGTTTCTTCTTTCCACTATGTTTTAATCCTAAAATCATTATTTATTATGATTATGGAATGTCATTTGAGCTTCCTAAAGCTGCTTATTTTAAATAATAATATCGCAGTGAATGTATTGTACCATCTTGATTAATTTTTCTAACTTCAATTTTATGAGGAGTCATCAATTTAAAATCATCATTCAATCTATTTGCTACTGGGTAATACAAATATGGTTATTATTATATAATTTCAAATGTTGATTATGTTGCTATTCTCTCTGTTATTGGTTTTGTTTCATACTGACAAATGAAACTTTTCAAACTGTTCAGATATTCCCTTGCAGCTTTAGGTGACATAGCTTATCTTAATGTTGGAGATTGATATTAAGAAATAGTTGATTAGTCTTAATCTCTATTTTATCTGTTAAGGGGTGTTTTTGTTACTATTTATCCAAAAGTACTCTATTTTATTAGAGAAGTTTAGCTGTTACTATAAATCATAATAATTTTAAAAACAGAAAATTATTAATAATGCATAATTGTTAATTTGTAGATATGGAAAGATCATATTGGTTGTAACAAGACCAAAATTTAAATAATAATTCTTTTTTTTTTAGTAATTTATTATAATAGTCAATTAAATATGATATGGTCTTATTTTTTCAATTTTATTTAATATATTCAATCGATTAATTATTGTAATAATTATTACTAAAATTTGCATTAAAAAAGATTTAAAATAATGATATTTATATTATTTGGACTTATATAAATTGTTTTATAATTTAACAGAAAAATAAAAATAATTTATGAATAATTCAAGATCAACAGTGAAAAAGGGAACAAATAATCTTCCAATTTAAACAGGAGATTTAGAAGAATATATGTAATGATTGTAAATACTATAATAAGTCAAATATTGTATGATCATTAAAAGAATTGTGAGAAGGCAGGAAAATATTTGGAAGCAGAATAAGCAAAAAAAAGATTGGGAGAATTGAAAAAAGATTTAGATTCAAAAAATAAAATTGAAGTTAAGGATAGACATACAAATGAAAAATAAGAAATTGAGAAAGCACACTTTGAAGAATTTAATTAGTTTAACGAATTTTGGGATTAGAAAATGGCTGAATTTGATCAAGAAGCTTAAAGAGTAAAAGAATAAGTTCTTTAAAGACATGATGAAGAATTAAAATAATTTACAGATGAATTAGAAAATTCAATTCCTGTTAAACCAAAAGATTCAGCAGAATTATTAAGTTTGAGAAAGACTGAAGAATCATTAGCAAAATAAGAAAAGTATAATATTGTTTAATATTAATTTTAGTTATTAAGAAGCTCATTTAACTTAGTAAAGGATTTTATCAATGGAAAGAGATGAGTATGAAAAATGGAATTAATAAAGATCATGCAAGATTAGAAATCTGATTTTATAACTTAAATAAAAGTAAAGTACAGAATTAGGTGCTTTAGTTTAAAGAATAGTTTCAGGATAGGAAGAATAAAGAAAAATTAGATCATAAGAATTAGAGAAGTAATTAATTAATAATATAAAAATAGACTATTATAAAAGTATTAAAATGTCAGAAAAGAATTAAGCAGTTAATAGAATTAAGAAATTACAAGACTTGATAAAACAATGAAAAATTAATCCATTATGTAATAATCTAGAATGAATAACTCTAAAATGTAGAGTTCCTCAATAAAAAAAGGAGACGAAGAAAACTACTATATTAAATGATTGTTTAAATATATATATACTTTATTATTATGAAAATAAATTTATTCAATCCTAAGACTAAGCATAGTTAATTTAGTAGATCAACTAGGGCAACTTCAATGTTATCACTTAAAAAAGTAGATGAAACAACTGTTGGAACTCTTGGGAACTGGGCATAGACTACACTCCCTTAAGTAAAAAAGTTAGAACAAAAAGTGTCATCTACTTATAATGAAGATTATCATTTTCTTAGGGACCATGACAAATTCTTTAAAATTAATGATGATGACAATTCTCCTTATGGTAATAGAAAGTAACAATCTTCGAAAATTTTATCTTAAATTAATTTAAATGACATAAACGATTTAGAAGAGAGATTCACATTTGTTATGAAGTAATAATTATATTGTATTGATTTAAGATATTTAAGGTAATCTAAAATTGGTAATTTGTACAATGTTGCTGTTTTTACATATGCATACATATTAGAAAAACAGTTCCTATATGATAAAGCTATGTTAATTTGGTAAAAATATTTAGTATTTTGCAACTCAAATAGAGTTTATCGTTACAAAATTATTGCTTATAAGTATTTAGTTGAGCTTTCACTCTTAATGTATGACTTCAAGAAGGCTTTAATTTATTCTAAAAAACTCATTAAATATACATTATTTTTTAATGAATCTAATTATGAATTAAATGCATATGATTAAATAGGCAAGATTTTTTATTACACCAAGGAATAATAATTGGCTAAAGCTTTTCATGAAAAATTTATGGATGGTGAGCCTATGCCAATCTAAAATAAGATTCGATAAGCTATTGTCAGAATGATTGAATACAATATTCGATAAAAATAAACTAGTGGATAAATTGATACTGATAGTGATGATGATTTTGAATTAGAAAAATTAGCAGAACCTAAAAATTTAGAATTTCATCCCATCAGATTTAAAGATGCATTACTTAAGTACAAGCACTTATGGGGACATGTAAAAAAATAAAGTGAACCCTTAGGACCTATAAATGTATTGACTTTTGATAAAAGATTATTTTAAAGAGAATACTTTACTTAGTTAAGTAATAACAATAGTATCAAGAGTTTTATATTAAATAGCAACATCTCAATAAAAAAGTACAACTTATAAAAAGTCATTGATAAATTAATAAATGACATCTAAAATTTTTGATTAGCATAATTTAATTAATTAAAAAAATACAATCTTAAATTACCTCTTCCCACTAAAACTAGCTTAAGTAAATGAATTATATTATATTTATTATACTTTGTTCCTAAAGTTTATAAATTTAACAAATATTCTTTACAAAGGTTTTTATTCAGTTAGAGAGAGCAATTTAAATTAGATTTAAAGAGAGAAAATAATTAGAGAAATTTTATGATTAAAACATAGTAATAGTAACCAACAAATTTAATTTAAAATTTAGTTATCATTCTATTAGCTCATTCATTTACAAATCATTTTTTACTTGTTTAAAATCTAATACAAACATCTTCAAAACAATTAAGAAATTTTTGTTTAAAAACACGTGTTTACATAAAATATTTATTAATTTGGTTTTGCTCTAATTTAAAGTACTTCTAAAAAGGGGATAAATGATGTAAGATTGTATGTAAGTTTTTAATCTTAAGAACTTTGAATTTTAATAGTATATTGTTCTATGTTTAATTAAATTATACAGTTAGTAGTTTTTAAAAAAACAAAAAGTGTTAAAAGTAAAAAAATACCATGTAATTTATACTTATATGTGGTGATATATATATGATTAATAAGTCAAGATAAAGTGTTTTAGATGAATTGATTAATTGTAATTTTTATTTATAAAATATGTTTTCTTAATGTTTAAAAAACAAAATCTTAATCTGGAACATGATTCAAATCCAAAATTTATTTTCCATTTATTATTTATATTATGGAACAATTGAAGAGAGATAAGAGAGTATCGTCAATTAAGAAATATGGTTTTTATGCTAATAGAGATCATACGATTTAAACTGGTCCGAAGAGAATTTAATACAATATCAATCGTAAATAGAAAAAGAAAAATAAGTAAAAGGATTAACAAGGGAAAGGTCAATCTTTGTCTTAATTTACTTAAGAAGAAGATGATCGAATCCTTGGATTAGTTCAAAAATTAGGACCTAAATTCGTAAAAATAGCTCCTTTCTTTCCAAACAAATCCTATAGTATGGTAAAAAACAGGTATTACAAACATTTAAGGGAAAATCATAAAGACATTTGTTAAATGTAAGTTAAGATTAATATCTTAGACCTTGTGATATAAAAATTGAATAAGAAACTATGTCTTAAAAACCTAATGAGAAACTTGATGAATTGAATTAACTAATCAATTCTATAAATCTGTCTCCAGAAATCATTTCATTAACCTAAACCTTTATCTAACATCTTTCAAAGTGTCTAACTTGAATCTATATATACATAAAATAATTCAAAACATCTACTCTATTCTTACTGAATATATTATATAAAATTGCTAAATAAACTCTTTTTTGATTAATCAACTTGTTTTAATTATTAAAATAAAATAAGTAATAAATTACTATATCATTTTGGTAATAATGGTATTGGTTCGTTGATATCATCTTCTTTGCTCTCTAAAAAGCCAGGGGATTTAGAGATATTTGATATATTTAATTATCCAACTTATTTTTCAAAGAAAGCTAAAGTTTATTTATCCAATAAATGAATAATTTTTTCATCTAAGAAATTCTTCTCTTTGGATGTAATGATTTTTAGATATGATTCTAAATATATTGAAAATTTATTATTATGTTGAGAGATTTAATTAATATGATTAATATATTCAATATTGTTAGTTTTAATATTATTTTTTTCAGAATTATTATTATTCAAATGAATAAGTGGTTTAGGTATGAGATTAAAAAGTTGTTATTATTCTTTGGTTAAAATGATTTATTTAATAAGATCAATTTCTTATAATTTTTAAATAATATTAATAATATCTAAGTTTTGCATAATTTAATTTTTGGCATTATTGAATAACATTTTTTTTTAATTTTTACATCCGAATAAAATAAACATTTTGGAAGTGATATCATTAGGTAATTATGAATTTTGGTTATTGAAATTAAAAATATTGATTTTATCATCATTATTTTAGATATCAATAATTTGAGTATTATTTTTAGTTTGTAGATTTATTTCTTATTTTTGAAATTAAAAACGAAATATTTTGTTGGCAATATCTAAATGCATAAGAGTATTAATGATAGGTCTAATGATAGAAGCCATGATAATAATAAAGATTTGCCAAATACCACCTAATCTACTTAAAACAGTTTGAATTTTAACATAATTTCTGGTATAATTGGTTTACCTATAATCAAGTGCAATATAATGTTCTACAATATATTCACCATTATATAATTCAGTGGTTTCTCTCCATTCTTATTATTTAAGATTTTCTTTAACATGTATATTCGATAAAAGCCAACCATCATCACTAGTAGTTTGAATAATTCTGAAATATTATTTAATAATTTTAGAGGTTGATACAGAATAGCCTGAGAATTCACTATTAATAATTTATTTATATGGTTCAGTTGGGTTATTGAGTTACATTAAGTAATCACTTGTATAAACAACATAATGTCCAGACATTAATTTGGATGTTATTTCTTCAGGTTATGCACAATTCATATATTCAGTAGAGTTTTAACAAACAGTGAATTATATTTTGAGATATTGATAGACCATAGCATTTAATTATCCTTATAATGGCTTTTAAATATAGTTAATAAGATTTACTGGTGGATTTTGTTTAAGAAATTCTCTATTAATACATTGCATTGTCCCTAATCTCATTCTACTAAAATAATCACTTTATTATTCAGTAATAAAATGTGACATATTACAAGTTTCTGTTGGAAGGAGTTAACATCTTAGAAGATATAAATTTGTATAAATTACTCTACAGTGACTATAACTTGTCCATTTGTCTCATTTTTTTATCTACTTCTAATACAATGAAATATTGATATATTATAATATTTTCCTAAACCATTAAGTTGAAATCCTTTACTATCTGTCGCAGAAATAGCTAAAGTAAAGTTATCATTAAATAATGGGTATGTCTAATTAAATATGGACTCTACTTTACTTAAGTATCAAAAACTTGAATTTCTGATGAGACTACAGATGGCTCAGCTTTGTATAACATGGAGGCCAATTCATTTGTTAAATAAATTAAAGTGACAGTACCTATCATGATGGTTGTTATTAATCCAACCATTGAATTATATTTCTACCTGTTCAACACTAAAAAATTTGGAGGTTGACCAAAGATGTCTAATTGATCAATTGCAATATCACGAAATTTTAAGACAAGATTTTATGTAGTTTAAAAAAATTATGGCATTTTTAATAGTCATTTTATTAATATTCAAAATAAATTATTATAACCCACAGCTGCACTAAATTGTTCTCCTATGCTAGATTTTGGATTGTATTTTGTAAAAAATTCTTATTTCAATTATTCAGTCTTCATTTCTTCTCTTGTTAATGTATGTTTCTTTTAATATTCAGCTACTGATCTTTTATCTTTCTTTTCTTTTCTTTCTTATATTCTTTCTTAAGCTGTCTATCTACGTTTCTTTGGTTATTCAATCTTCAAAATCTAAATTCCTTTTTTCTCTTATTCTAATCTATATGCTCTTGCACGTATATGTTCTGCTTCAGATAATGTCTCTTTTACTAATACTCTTCTAATGGTTCCTTTCAATTAATCTACATTTGTTGTTTTCCATTTGTTTTTCAATTAATTTAAATCATAAAATTTTTCTATCTTTTTCTCAGCTTCCTTTTATTTTTCTCTTTTTGAATGTGCTCTTATCTCTGTTAATCTATCACTATAACATGAAGCAGTATCTTCCAAAGAAGATCTAGATAATTCTCTTATCGTTTTCTCATCAAAATGAAAATCATCTCCATGTTCCAATTTGTGTTATTGAAATTCATCTGTTTTTTTTGATACAAACAATCTTATTGATTATAAATATTTATTTATCTCTTATACATTACGATTAGGAAGACCTTTTAAAAAGTCTTCCGTTATATGTTACTTTTATTTTATTAACTCTTCTAATCTAAAAAATTCTTTTTCTCCTCCTGCATCAAGTATATGTTGAATAGCATCTCTCATTTCATGAAATAACTTCTTTAAACCAGTTCTCTATTCTTAATTTAATCAATATTACCCATCTCAAAATATCTTCATTCTTTGTCTGTTTAAAAGTTCCTAAAGTCTATCTAATTCTTTAAGTCACTTATTTACGATTCTTTTTTAATCTTTAAGTTTTTATTAGATCTTCTGCCACCAATTATTTACAAATATCTTTAGCTAATGTATAAGCTTCCTTTGCTTCTGATAAGTATTTGCTTCTTATTGAATCAATGTATCTAAAGTAATACTCCTCATCGTTGTATGATTTTTATTCCAAGTAAAAATCTTTTATGAAGTTCAAATCTTCATCCTATAACTATACTAAAATCATTTACCCCTATTTCACATAATAAATGTTTCTCCCATGCTATAGTTTCTGGATTACCTGTATAACGATCATATTTTCTTAATGTTACATTTGTTACATCCAGTTTCTAAACAGCTGAAATTGGTAATCCAACTTATAAAGATTATCCATTTCGATCTCTTCCCATTGTTCTCTGTATTTAATTACTATTGCTCTAAATAGATTACATACAAAATAAAAATTAAATAAATTTGGTTAGAAGAACTGATTAATTAATTTTTTTTAACATTTTATATAATTATTTAAAACTCTTTATATATATTATATTAATTTTTTAATAAAATAACACTAATCATGAACATCAATTAATTACCTTAAGGAGAATAAAATGCAACGGATTTCCTTAATCGAATTCCTATCGGCAATAAAATAATAACTATCATTACAATCTTCGTCTTTCTAATCAATTCTTTATTTGATCAAATTTTTACATATTACTTTTTGAATATTCCAGAATTAGTTTTTCATGGATTTCAATTATAGAGATTATTTTTTACGTAATTTATTGAAGGTAAAATAAATAATATTAATTACTTTTAGGATTTTTTGGATTAATTCTCATGCCCATCTTTTTTATTATGAATTTTTCAGATTTAGAAAAAACTCTTGGATCAGTTGTGTTTTTAATTGATTTCTTTATTAAAGGGTTCCTGGTTTAAGTATTTATATTCTATCTAAATTAGATCATATTTTTAATCTTATCATTGATCATATAAAATGATAGCATGCCTTCTTATGGGTTGATGAATTTATTTATTGTTTACTTAAGTTTACAGTAAGTCTATTATTAATTTAAGGTGTTTTGCTAATCCAGAATAACTAAGAACTTTTTGTTTCTTTCCTTGTTTAGTACCTTCAAAATACATTCCATTCATTTTTGTGTTATTTGGATTCTTTATGAAACACAGTATTGATCCTGTTGCAGCTATCATACTCGCTTTAATTGAAGCCAAATATTTCAATTTTATGATTTTCAGACCTACTCAAGTAATTTTTTAATTATAACACTAACCCATTAGCAATTCATTTAAACAATTGAAAATAGCATTATATTTAGTAGCCTTAAACAAAGATCAGATTTCCATCTCATTAATCAAGATTTCTAAATTGGATCATCTAATTAATAAGAGAAACCAGCCACAAAGACTTAAGAATTTTAAGGATAAGGAAATCAAATTGGAACCAGTATTAATTTTGATAATATTGTCATTTCTGATACGTAAGAAATTCTTTAATTTTAGCGAATAATTTTAATAAGACTATTAAAAATGAATAATAATTAATATAAAAATAACATAATATAATTGCTTTTCCACCATATTTTTATTTGACTTAAATATCCATAATAAATTAATTCCCTTTCTTATTTTCATCTTTTATTACTGATCCAATCGGCCCATTCTTTTAGACATTTCAGATTTTTTTAAATACATTTACAATCATAGTTTCATATAAACATTTTAATCAATTAATTTAAGAATCTACTTTTTCCAAACAACACTAGATATATTATTAAAGTATTGTAAAAATAAAAATAGATTGCATCCAACTAAAGAATTAATAATTTATCAATCTTTAGACTAATTACGAAAAAAAAGTAATAGTAATTTAAAAGAATTGAAGCTAAGAATTAAAAATAAATTAATTTATTTATTATCAATTATTATAATCTTAGCTCTCATATAACTTATATAACTTGACTCGATAATAAATCAATCAACTTAAAGAACAAGATATATAAATGCTTATTTATTTTGAGATTCATTCAGAAACTTTTGATAAAATTAAATTAGCTGAAAAATTCAAATCAAATTGTAATGTATCTAATATACTTTTGATGTTTATTTAAAAAAAAAAATTTACATCAACTTATAATACCTATATTTCCTTGTAAATTAGTTAGACAATTGAAAACAAAAATTAGAATTTCCTGGGGAATATCTATGCAGAGGCTTAAAAAAAAGGGTTATTTGAAATAGTTAAGCAATATAGTATAAATAAACTTAATTTAATTCTTAAGCTTCATTTAAATAGGAATAAATAAAACATTTATCATAACTACTTCTTAGAAAGGGCGAAGGATGTAATAGAATTAATCAAAAGCATAATTATAAACTTGAAATGTCTACAAAATTTTAGTTTATTCTTCGTAATAAAAGTAACAAGAGGAATCTTGATGTTTAAATTAAATTATTATCTTTGATAGATTTTTACAATTTTATTCTATTTAATTTGCATATTTCAATAATAAAATTAATATTTCGAACATTGATTCAAAGATTCTATCTTTTTTGACAAAACAATACTTGAAACTTTCAATTTAAAAAATATAAATTTCAATTGTTAAATGAATATAAATAAAAAAGAATATTTCTTACTTGCGGCACAAATGTCTCATTATATTATCGAAATTTGTAACCTATTTAGTAAGATCTTTTTTATATTTACGAGATGGACAGTTTGAGTTCATATTGAGGAAATTAAACTGTGGCAATCTCATATATATACATAAAATGAATTTTAATAATAGTTATTTTGCCTAACAATTAATTTCTTTTATTATGGGTTCTTAAAATAATAAACATTTCTTTAAAGTTGAACTGATAAATAAAATTAATATTACCACATTAATTTGGATAATATGAATTACACGAAACTTAAATTGAGTGTTAATGCAAAATGTTATGACTAAGTTTATAGAAATATTAATAAAATTGCAAAAAAGTAAGAAATTAAAATAAATTTAGACGAAAAATCAATTGAATGATAGAAGACATGATATTAATTGATTGATTAAGATTGGAATAAATAATTTTGAATATAAATATAAATAAAAATATATTGTAATTTAATAAAAAATGCATTCATATTAACAGCAAGAACTTATTGAATTATTGTAGAGTCATTCAAACATAGCTATAGATCGTTAATTGATAAGTTAATTGTATAATAAATGCATGCAAGATGTAAATAGCTGAATTAGTTGTATAGTATAAACAATGTACACTTTCATAATTTGAAAAGGTGTATAGAGGAGCAATTTAATTGTTGAATTAGAAAATAGCTAATTCAAAATAATAACTATAAGAAGAAAAGGATAATTTAATAGCAATAGATGAGAGATTGAAAAATACACCTTAGATTAATAACAATAATAATAGAACACCAATGAGATTGACTATGCATTCAGCATCAGTATTAAATTTATAGGTTCAAAAAAAATATATGGTTGAGTCTTATGCATTTTATATGAAAATAGAGGATTATTATGAATATGAAAGTGATTTTAAGCCAAGCTACAATTTATAATACTAGATAAACCAAACAATTGATATTTTAGATGTTGGTGACAGTATTTTGATAGCTTTGAATACAAATACATAAAATTAGATGAACAGTACAATAGTTATACCAACATACTCTTTATAGTTTAATTAAAATGTTACTGAATTACTGACATAAAAAGAGAATGACGAGTTATTAGAAATAGAAATTACATATGAAATTAAGGTTCTAGATTAGAAGTTATTGAATCTTCAATTAAATTAAGCTCGTATTTTAGTGATATCTTATATCAAGAAATTTGAAGATGAATTAGAAGATTATACATTATAATTGCAAGATCTAAGATAGATAAAGATTCTTTAAAATAATGAAATTGCTAATGAATTAAATGATGGATAACAAAATCTAAGTAGACAAGAACCATCTCACAATACATATACAATTGGAGTTCCAGATTATTATAATAAACCTTTGGAATTGTAAAGCTAAGACTGCTAATAGAATCCTTTAATTTAGCAAAGATAATTAAATATTATACCATACATAATTGGAATCATTTTGGCTTCCTTTTGTAACATTTTTATAAACGTACTGTATGAATTACCTTTCTTAATGGTTGTTTTATTCATGGCTTTAAAAGAGGATTAAACAAATATATATACAAAATTATTTATCTTATTATCATGGATAATGTTTGGATTAAATTTATGGTTGCATTAATCATAAATTTTAGTCAACATAACAAGCATATAAATAGGATGGTTAGGATTATGTATATTATAATTATATAAAATTTATTTAATTTTTTTATGATAAATAAATAATAAAAATACTTGTGTTTTATGTTAATGTTTAATCAAATATTGGTCAATTTTATTCTATGATTTATGCTGATGCTATTTCTAAGTAAAAATCAGAAAAATTATTAAAAGGCACTAATAAAAATAGATTAAAGATTTAATAAGAATTAATCAATCTAAAAATATTTTGATCAATTTTAAAAATTTAGCTATTATTAACTAAGTAAAACTAAAATAAAATCAGATTATATTTTCTAGCTTAAGGTTCTTTAAAATATGAAAAAATAAAAATTAATGAAATTTTTGAACACTTATATTGATCAATTTAATCCTATTTTATTTAGGTTTTTTAGAACAAATATATTATGCTCTAATTATAATACTTAAATAACTAAAAATTAACCTTAGATAATTCAAGAAACAATTCATTAAAACAAATTATAAACTTTAATTGCATTTTTTGATATAGTTGAAATTCTTGTTATAGATACAGTTAATTCTGTATCTCAGTCTTAGTCAATTTTAAATATCCAATTATAAGGCCTTAGTTTAATGAAAATCCTTTACATAAAGATATTTAACTTAAAGGGGATTTAGAATAAGATTTAAGATTAAAGATTAAAAAGATTCATCATTAATTGAATATATCATTATATTAATCTTTTATTAATTAATAATTTTTATTTAATTATTATTTATTTTTATTTATCTCTTTTATTTCTGTATTACAACCTTCACTTTATTCCTTGCACTTCTAAATAATTTATTCAATATTTTTCAATTTCAAAGGTAAGGGCATACACTGGGTTTTTTCTGAATTGAAATTTTATCTTAAAAAATTATTGTTATTCTTCCTTGTATATTCTAATTATTTTTTATAAATTTCGTATCTCTATTTTCTTTACTGAAGTAATTGACTAACTTTGAGTAAGAGTTTTTCATTATTTTCATGATTGTTAGGGCTATTGAATCTAGCAAATTTAAATTTAGGCATATAATTTTAACAAGATTGTAGTATATTGATGTAACTTTAATCAGGAAGCATTAATTTATAAGGATGTTATTTTTCTTTATATTGTTAAAGAACTTCTTTTTCAATAATTGTTTCTTGGATTCTTGTTTCTCTTCGACTGAGCTTTTCGTTTTTAATATAATCATCCATTTTTTTGTAAATGGCATCTTCATGTTATGGAATTAGTATTTCAAAAACTTTATTGGTTTTTTTAGGTAGAAGATGATGTATTTTAATTTATCTTGTTTTACCATAAATCTTATTAACAAATTCATCATATTATTAGTTCAGAAAACCAGAACTGAATGATAATTATAAAGGAGAGTAATGACTTCTACTTCTTTAAGTTGTTAATTCATTAATATTATTCATTTTATATATTCATTTATAATATGGCTATGGTATATATTACGAAGGATGTTTCTAAAACATAACTCTACTATCCATAGAAAGTATCCTACTTTGAGGAGGAAGCATTTAAGATTATGGCACAGCTTATTATCGTACCATTTTAAATATGCTTTTTGGTTTTTATTATTATTATTATTATTGTTGTTATTGTTGTTATTGTTATAATAGTTTTTCATAATTGAGTAATTATTTCAAAAAACCTGCATTTGGGTTTACTTGTCTTCGTTTTGATTTTAATTTCCATAAAGCTTTTTCAATATTTAAATTATTCTTGCGCATCAAATATGCAGCAACAATTGTAGGAGATCTGCTAATTCCCAAAAAACAATGAACTAAAATATTTGTATGTTTTCTATGACGTTCTATAAAATCAAAGGTTTAGTCAGCAAATTATAATATATTGTAATCATCTTTATCATGTGCTTAAATTACATGATGAAATTAAACGACAAGATCAGAATACTAAACAGCTGTCTCTTGACTTGCAGTTAAAACAGCTCTGATTTTTAATCTCTTTAATGTTTCTAGATCTTTTGCTCCTTCATATCCTCCAACATAAATAGCTCCTTCTTCATGTGCTGCTCATTTAACTTTCAAATTAGATACTTTATTCTACTATGCAAGTCATTGGATCTGGGTCCACTACTTAAGGTACAGAATATACGAATTTAAGATCGTCTATTGGAATTGTTGTTGAGACGATACTTCTTGAGAATGGATCAGTTGTCAAAGACATAAAGTTAATTAAAATTTCAATATGATTCTTTATCTTTTTTAAGAGAGGATCCTTCCAATTCGAATTTATAGTTGCTCTCATAATTATAAATTGGAGTGACTGGGGAAGTCTATTAAATTGGATCTGATCTCCTTAATGAAAATCGTTAACTTTGCTCTATAAACTACTAGGTTGACAAAGGTTTGTTAGTCCAGAGTAATTGAGCCAAGAATTACACAGGTAAATTATCGATATTATGTTCAGTACTTAATTTCTATTTCACAAATTGGTTAACTTGTATCTGATAATATTTAAGATCAAAATTAATTCTATATTACTTAAATTCATCAAATCGATTGTTTTCTTAAATACAATTTACTATTAAAGTTGTGTAAGAAGATTAAGGCATCAATTTTATTTTCAAACTTATCAGCAATTCAGCTATAGACATTATACTATTTAATGGTATAATATTTGGGAGGATTATTGTTACTTTTTCTAAAATAGGAACAAATGGAACTACTATGTTAAATAATGCTTATCGACATTCTAATTTCAATTCATTGAATACTGGATCTATTATCATCAATGATGGACTAAATGGTATCACTATTACATTATCACAAATGTTTGTATTTAGATTTTAGAAAATACCACTAAAATATATTTCACAATCATCTCTTTCTTTTTAATAATCAATATTTTCCATTAACTTAGAGTGAATAATCAATGGAGAATATTCAACTTCATATTCAGGATAAGATAAAATCAAAGTTATTTCATCTTTATCCACCTAAATATCAGGTTGTAAAAATTCCTTTTTATATACAAGAATTAAGGGATATTTCTCAAGATTAATAATTTTGTATCTTAAACTATTCAAAAGAGCTTATCGTTCAGGATATGTTTCTAAGTGAAATTAAACATCTTTCAATGATTCTAAATTAATAATGTTCTTATTTAAAATTGAATAGTTCATTGAATTTGAATTCTTTCGAATTTCGGCTACTTAATTTTATTTTTTGATGAAGCAACAATAATAGCCATCATCTTCATCTTTCTCATCTTTTTTTTACTCTTAATATAATGAAGACATAGTGTTCATGTATTATTTCATTTTAAAACAAGTTTAATTCCAAACAAATATAGTATTAATTTTAATGAAAAATGGCATTATTATTACTCAATCTACGGTATAAAAAGATCTCAATTATGATTAATTATTTTAATTAATAATTGATGTACTTTAATATAATTGAGAAATGATAATGTATTTGTAATATAGCATAAAAAGATAAAATAATTTAAATTCATATATGTGATTCTAAATTGATTAAATGAGTTGAATTCAAGTTCTATGAGACGGAGGACTTAATTTCCATGAAGAATTTTTTGATTTTATTACATCCATTCAAAATTTTGTAAGAACAACGCTTAACTAATTGGTTTTCATTTTTCTATTCTGAGTCATCTTTAATTTTTTTTTTCTTTTTTTGATTCTTGCTTCTGAATTCAGCCCAAATGGCTTTGGCAGAAGAATAATTAATACCAATAGAATTAGCAGCCTAAAAGTAATTAGAATAGTTACTGCTTTAATAGTTTGTTTTTCTTTGACGACAGCCTTTAAAAATAAATCCTTAATAGATTGTGTAATTTTCAAATATTTCTTTTCTGCTAATCGTGGATCGAATTTAAGCATTTCTTTTTCCACTTGCTGTTTAATATCGTCTAAAATTTTCATATATTTAATTAATACGAAATGAATACACAAAATAATCCATAGATTCAGTCATAAGTGCGTAATTTGAAGCCATAAATTTAATTAACAAACAAACAAAACTTTATTAAAATATAAATGGGAGGATGTCTTTTTAGGGAAAAGTAATACGAAGAAATAAAGTCTTAACCTCTATAAACAATATTAAGAGATGAATTAATTGTTGATGAGCTTGAAGATATAAGGGATGTAGTAAATCTTAAAAATAGTGAGATCTTACAAATAACTTTACTTAATGAAAAATGTATTGTTTTAAGAAAATATAATGAAAAAAACATGAATTTACACATAGTTGAAATAGTAGGGAATGGAAATATGATGTATTTAGAAATTCACAAATAATTATAGTATGCTTTCATGTAATTAAGGCATTGTTAAAATTTTTTTATTGGAGCTGTAACCTTGAAGGATAAATGCTATTTAATTTTGAGATTCATGTAAGGGTTGGCTGCATAAGTTTCTGTGTAGGAGATTCAATGTATAAAACAATTATTGTCCAGGTTTGGGCATTTCTGAAAATTTATCAGTTGTCATTAAGAAACGATTCGATGAAAAATTCTTATGTGTTGGAGTTATCTATATAGATGAGATGGTAATCCTAGTCTTTAGACAGATTTTCCTTAAAATCAAATGTCCTGTTATCTAGAAGTATACATCGCCTAGTAATGATACCCTATGCATTATTTAATATGAAGGGTAAATCTATGAATTGAAAAAAATATTATGAATTTTAATGTCATCTCACTAAATTCCCTTAAATTATTGTATTTTTTTAAGGGGGTAAGTTATAAGATGAGCTCACTTTCGCAAGGACCTTTTTCCGAATTATCCACTATTTCTAAATAATCCGAGGATAGGATCTGCTTAATCTTTATCAAGCATACTACATTAACAAACTATCATAAAATCATTCCTTGAATTATGGGTTGTTAATATAATATTATAATCAAATTCTAAAACAAATTTCAAATGCTAACAACATTAAGTAAAATCTACTCAATTGGTGCATACCTATCATTCAATATTATCGTTCTAAAAAGCATAATTAAATTTCAAAATGTACAGGATAATCTAATATTATATCAATCAAATATAAATAACATTCAATATTCAAAAATAACTACTAGAAATAATAATACTTATCTATTTTAAATTACCATTGATAAAGCGAATATTTTAAGATTAAATTCACTTGTTTTAGAATATGTTATTTTAGATCATAGTTATAGAAATATAAAATTCCTGAAATAATATACTTAAAAATCAAATAGGCTTTAAATCTTTAGTTGAAGTTAATTCAAAAATGAATAAATCTCTCATTAAACTTAAAATTACTATTCTTATTTAAAAAAAAAGAGAAATAATTTTATTAAAAATAATTAATAATCTTAGAAAGAAAGCTTTTTGAGTTATGTTAAGGGGCGAGTATTATCATTCTTTTTGATAACACTATTGATATAGGATAATTGAAGTTTAAAAAAAAATAGATTTTGTAATCTATTCTCAAATTTAATCTTTATTAATTCAAATTGACAGTTTAAATATTGATAAAATTTCATAAATTCAATTAGATTGGGGGTTTTGTTAGATGGTTTAACTTTATCTTGACTATTTTATTTTTTATCCATCATACCATTCTATTATAAGAAATATTATACAAAGAGGCAAAAGACCTTCTATTAATGTATATAATTACTAATTAAATATAATGCAGTGGTAATAGGTAGTATTACAATCCCTAAAAGTGAAATTAAAATATTGATAACTACTTTTATCCAACATTTTGATTGTATGTAACATGATTTTTCGGATGTCAATTAAAACAAAACTATTTAAAAAAAAAATAATCCAATAAAAAATGCAAGGATGAGTAACCAAAAGTACCAAAATATTAACACAAATTTGGTCCAACATTTTTTTTCATCATAGCAGGGCATAAAATGGGGACAATAGAAGGGATGCAAAATAGTAAGTTCTTTACAACATCCCCAACACCATTAACATTTACAATAAGAACAAGTGATCGAAACACAACCATCGATTTTTTCAACTAAAAATTTACATCTAGGACACTGAACTAATCTTTCGTTATTATTTTCAGGTAATCCAATAAATTATGTTAAATTATCCTTACAGCTTAAATTAGGATGAGATTTTTATCTACAATTTTTACAATATTCAATTTAACAATATTAACATTTTTCAAAATTTTTAGATGTTTAAAATATGACAATTTTTTAGCATTCATTATTAGGACACCACATTCGATCATTACTAGTTATAACTGAAATGTTATTTTTAAATTTAAGATATTTTTCTTTAACTTATTAAGCATATTTTAAGATTATATCTTCACTCAAATATTCATTGCAATGAGGACATTTTAAATTTTGAACATGACCACTTTAAATTTGTGTTATTAAATTCATTGTGAAGCATTGTTCACATATATTATGCATAATTTAATTAAATTTAACTATTTGATCCTCGATTCTTAATTCGAAACAAATTGAACAAGTCATTTTTGGTCTTATTGAGTAGTTTAATTCTTCAAATATTTAAATACAAGTAGAATAATTCATAAGATTACTTTGATGTAAATTTTATTTCTAATGGCAAATAACACAATTATCTGATTACTTTGATTAAATATAATCATGATCACTTGCGGTAATATTCTTATATAATTCATTGGCTTATTCTTGATTTTGACAATTTTTCAAAATTACAATATAAACAGATGTAAATAAAGGGATTTATTATTCTATATGCAATTTTTAAATTAATTCTTTTTAAGCATCATTAATAGTTATTTAAGATTAATCTTTTTGTTATTTTGTTTCTTCCTCAACATTTTAATTTAAATTATTCACTATCATATTTGTAGAAAGTTTATATATTTAATTAAATGATATAATTAAATAATAAAAACTTATTGTGATAATTACATACTAATAAATTCTTAAATTGTCATTTAAATGTAATTTTGATATATGAATTTATAGATTCTAGAATGCAGTACCCATATTTTTAAACTATAAGAATGATTAATAAGTTTAAGATAACTTAGAATGATTGAATCTCCTTATAAAGAATATTTAATAATATAATTTGTAAATTTAAATAATTGATTATATTGTAAAATATATTTCAAATTTAAAGAAATAGAATAGCCATTAATGTTGGGAGCAAAATTGTGGTAAATTAACCTGTTTTGTTATCGGTTTTATTATCAGTTGTATTATTAGGAATGGATTATGGATTACAAATTTGACACTTGTTAGAGGTAGAGTCCCAAGTATATTGATATAATGTTTTGGTAAAGCAATCTTCTTATGTTAAAGTAGAGGGATCAGCAGGAACACATTAATTTTTGCTATCTAATATACAAATGGTGTAATTTTATTTATCCCAATCATAAAAACCAGTACAAGTGTTATTAGTTTGAATTTCACATTTTTTTTAAGCACAAGTATATGAAGTTTAATTTTAGCTGGTGGTTTTATACCAATAGCATCTATCAGATAAGTTTTTACAAGTTTTTTCATTATCATTTACAATCTCACAAGATTAAATTTCTATACATTAATCTTTCTAAGTATTAATATTAACCCATTTACAAAATGAATTTTTAAATCCATTTTCACATGCAGATTAAGTTTTGTAGGAAAAGCAGTGATTGATTTCTTAACACTTCAATCCATCTCTGATACAATCAGTAGAGAAGAGAGAACATTAAGCGACAGGATAATCTGAGCATTTCATAGAATTACAAAGATTGTTAAGCCAAGTACATTTTCCATCAGTTCCTGTTGCAGCTATACAAGAATTATAAGTTGAAAATATACTACACGTACTTTAGAGGAGACAATTTTAACCATTAGAAGTACACTTAGATAATTATGAATTGCATTATTAATGAGTAGTTCCTATTAATTAAGAACATTCTTATGAAATACATTTATTATTATTCCAAAAGCAGAATCCAGTAGATGTTATATCTCCAGATTTATTAATTATTTTACCTGCTTTATCAATTACACATGATACTTATTTATCATATTTATCACATGAATCTAATGGGATACAACCATTAATTCCATCGGTTGTACATTTACTTTAGGAATAATTATAACAATCATTATGATTAAGATAATAAACATCTTGACATTTTTTGAATTCAGTACATTATTAGATAGCTGATTATTTATTAGATCGAGGTGCCCATATACATTAAATATTATTATTATCTTTAATACCAACATAACATCCAATTTTTGGAGTATTAGCACAAGTATTGATAGCTATACAATTATATCCATTAGTAGTACATTATGAATGAATTTGATTGCATTCTTAATGAGTACTAAAAATTAAATCAGTACATTTAGTATATCTATAACATTATTAATTGCTCCACAAACAAGGTCCATCTGTTCCTTGAACACAAGATACACCTTTTAGAGTATTAGAACAAGTTTGCATAGGAACACATTATTTTCCATCACTTGTACAATCATTTTATAAAGTATTACAAATTTTATGATCAGTACCTTTTATATTAGAACAAGATTTTATTAATGAACAAACACCATCTTACCATTAACATTTTTATCCATCATATTAAGTAGTACATGCTATTTCTATTTAAACATCTTTACATTTACTTTTCTATATACAACCACCTCCTAATTTAGTAGTGCATTAAGCTTTAGGATAATATTCTTCACAAGATTTCTCTGTATCAACAGATTTATCCGCTGTCTCACATGTTTTATCATAACATTAGTCATTAAACCAAACACATATTCCACCTTAACTATTATATTTACAACCCTCTTCTATATAAGCATCTTAACATCTTCTTCTCTCTATACATCCTTATCCATTTGTTGTACATTTATTTAAAAAATTTGAACATTCAGAATCTGTTTTTAAAGTTGTTGGAGCACTCTCACATGAAATCTTTTGGCATTAATTTACTAATGTACATTAACCATCACTACCTATTTGACAAGATGATAAATATTTATATTCAGAACATTTTTTATAATTTGTACATCCCATCCCATTTGTTGTACAATTTTTACCATATTTCTAACATTATTCATATGTTGAATATGATTTTGGAGCATGTTTGCATTATCTATTATAACATGAACCATCTATCCAAATACATATCTATCCATCACTTTAATTTATACATTCACTCTTTTTGAAATATAGCAAACATGATTATTAAATATCAAAACAAGATCCTTCAGCCCATTAACATTTCATTCCTTCTAAGGTAACTATGCATTAACTTATAGAATTATACATTTCACATTTATCCATTTTATTATCACATCCCTTCCCATCTTTTGATACTGTACAATTATATAGATAATCTTAACAAGCTTAATGTTAAGTCAATGTTTCTGGTGAATTTTAACAAGAACGAACTTCACATTATTTTTTATATTTATTCCATTAACATTTGTTATTATCATTTATGTTAAAACATTGTATTTCTACTTTAATCTCATTGCAACTCAACTTTCTTAATTCACATCCTGTACCATCTCTCTATACTGTACATTCTTGAAGATAATTTCTACATTCTTAATCTGTTTTTAATGAATCTGGAGCATTTTAACATTATCGATGAGTACAACCAGTATTCCAACCACATTTCTATCCATTTGATAATTGACTACATTAATCCTTCGTTTAAACTTAATCACATTAAACAAAATCATTAATGCAACCTTCNTTATATTAGAACAAGATTTTATTAATGAACAAACACCATCTTACCATTAACATTTTTATCCATCATATTAAGTAGTACATGCTATTTCTATTTAAACATCTTTACATTTACTTTTCTATATACAACCACCTCCTAATTTAGTAGTGCATTAAGCTTTAGGATAATATTCTTCACAAGATTTCTCTGTATCAACAGATTTATCCGCTGTCTCACATGTTTTATCATAACATTAGTCATTAAACCAAACACATATTCCACCTTAACTATTATATTTACAACCCTCTTCTATATAAGCATCTTAACATCTTCTTCTCTCTATACATCCTTATCCATTTGTTGTACATTTATTTAAAAAATTTGAACATTCAGAATCTGTTTTTAAAGTTGTTGGAGCACTCTCACATGAAATCTTTTGGCATTAATTTACTAATGTACATTAACCATCACTACCTATTTGACAAGATGATAAATATTTATATTCAGAACATTTTTTATAATTTGTACATCCCATCCCATTTGTTGTACAATTTTTACCATATTTCTAACATTATTCATATGTTGAATATGATTTTGGAGCATGTTTGCATTATCTATTATAACATGAACCATCTATCCAAATACATATCTATCCATCACTTTAATTTATACATTCACTCTTTTTGAAATATAGCAAACATGATTATTAAATATCAAAACAAGATCCTTCAGCCCATTAACATTTCATTCCTTCTAAGGTAACTATGCATTAACTTATAGAATTATACATTTCACATTTATCCATTTTATTATCACATCCCTTCCCATCTTTTGATACTGTACAATTATATAGATAATCTTAACAAGCTTAATGTTAAGTCAATGTTTCTGGTGAATTTTAACAAGAACGAACTTCACATTATTTTTTATATTTATTCCATTAACATTTGTTATTATCATTTATGTTAAAACATTGTATTTCTACTTTAATCTCATTGCAACTCAACTTTCTTAATTCACATCCTGTACCATCTCTCTATACTGTACATTCTTGAAGATAATTTCTACATTCTTAATCTGTTTTTAATGAATCTGGAGCATTTTAACATTATCGATGAGTACAACCAGTATTCCAACCACATTTCTATCCATTTGATAATTGACTACATTAATCCTTCGTTTAAACTTAATCACATTAAACAAAATCATTAATGCAACCTTCATTTGAAAATCCAATTGTACAATTTTTCAACCAACTACGACATCCACTTTCACTTTTTATACTTTGAGGAGCATCTGAACATACTCTATCTTAACAAATTTATTTCCTTATATTCCAACTACACTTATTATCACTTTCACTTTTATCTGTTGCATTAATTCTAACCTTTGAACAATGGTCTTATTCTAAACCATTACAATTTGTAGGTTATTCTACACAACCTCCATCTTTCCCTACTGTACAATCTGATTTATAACTCTTACATTAATCATCTGTATTAAAATACTTCTTATTTGCATCTGTGCATTATGCTTCTCTACAATTGCTAACTAATCCATTGGAATGCCAAAAACATTTCACACCACTACTCTATATATAATAACATTGTTCTCTAATCAATAAAGAACAATCACTTGGTTCATTGACACATCCTTATAAATTTGTCTTTACTGTACAAGTAGGTAGCCAAATTCTACAAAGAAAATCTGCAGAATAAAATGAAGGAGCATCTCTACAAATTCTATTATGACATTATTAATCAATTTCATTAATTGTTTTATCAAAAGAACACAATCCTCCATTTAATAATTTAACGTTATTACATATTGCTTCAGATAATCCATTGCATTAAGCAGGTTTTTATATGCAATTTTAATCTTTACGTCCTTTTGTACATGTACTCATAAATTCTTCACATTCTTCAGAATTAATTTTATTCAATCCGAATGAGCATATCCTGTCCTTACAAGCAGAAGGATTTGCAGTGACATCCCAAAAACACCTTTAATCACTTTCTAAAATGGTTTGGTCACATTATATTTAATTTGAAATAGCTGCACAAGATTTAAACATATTAACACATCCTATTCCTTCAATTCCTAAAGTACATTAAGTTCCTAATGTTTAACATGATGCATGAGTCATATTTAAAGAAGTATTATCTGGACATTGAAAACTTCTACAAATAAATGGTTCAATATTGAAATCATAAGTACATCTTGTTTTGTCTTATAATATTGTATCATTGCATTATATCTAATTTTTAATAGATCCACAATTTGTAAATAAAGGAACACAATTAGTTTATTTATCATTCAATGTGCAACTATCTAAATATTTATTACAAATGGCATGGGTATAATATCCTTCGTTTTATTCTTAAGCATTCGAACAATTACGATCTTCACATCCTTACCATCCACAAAAAATAATATTATTTGGATCAACTGTTAATTTATTACATATATCACGTCTTTTATATCCTTAACAAGTAGAAGGTTCTTAAATACATGCAGTTTCATCATAATTGATAGTACATCTAGACATAAATGATCTACAACTTTCTTCTGTGAATTTATCAAAATTAATATCCTAGCATTCTCTTGACCTGCAAATTTAAGATTCATCATTCCAACTACATTATGTTATTTGGTCAATTAAAACTACAGCAAAACAATGATCTTTTGTTAAGACATCTTCACAATTAGTAGGCTTTTACATACAAATACTTGGGTTATCTGCAACTGTACAACTTTTATCAAATTGAGTACAAGATTCATTTGTTTAAATATTAGGAGGAATATCTGCACAATTTAATATTCTACATTATTTATTGTTCTAATCATTATTATTCCAACTACATTTTATTCCATTTGTTAATTCTTTGCATTAATATTAATTTTTTTAATCTGAACAATTTAATGGTCTAACTTTACATCCTTACAAATCATCATCGACTGTACATTAAACTAAGTAATTTCTACATTCATCATCAGATTTAAATGAATCTGGAGCATTCTCACAAGTTTTAACTTCACATCTTTAACCAAAATAACACTATTGATTTTCGAAATCTTTAGTGCATAACTCTTATGTTGTAATATTTTAGCATTCTTTTAAAATACAACCTTCTTTATTAGGTTTAAGAATGCAAGTAGAAGAAAATTGTTGGCATTCTTAATTACTTTTTAATTCTTTGGAAGCATTACTACAAATACGAGGAATACAAACATTATCTTAAAATATACAAAGTGAACCATCCAAAATAGAAATACATTATTCTTCTTTTTAATAATTAGAACATGAAGCTTTTTTAGATTCACATCCTGTTAGATCTTGTTAAACTGTACAAGTAGATAAAAATAGTTAACATTATTCATGATTGATATATGTATCAGGGGCATAATCACAAGTTTTTGATTAACATTTATTTTAATCCCAAAAGCAAAGTTCATTTGTGATGGTTTAAATACATTAATTTTCAGCAGTATATAATGTGCAATCTGAAACTTTATTAAAACAACCAATTCCTGAAGATTTTACAATGCATTCAGGTAACCATGATTAACATTGATCATTATTTTAATATTCATCAGGAGCATTTTCACAATTTTTATCTTCACACTTTTATATATTTTTATTCCAATAACATATTTTTGCTGTTTTATCAATAATACAATTATATGATGTTTTTAATAATGTACATAATTCTGGTATATCTTAGCATCCATTTTATCCATCATTAACTGTACAAATAGAAAGATATTCGTTGCATACTTAATGACTATTATGTGTTGTAGGAGCATTAACACAAGTTTTTTCTTTACATTTATTCTCATCCCATATACATTATTTACTTTAATCAAGATTTGTAAAACAAGCCTCTTATATTTTTTGATTTTCACATTATTCTTGACTTAATTCACATCCTCCTCCTTATTTTGTAGTGCAAGTTTTTAACTATTTTCTACATTATTAATCTGTATTAATAATAATAGGTAATTATTCACAACTAGTTGGATATTCACATATTAATGTTTAAGTATTCCAAATACATAACATTTCATTATAATCTTTCTAACAACTTATCTAATTTCTATAACTAGTACAATCACTTAAATCGATGCATTAATTTCCATCACTTATACATTTATTAGATATATTTTAACATAATTCTGATGATTATTAAGAAAATAATGTGCATCCAGCAAATGATACACATTTTTCTTTAACTAATGCACAACCTTCGCTTATATTGCATTAGTCCTTATTAATCAATTCACAATAAGATTATATTTTTGTATTATTCTGTAAGTTTATACATTTTTTCTCATTCCAAGTGCAATTAAAAAAAATACATTCTTTTTAATTCTAGAGTTATTCACAATTGCACTATTTATTAGAAGTTGATATTTTTGGTATTGTTTTTTCTGTAATCTCTGAATAAACTAAGTATTATATCATAATTAGAATTAATCCTACTTTCATCATCTTTATTTAAATTATCAAAATTTTAATTCCTTAAATGATTGTTTTTCTATATACTTTTTTAGTCATTTTCGATATGATAGATTAATAGATCTTTAAACTTAATCTTTATCTTTGTATAGATTAATCCTAAATAAAAACATAAGTGAGGAAAATTAATATTCCTCTTTAATTATAATTAATATGCAATCTGGACAGTTCTTAAATTTGTAAAGGCTTGAAAGATAATACTTGTAAACACTTTCTTAGAATGGATGGGAATCTCCAATTGTAGTTAATGCAGCCGTTGAATTTGCTAACACCTTAATTAGAGATGGAAGAGCACTTTTAAAGATTGGTAACAATCCTTAAGCAGAAATGTTTTTTAATAGAGCAAAAGAAGTATAGAAATTATTTTATAGAGTAGCTTACTACTCCTATTTCAATTACAAGTGGGATTTTTTATACAGTTAACTTTGTTCGTGCAAGAGGTAATTCAATTTTACAGATTGTCTAATTGTATGAGTAACAGAATCAATATCAAAAAGCTTGGATGAATATTAAAGAAGTATTGCCTTTTATGGAAAAGTTTGCATATACTAAGAGGGTAAATATTAACGAAGAAGATTAACTTGTTTTAAAAATATATGTGTAATTACTCTTTCATGGATGTGAAGTATGTAGAATGATGCATAGAAAAGATGATATGTTGGATTAATGTAATAAATATGTAGAAATTTTACATCGTTTGGGTATCACATTTGAATCTTTACGAAATCTAACCAAGGACGAATTTCATTAAGAATTTAAAAAATGGTATTTAATGTTAGCTAAAGCTTTTTATTACATAGGGAAATCTTAATTTAAAGTTGGATTTGAAAAGGAAGCACTCCGTAATTTGTATAAATCTTGGTAAATATTTGAATTAATATATGGAATGGATGCTGCTGCAACAATAAAGGTAAGAGATAAATATGAAAAATTAAGTCAGAAAATGGAATTTGAAATGATAATGGGAAAAGAGAAAATTGATTTTTAATAATTCAAAGATGATTTATAAAAAGACGTTGGTCAAGAATTACTTAAAAAAGTAGTTACACTTAAGCCAAATAAAAACTTTAATGTATTACTGATATAATTAATGAAAGCATCATATTATCTAATAGGTGAAATCATATCAACAAATAGTAGGATAGTTATCATAACATACAACTAAATACTAGATGCCAGAATATGTGAAGAAAGTAAGAATAGAATACGAAGATAAATTGAGAACTATATCATTTCAACAGAAACATGATGAAACTAACTCTAAATATAAGCAATATCAACTAAAAAATAAGAAATCTTCATCTAGAGCTGTTTCTACTTATAATCAATCTCTATTACCTTAAGAAAGATTGTTTTCACCTAGATTATCTAATGCAACCTAATCATAAAGAACAAGTCTCTATTAGTTGGATAATCATATGGATTAACTTAAGTAAATTATTACCATTTTTATAGAGAACAATTGTATACCACTGAATTAAAAAAGAATACTCTTGATGAATTACTCTTAACAAGACCATAAATTAAATCTGAATATGTATTACCTAAAAAGAAAATAGATAATAAATAAAATGAATCGACCTAACCTATTAAAAATATTAGTAAAAAGAAATTCAAATCTAATAGATTGATTCCTAAAATTCTTAATAAATAAAGCACTTAAATTATCAATCTTAAGTCTGAGTCATAATAAAGTGAATTAAAAATACATAAGATATAAACCATATAAGATATAAATTGTTAATAATAATTTGATGATTTACATTAACCTACAACAGAATCTGTTTTAGTCTAATAATAATAATAATAATAATAATAATAATAATAATAAATTTTGTAAATTCCTTTAATTTAAAATGTTTTAACAGATATGTCTGTTGAACATAGTGAACATCTCTTTGCTGATTTACTTACTAAATATAATTTGGAATAACTTAATTTGGCTGCTTCCATTATTTAAAATGCTTATAGGAAACATTATTTAAATATTAAAAAAATTCAATCTCTCAAAACTATTGAATTAACACCAATCAATCTTCCTAAACCTATTAATATTACATAAGTAAGTGAAAAAGTTGATAGTCAATAAACAGGACGTAATTTAATGAAAGTTTCTGTTAAAGATATGAAAAATTCAGTCAGAAGAAGAAATTTTGGATTTGATTCTATTGTTAGAGAAATGAAAAATACTGATTCTGATAAAAGTACTTCTAATAAAGCTAAAACTGTATATCATATTAGTTTGATTATAATAGTTAGTTTCAATTATTAAAGAATTTTATAGTTTACCAGAATCTGAATTGTACTTTTTATCTAAATTATTCTTTGACTCTGAAATCAAGATTTGGAAACTCTCCAATATATCTGTTAGAGCTTATAGTGATACTGATTCTTAAAATTAGTAGAGTGAAGAAGAAGAAGATATAAAAAATGATATATCTCCAAGTGAAATTTGTATAAATTTATAATAATTTAAATTAGCACATTAATTACAATATATCATGAATATTTTTGCTGATGTTTAATCAATTAAAGCATTATAATTAATAGTCTATTTTAGATTATCAAATGATAAATAATAATACACTTTTAATTTCAAAATTAATAATTTTGCTAATTATTTAGATGAATATTAAAGATGGTTCTCAAAAGATCGTTTATAAAATTTTAATGGTTTGTTCAGTATTTATTGTAATTAATAAACTCTTCATTAATCTAATAAATGTCAAGCTATAGTATATTCAGCATAAGAATATGCTCATGAAATTGTGGCTAAACTATTGTATGCTTTAAAAAATCATTTTTATTTAATTAAATCAATTGTTGGATTTAAAATAGTTTCAATGAAGGATGTTATATAATATCAATTATAACATGATATAATTGATATTAGAACATATTACAAAAACAAATAAATTGAAAAAGAAAATAAAAGATAAATGCTCTTAAAATAATTTAGAATTGATCCAATTAGAATTATTGAACGTTAAACTGAAGAATTACCAACCCTCTCATCATCTAGAAATAGAAGACAATAATTATTCACAGATGAAATTAAATAATCTCAAGAATAAAGCATAATGATCTAAGAATCTGATGATAATAAATCTGAATATTCAAAAGGAATCACATCTCAATCCCCAACTGATTAAAAACATTTTTCAAATAATTATAAATCAATTTAGAATATCTCGGAAAAAGATATAATATAAGAAATTCCATAAAGAAATCCTAAAAAATAGTATTCTGTTATTCATAATATAAATACAGCTATTAGTCCTAGATTAGATAAGCTTATTTCTTCACAAGCATTAATTCGTAATAGTATTTAAAGAAAAACTCAAACTCATGGAAGTCATTTTTTGGAATTTTCAAGAAAACATAAATTAGGGTTAGTAAATAAAGAAGAATAGATTTTAGAACCACCACTTTCTAAATAAAATTTGGATGAGTAAATTAGAGATAGATCTTAATCAGATATATAGTTTTTAAATGATTATCTACCTGAATTTTAATTTGCCACTTTAACTAATTTTGAAGATTATTAACCCTAAGAAGGACCTACAATTACATTTAAATATTAAATTAATTATAAAGAAACTTATTTTCCACCTAGAGGTTAAATAATCTATCCAGAGCCTGAATAATTTCTACCAGAATATCCAGATTAATTTATAATGTTGAATATTACCTTAAAGAATAATAAATCCATTAAAACTGGATATGTATTATATCAAGAGGGTTAAACGTATTTAGTATTTGATAATAAAGATGGAAATATTATCAAAGAAATGATATAAATAGATCCTGGCTTCAGGTTACCAAACAGATAAATGAAATTATAAATTTTAGAATAATTAAAAGAGAAAAAAATCAAATTTGAAAAATCCTCTATAATTTAAGAATTATTATAATATAATTAGAGACATACTCTAATTCTACTTGAAAGATATATTAGAAGAATAAATCATTATGATGAACTCATATATAATGAAATATATTAATAATTATGTAGTAATCAAATTATACCCCCTACTTCAATTAAAAGTCTTAATTATTCAGAAAACAAAGTATCTTTAGAATTATTTCAAGATTATATTAAAACAGAAACTGAAGAGGGTATTCAATTGACTATTGAAAAGGGCATATCTTAATCCAATGAAGATGTAATCAGTAGCAAATCTTTCTTAACTTATAAATCTAAGTTTAACATAAATAAAAATAAATTTTATTATTTGCACAGACATTTTAATCTTAAAGTTGAAGTTTGTTTTCGAGAAACTAAAGTTCTGGATACAAAACTTTTGTATTTAAGTGATTAATAAGCTAAATAAGATTTACTTGTTCTTAAGAAGAATATGCATGAATTAATTAGTAACTAGAAACTTTAATTAAAAATAACACTCTACAATCCAAATAAAAATTTATATTTTTTTAGAACTATTCATTCAATTTAGGATATTGAAAAAATGCTTCATATCTTTATTAAACCATAATTAATTGGTAATTAGATAAAATCATAAGCAAAAATGTAAAGAAAATTGATAGGAAGAGCTTTGTAATTCCATCGGTAATTTGTAAGTTTAGATGAAAGGAATAGAGATAAATTTAGTGCTTTAGATTAATTTTTATTAATGTATATAATTGATCCATTACAATTCATAAATAATGAAAATCATAGATTATTGAAATAAACAATTCTATTTTATTATTTTAAATAGTAATTGAAATTGACTTTGATATCATCAAGCCGTTTGAGATATTTTATGAAAACATATTTTCACTTAAAAACTTTTAAAGCTTAAAGTAGAGTTAGTAATATTGGTAAAGTATTTGTAGAATGTGAAGTTTATTAGTTTAATTAATTTTATTTAGATCAAGTAAATAATGATAATACTTATTTCTATTTTCAAATAATACCTTAAGAAAGTAGAACAAAAGTGTTTAAGTTAGTTTTGGATATTGCTGATATTAAAAGTCTATGTAATAAAGTAACATCTCAAAATTGTTTTTAAGATAAGGTATTATATGAGATGATTAAAATCTTAACTGCTTATTTAGTATGTTAGAGAACAAATACTTATCATGGAATAAAAATTCCTTTATCGTATATTGCAAATCAATCTAAATATGATCTTCATAATACATTCACTGAAGTTACTTATGGAAGCAATATACTTGAAGAATAGTAAAATGCAAGATCTTCTCATCCAAAATTATCAATATTAATAAGTGATCCTATGCTTAGAAAGAAGTCTTAAGCTTAAATAATGGATATTTAAATTGATAATTTATAATTACCTGAAGAAGCAAATAAAGTATTAAAAAATACAACTATGCTGACTCCTATTTTTAGAGGATAGAAATTTATATATAAAACAACTAAAATTGTAAATAAGATGTATGTAATCATTACTATATCTTATCTATCTTTAAATAAATTTTAAATTGGATTATATATACCTCAAACTTGTAGAAATTTTAGTTGTTATATTTCTTCAAATGATTTCTAAAATATGAATCCAGTGTTTTTAGAATCCATTTTTCCATCTTTTTTAGTAACAAAAGAGACTATTGATTAATTTTACATTAATAGATGGAAATTTGCAGAAATGAATAAAATTTATGAAATGGCAATTAATCATCCAGATGAATTTGAGGATTTTTATAGTGAAATGCGTAGTCAAGCTAAAGCAATTCCATAATCAGAACTTTAAAAATTAACAGAAAGCAAAGTTTCTATTAATAATGAAGATGAATTCTTAGAAAAACCATATGATGATACTCCTAAATTACTTGAATCTTTTAGTGATTAAAGTAGATAAAATGGAAGATCATCAACTTAACCACCTATGTTTGTTAAAAAATAGTTTTCTAAATAGTTTTCAGTTTAAAATTCTATTGTGAGATTATCTTTACCAACTTCATAGTTTTAATAGAAAACTGATAAAAGTCTATTTTATAGAAATAGTCCTAGGATATCAAATTAATGTAGTGTAGAGAATCTATATTCAAGTGATAAAGATTTATTCTTTAATTAAGTTCTTGTAAGGAAAAACAATCTTGATATGATTTCAACTTTTGAAATTAAAATTTGGGAATCACTTATTGACAGAGTATAAATTTCTAAGAATTCATAAAATAGATTTATATTAAATTTAGATACATTCAAAGGTGTGTTGCGAGAAAATCTATATACATAAGTTGTATATTTGGGTAATGAAGTCAATGCATTGTTTGAAGTATTTGTTGAAAATGTTCGAAAACCATTTAATATGTCTAAACCTTATATACCAATAAGATTAAATGAGAGTTAAAATTTTTAGATGTATTAAAGGATTACACTTTTCGAATAACCAAAAATAGTTAATTTTAAATTAATGTTAAGAAAAGTATTATATAGTTATTATAATGATGAAAAGAGGAACCTTCAAAATTTAAAGTTAAATGATTGTAGTATAGATCAATATGAATTCATCGAATCTGACATTTAGAAGTGTTCTGTATACATGCTTAATAAACTAAAAAAGTAATTAAAATTGAATCCCTTTCAATTTATTGTATAAGAAGTTGAAGGAGATGAGAAATGTCCGTAAGTTATTAAAGTTAATGCAAATTATAAATAATATTCTACATTTAAAGTATATATTAAGTTTAATTATAAATAGGGTTATTAATATACATTATTAAAAAGAAGGGTATTTACAATGAGACCAACTTAGATATATGTATCGATATTTTATTAAGAAAAGAGGAAAAAGTTTTGTTTATATTTTGAAAGTATGAAAAATTGCAAGAATACAACGGTCAAATATAGTTTAAAGGAAATTTAGAATTGTATTCCAAATGCAATAGGGTTATTAAATTTGGGGTTGAATTAGGAATTAGGAAATAGAATTTATAGTAGTTTTAAAAATAGACTTTTGGTTTCTACATATCAATAATTGTTATGATATTTATATATTTATATTTACTAAATGTTATAAGAAGATAATTAAATAGAGAAAGAAGTGAAAAAGACAAAGCGAAAAGTAAAGAAGAAGAAAGATTAATTGATAATAAATGTTTCTGGTAAAATGGTGTAAATAAATATGTATAGATTCTTAATATCCAGTAATACGATATGTTGGTAAAAAGATGTTAAATTGGATTGTTTAAACAGATGAAAATGCAACAAATTGGGATATTTGGTGGACTGATGGAGCAGTATTTTCTGATTTATTAGGTCGAATGAATGGTAGAAAATTAAATAAGAATAAATTTAGCATATTAGAAAGTTAATCATTTTCCTGGGATGTATAGTTTAGCAAGAAAGAATCATTTGGGAAGGAACTTAATGAAAATGTACAAATAATTTCCTTAGGCTTACAATTATTTTCCTTAAACATGGTTATTGCCAGCAGAATTAAGTGATTTTAGGACAAATGTTGGTAAGAATAGAACATTTATTATAAAACCAGAGGCATCTTGTTAAGGTAAAGGAATAATGTTAGTAAAGGATGCTGAAGGTTTATCAATAAATGAGCATTATGTTGCATAACGTTATTTAAGTAAACCTTATTTAATTGATGGATTAAAGTTTGATTTAAGAATATATGTGCTTTTAGCTGGGTGTGATCCATTAAGAATTTATATATTTAAAGAAGGATTGGCTAGATTTGCAACAGAGACATATAAAAAACCATGTAAAGATAATTTAGATAATATTTGTATGCATTTAACAAATTATGCTGTAAATAAAGATAATGAAAATTTTATATTTAATGAGAGTGATTAATAAATGGATATAGGACATAAGAGAAGTATGACAAGTGTTTTTGAATTATTAAGAAGTAGAGGTGAGAATGTAGATTAATTATGGATTACAATAAAGAAAATGATGATTAAAACATTTTGTGCTGTTTAACCAATATTGGCTCATTAATATAAATCTTGTTAACCAAATAACCATATGAATAATATGTGTTTTGAAGTACTAGGAATGGATGTTATTTTAGATTCAAAATTGAAACCATACTTATTGGAAGTTAATCATTCTCCAAGTTTTACTACTGATACACCTTTGGATGCAACAATAAAGAGATAATTGATATCTTAATCTTTAATTTTGATGAATTGTACATAATAAGCAAAATAAGAGATTATTCTGTAGGAAAGATAAATTCTGTAATAAAGAATGTTAACAGGAAAACCAATTAAACTTACTATTGAGGAAAGATAGAAATTAATTAGAGAATGTTAAGGAATAAGAGATTAATATGAAAATTAGAATTTAGGAAATTTTGAGAAGGTTTACCCTATGAGAGATTATGATGAGGATTATGAGAAGTTTATTGAATATGCTGGTAAATTGTATGAAGATTCAACAGGAACAAGTATTATTAGATTATATTTTATAGATTCAAAAAAGATTCAATAATTATAATAGTAATAAAAGAGATTTGAGAAGAGTGAATTTAAATCAGAATGTCAATTAAAGCCTCTTGATTTTAGATCAGATTAAAAAATACCTGAGTGTAAGACTGAAATAGTGAGATTAAAGAGTGAGAAATCATAGGAATTATAGAAGATTATAAGAAAGGAGGCAAAAACAACTATTGGGAGTTAAGATTGCATTAGAAATTTAAGATTCAGTAGTCTAAAACCATAATAGAGAGCTATACTATAGTAGGAAAGATAGAAGAGAAGTAATAAAGTACTTAGTTAAGGTACATATATTATACCGAAATTACTATTGCTGAGTGATAATAATAAAGCTAATGCTTTTTGAATTAATTAAATATTTATTATTATTTTTTAATAAATTAATATATTTTAATGGAGGAACATTAATTAGTGATTGAATAATTGGAAAGCATGAAGAATTTGAAGCATTTGTTTCATAAAATGAAGAACGGAAACATTCGCATAGTTGATGGTCTTTCAATTGTGATTTATAAATTGATTAGACAATTCAGAACATCTAGTTCAGAATATTTAGTGCTTCTTTAAGAATTGTTTTATTTATCAATAGATATGTAATTAATTCACACTAGTGATGTATATAATAATTCAATAAAATAGTAAGTACTCAAAGTTTTACTTAAAAAATTCCCAACATCTGAAAAGGTTTAGAGATTGAAAGGATATTTATTAGAAGCAAATGGATAAGATGATGAGGCTTTAGTAGTATATGAAAAGATGTTAACTGAAAATTTGATGGATTAGAATACAAGAAAAAGGAAGATAGCATTGTTAAGAGTAAATAAAATATAGTATGTTAAAGAGATAAAATAATGTAGATTAAGCAATAGGTTAATTAAATAGCTTTCTTACATCATTTCCTAACGATGCTGAAGCTTGGCTTGAATTATCAGATATATATTTAGAGCATTTGAATTACTCAAAGGCTTAATTTTGTTTGGAAGAAGTGCTATTACTTAATACTTAAGATCTTCATTTAGCAGTAAAATTGGCAGAAGTATAAATTATGATTTTAATTGAAAGATTAACTATTGTAATTAGAATTACACTTAAGCTAAAAATTATTATTGTTTTGTTTTATCTAAAAACCCAAATGAGACAAGATGTTTATGGGGTTTATTATAAACTCTAAGAAAAAAGAAGAGAGAAGGAAATGATAAAGAATTGGGAACAATTGTAATATAGGCATTAGAAAAGATCTATAAAAAATAGGCAATCAAATATCCATTTGAAAAAGTAAACAATGAAATACAATAGTGAGATAATAAAATAAAAATAAACTTTGTCAATTTCTTAATTCCTACATCACTTCAGTAATAAGATGATTAAAAACTAATTCACTTAACTCTAAAGTGACCTCTGTATGTTCTTCATCAAATTCTTACCATCTATCATCATTTTCAATTACCTAAACTTTCATAATTATACTTACTTCTTACTTTAGCATCTTATCTAATCTCTCTTCTCTAACTTAAGGTAGAATATCATTATCAATTTGACTACCTTAAGGTAAATGTATTCCACATAAATTTTCAGCCCATTATATTACCCTCTTGGCTGATCTATTTAAAGTTTCTTCTACTTCTATCACCTAACGAGAAACCACATTCTTTCTCCAAGGCAATGGATAACCCTTTATTCCGAATGGTCTTAGATAATCCAATGATTCATTATATGCATCGAATATAGCTTTATTATGAATTCTCTCCATCTCATTCATACAAACTTCCTCTTAATTTATTTACTCTTTCTATGTAAAAATCTCTAATCCTAACACTGCTTAATGAATAAAACCACCCTCTACTGATTACTCAAGCATCTCTTCTGTCAATCTAAAGAATCTTAAAATCTCAAATGGAGATGGACCAATACCCAAATTTACTATTTGCAAAAATTGATCCTCATATTTATTTTTAACTATTTATTTTATCTCTTCCAAATATTAACGAATATATCCTACATGAGTCTAAATCTACTATATATTCTCTCTCTATCCTTACTCTTCCATTTCCAATGGAACATCCCTTACTTAAATAATTTATTACTTCTAATCCTTAAATGTATGATGAAAGAGTCTTATTTGATTAATTCGAATTATATGATACTAATTATTATTCTTATTCTTATTATTATACTCTTTTTTATTAATCAAGCAAATTCTCTTCAGAATAACTTACTCTCAAAAGCTAAATTATATTATTATTTCATACATTTATCTTTAAATCATTCAATTAATTCTTTAATAAATTACTTTAACTTAAACTTACAGGCATCATCTTATTAAAATTATCAACTCCTAACTTTTATACAAATTTTAAATCCTTCTATGTTTTCTAAATTGTCTCATAAGCTTTATACCATCCTTCTTTTATTACCTTTTTATTATTCTCTAAAAGTTCTATTTCCTTCTCTCCCCACTTCATTATCTCTTACTCTTTTACCCCAAAAGATCTAGGTGATATTCTCTATTAAACTAACATATCCTTTAGTATCTTTTTCTCTCTTTCTTCTCTCTCCTTTATCAACTATCCTCTAAGTTATAAAATCTATCCAATCTATGTTGGAAAAACATCTCTTCTATCTACAATCAATTTCGAAGGTTTTAATTTTAACTAAGGATATTCAAAATTATCGCTGAACACATTTTCTTTATTAAATTCTATATGTTTTATCAAACTCTCAAATAATTCTGATATCACAATCATATCTTGTTTTACTTATAATTTTTAAAGAAATTCTTTTAAATTCTCCCAACGAACTATTTCTTGATCTTTGAGTTTTTTAAATTATTAAGATTTTGCTAATTTCTTTTCTTTTTTTTACTTCAATATCTTTCTTATCATATGTCCTCTAAACCATTTTTAAATGCACATTGCAGCTTGATCTTTCATTTCCATTTCATAGTTTCGAGATTCTCTCATTGAAATAACATCACTATTACTTTTAAAAGTCTTATAACGAGCCTCTAATTATTTAAATTATTCTTTTAATGATTTAGGTGCTCCAGACTTCCTAGAAGTACTCTTACGATTTGCAACATAACTTAGCATTAGTGGTTTGGCACTTGCTTTATTGGAAGTATCTCTAGGAGGGGATCTACTATTTGATAAAGAATTTCGCTTTGCAATTTCAGCAAGAGAACGTAAATTGTCATTGATATGTTTACGTTTTTACACAAAAGATTATTATTTGACAGACTCAAGTTAGGAATAAAATTTTTTTTTTTCTTTCATATAATGTTTGAGTTGTTGTGGATATTAATGTCTTTCAGGTGTAAGTGGTTGATGATGTGAATGTTCAATGGAGGACATACGATTACCTACACACAAATATAGCCACAAAACATACGCTCAAGAATTTGCTCTACTCTTTTGATTCCAATTTTATTCAAAAAACTCAAACCAAGCCTATCACGATGCTCTTGAATATTATTTGGTTTATCATTGAAGAATGTGGCAGCCTTTTTACGACGAACATAATCTGGTGATGAAAACTCAATTGTTTAACTTTGTACTCTTTCAGCACTCACACTTTTTTTTATTTTAGAGGATTTCTTCTTCTTCTAATATAATTATTGACTCTTTTTTATTGCAGCATTACGATCTAAAGACTTTTTTTTTTTTATTTTATCAGCACTTTTGCCAACTTTGAGTTCACTTTTGCATTATTTAATGTTGGATTTAAAGTTGTCATACTAAACAATTTAAATAGGATCTACAGCACTGGTATCTTAATCTGATGGTCCAATAATGTCAATTTCAGAAGTCGTTTTCTTTTTCATTAATTTACCACTCAACTTGATTTGATTTGAAATTCTTCTTCCTTTGATCGGGGAATTGTTTTACATTAAATTTAATTAACAGCCAAGCGCACAATATATTTTATTAATGTCTTATTCATCAAGATATTCAAGTAGCATATCATCTACAGTACGTTCTTCAGGAATTGGCGGTACTACCACAAACACGTCCTAATACTCAAGTACCAGTACAGCTGATGTACCACAAAGAGCCAGCACTCAGCGCAAATCAATAATGTACTTATGATTTGATTATATTAAAGAGTAAAGACTTAATAAGAAACTGTGAATGTACCTCCACCATCAAAGGAACGAAAATGGCTTGGAGAAAAGCCTGAAGTTGTGTGCTTTTTATTAGCTTTAGAAGTAGATAGACTGTAAAGAGAAAATTCAGATCAAAGAACCATAATAAATGAACTATAAAGTAATTACACAAAATTGCAAAGTGAATATACAACTTTATAGGAGAAGTACAATCTCGAGATCTAACAATATAAGTAAGAAAAAGGAGTTAATTTATAGGACTACAATTGATTAGCAAAACGTGAGAATCAAATCATTGGAAGATGAAATAAATCAATATAAATCAAAGTTGGGATAAGTAGACAACTCATTGGCTAGTAAGTTATAGTAAGCTGAGTAGAGAATAAAGGATTTGGAACGACAATTGAAGGATTAAGAAAGTAAATATACATTAGAAATAAATAATCTAAAGTCTTCTTGGAGTACTGAAAGGACTAATTATGAGAGTGAGATTAAGAGATTGAAATTGGATATTGAGAATTATTTGAAGTAGATATAAGATTTGAAAGGAAATTCATCTTCAGAAGTGGATAGACTGAATAAAAGAATAAAAGAATTAGAAGCATAGATTTAAGATTATATTCTTAAAATTAAAAATTATGAAAGTTAGATATCTGATTTTTAAACAAAATTAAGAGAATGGGAAGCAAGAGGAAGAGATTATGATTCTAAAATAGCACAATTTTAATCTGATTTAGAAAATTTGAGAAATCAATTAAGAGATCGTGATTCAGAGATTGAACGTTATAAACGTGATTTGGAAGATTGGAGAAATAAGTATAGTGCATTAGAATAACAATTTTCAACATATAAATCTAATTCAGGTGGTGAAACTGATAGACTTAATGGTTTATTGAGAGATAGAGAAAATGATATAAATAAATTACAATAGGAATTAAGAAATACTATTGATTAATGGACATCTAAATATACAACTCTAGAAAATCAATATAGATAAGCCTAGAGTGAAATTGATAGATTGAATGGAGTTGTAAGAAATATGGAAGATGAGATCAATAGATTAAGATAATTAATTGATTAAATGTAAAGAGAGATTGATGATTGGAGATTGAAATATGGAGATTTAGAAAATAAATATAATTCAGCTATCAGAAATTATGAATCTTAAATTAATGATCTTAATTCTCAATTGAGACAATATTAATCAGATCTAGATACATGGAGAAATAGATATGGATAATTAGAAAATGAAAATTCTAATTTGAAGAACAATAATTCAGGTTAAGACAATTTTATTAAAGAATAAGAAAGTATTATAAGAAGATTAGAATCAGATTTATAAAGAGCATAGGATATTATTGCTTAGAAAGATTAAGAGTTGAATCGTTTAGCTAATGATCTTTCTAATGCTGAATCTAGAATTAGAGAATTGGAGTTCCTTATATAATAATTATAAGCATAAATAGATGATTATCGTAAGGAAATTGAGAGATTATAATAAATGATTTAAGAAAGAGATCATAATCTTGATATGGCTGAAAAAGATTTAGAAGAGGCTGATAGAAAGATTAATTTATTAGAAAATGAAAATGCTACACTTAATGAAGAATTGAAAGATTATAGAAAGAATTATGATGAAGTTTTAAAAGAAAATGAACTATTATAAAAAAAAATTAGTGATCTTGAATCTAAAACAGTGTTCTTGGCTTAAGAAATTGATAGATTGAAAATTATTTTAGAAAAAAGAAATAAAGAAATTGAAGATTTAAAGAGTTAGATCTTAAAGTTGAAAGCTGAAATTGTTATACTTGAAAAACAAATTACAGAGTTCCGTGAGAAATTGGATGATAAATTAAAGGATTATGATGATTTGAATAAAAAGCTTATAGAGAGAGTATTAGAAGTATAATAGTTGAATTCTTAATTAATGATTTTGAATCAATAACTTGTTTCATTATAATCAGTAAATGAGAAATGTAAAAGTTAAGAAGATTAAATCAAGGATTATCTTAGATAATTAGATGAGTTAACAAGATAATTGAATAAGGCTCAATAAGAAATTAATATATTATAAGGATTTAAGGATAGATTACCAGAGGCAGATAGAAAGATTTAAGAACTTTTGAAGGAAATTGATCGTTTACAATAACTTTATAAGGATAAGGTTACTGAGAATGATGTTCTATCATAAAAACTTAGTACAAGTGAAGTTGAATTGAATAGAATCAGATTGATTGAAAAACAGTTTAATGATTTTAAGAAATAGACATAAACAACTGAATAAGAATTTACAAGAATTAAATAAACATTTGAATAGAAAGGAAATGAAAGTGATAAATTGAAACAAACAATTGCAAGTTTAGAATAATAATTATAAGATAAAAAAGTGTTATAAGATAAATTAAAAGTACTGGAATAATAATTAGGTATAAATTTTAAATTATTATAATTAGCCTAAGCTTAAAAAGATTTAGCAAATGTGACTAAAGATAGAGATAAGAAAGATTAAGAATTATAGAAATTGAAGGATTAGATAGCAGTATTGTAAAGTACATTAAAAACAAAAGAGGATTAATTCAATCAACTGAAGTAATAATTTGATTCGAATGTAAATGAATTATCTAAATTAAAATAAACATAAGGATAATTAGAAGCAAAAGCATCATAAATAGGATTGATGAATGATAAATGGACAAGTTCAGAGAAATAGAATAAGTAATTATAGATAGATAATGATAAATTAAAGAAGGACTTAGAATCAAGAACGAAAGAAAGAGAATAATTGAAATTGGATAAAGTTTAATTGGAAAATGATTTATTAGCTTTTAAATCATAGGTTAGAAAATGAAGATTAAATATAATAATAATAATAATGTCAATAATATTTATTTTTTACATGATTGGATAATATGTCATTGATTCATTCCTTAAGTTTCTGGGTCTTTTGGAGCAATCTTTGAACCTTAATTTTCTCCATCTTTGAAACCATATGTAGAAATTCTATAGGATCTCAATCCAACACAACAATTAGCCAAAGATCCAAAGAACATTGAAACACCAATAATGATAATTAAAATAGCTGTTCTGGAAACTCCTGGAATAAAAATTACACAAAGGCCATCTAAAACATTTTTAAATGATTCCTAAAACATAAAAAAATTGATTTTACTGCCAAAAATGAACAATCTACTCCATTTAACAATTCATCTAAATGTTACATAATAGTATCAGCACCACCGATAAAGGTATTAATCTTGCCCATATAATCTTCAAATGTTTTAGAGGTAGCTTTATTTGAATCGATAATTTTTTATTCTTTTGAAAGTGCTGATGCCCAATTAGTAGATTGTTTACTGTATTAAGATTTCAATTGTGCAGTTTCAGCTAATCCACTTTAATCAGCACATGAAGGAGAACTTGAAGCCAAATATGAAGGATGCCAACATTTTTAATTAAATGTAGTACTATTAGTATCTGAACTTGATTTCATTGGTAATTTTCCATCTCCACATTTGGTAGTGGCTAATTCAACACATCCTGAATTAGATTTGAATGAATTGAATTTATTAAATGCAGAATCCAATGCAGCACGAGCAGCTGGTTCTAAATCAAATACAGATCCATCTTAACAATTTTTAACTGCTAATAAATTATTATCCAGTTTGTCATTAAAATCTTTTTTTTGACCATCAAATGAAGTAAACTACGACTAAAAATCTTTGATTTGTTGTTTAAAGTTAGTTAATGGGTCAGTAGCAGAGGCTAGATCCATAACTTCAAAGAGACTTTTTGATGTACCAGGGAAAAAGCAAGAACCAATTATATCTTTAGTATCTCCTTAATCAATGAATTTTGTTTATTAAAAGAATTCATAATCGGTGAAAAAGGAATTAAGATAATAACATACTTCTGCAAATATAACAGAGGTTGGATGTAAAAGTAAAGCTAATATAAAACATAAGATCATCAAAATGACATAAATACACCAAGTAAAATGTAGTAAACCTCTTACTTTATAAATCTTTAATAGGACTATTAATATTATTGAAGCAATTGATACTATGCTCAAACCTAAACCTACACCGAATAAAACATTAAGAGCTAGAGAAGCATAAGCCCCAGCATCCTCAAGAATTTTTGTATTATCATATAGAGTTGTGCTAGCATCATTAATATCATTAATAAATCCCTCAATTGTGCTACTACCACTATCAAGGGTGGCAGTATCAAATGAATCTCCTGAAATATCTGCAGCTTATTTTTCCAATTCTTCTGATGTTTAAATCATTCCATCATAATAAGAAGCAAAAGCATCTGGTTGAGGTGTACACTTTAAATAATCCTTGTAGTAGGATGCTAAACCATTATAATTGGTAGAAAACTTAGTATCATCACCTGAAGACATCAATATATAATCTAACTAAACAAATAGAATTAAAAAAATACAAAGTTTTATGAAGATAAATAAGTCTCTACTCCTCCATCTTAAACTGGTATTGCTGCATTTGATTTTCCTCTTTTCATACTAAAATACATAATCCATATAATTCATACTTATTATTTTCAACAATTATGCTATCCTTATCCTGTTTGATTTTTTAAGAAGTTTTACCTGAAAATGTAGTTTTCAGATCTTTTTGAAAGTCTGATATCTCTTTACTTATTGCGTCAATATTTGTGGCTAAACCTGATAAACCAGGGAATTTTGAAACTTCTGTATTTTCGTTTCCATATGCAATATCATAGAATAAGGATATTAAAGAACAACGAGCAGCTTTCATACCTCTTTCAACACCACCAGCATAAGCTAATCCTGCTATTGAAGCTGCAAACAACAATAAATTTATGATCAAAGAAAATCCTACTGGAACATAAAGCTCCATTTTTGATAACTTATTATGTTCATAATCTCTTCTACAACATTAAGATGGGGGACATTTTCTAAAAATTATATATTTTCTTACTTATCACAACAACAATAGCAGCAATAGAAAATCCAACCGAAAATTGATATTATCAAAAATACTGCCCAAGGAACTATATATCTCAACAGATTTAATGCCAAATCTATTCCAACAGTCTAATCATTAACAGCTGTTGTAACATCGGCTCGGATATTTGAGTCGTATAAACCATCAAGTATTTGTTAAGCACTATCTCTTTCTGAATCACTTACTTCAAGATCTAATTTTCATTTAAATAAATATTTACCTTCTGTACACAGCTCTTCCTTTTATTATTTAACATCTAATGTTGATTCTGGTGCTTCGAAGTTCTAAAGTAATAGAATTAAACCTAGGAAAAGTGAAGAGTAAAGGAGTTTTTAGGCAAGTTTCATATATAAATATTATTGATTTTACAAGATTTTATCCACATATTTAAATCTAGAAATGACGCACTTGCTTCTATTAAATTTAATCCTTAATAATATATCTCCATTAACTTGTTAATCAAAGTGTGATATCTAACAAAAACAGAGATTTAAAAAAATTTTTAAAAAGTAAAACTGTTGCTAGAAGAATTAGAAATATTTTCCATACTGATACACATAAATAATCAACCTCTTGATTAAATTCTTAAATAAAGATTAATAAAATTCTTTATCACTAAATTGAGCAAAATTAAATAAATAGCCCTTCTAAATGATAGAAAATGATATAATATGATTAAAATGATAAAGAAATAGACAAATAGTCAAACAATATAATAATATGACTTCAATATTTGAGAATTTAAAATTGTACATTTGGGATTTAATTATCTAATAAAATTCTTTTCTAACATATTTTCAATAAAAATAAGTTTGAAGAAAATAAATAAATTAAAATATATATTATCAATATTTAGCCTTAATATCTAGTATCTATTAAAACTTTGATTCTTCTGGTTTACCATATTTTAATTCAAACTCTTAGGGGTATTAATTTAGATGCATCCTCTAAATATTATTATAAAAATTGTTATGAAGACTTATTCTATTATAATCTTCTTAATAATAGTGTCTCTTTTTACTCCAAATAATTCACAAATTGTCTTAATTCATAATAGATTTAAATAACTTATGTTTAAATTTTTTATTCTTCTTCAAGATTTTTTACTCTATCAGCCCAATATAATTAATAATTGTATTTAGATTAAAATTCAATTAATTATACATTGTTTATTTTTGTTCTCTTCACTTAGTACATCAATTTTTTCTATTTCTCAATTGATTTTTGTTGAAAATTACAGAACGAATGCTACTGATCTTCTTTATGTATTTAGCCTATTCCTCTATTTCTTCTTCTATCTAGGCTTTGGCTGTTTTAATTGCTACATTTAGTTAATAATAATTCTTAACTTAATTTATATATCCTATTTTTTTCTATACTCACTATTTCGGTCATAAAGAGACTGTTTAACTTATTATAACTTTAATATTTTTCGATATTTAAATTGCTTCTTCTATTAAATTGTCATGTAGTTTATTTTTCTAATATCCTAAATATAATTTTTATTTGGAAACTTTTATAATTATTTTTATTTAATAATTATATTCACTCTCCCCATCAATTAGTCTATTTGTCTTTGTTTGTTCTACTTTCTATTATTTTAATACCAAAATAGTTGGGTTCCAATAACTCATTTATAAAATAAAAATTAATTACTCCGTGAAAAGGAACAATTAATTTTTATCAAAATTATTTACTTAAATTTTTCTATATCAAGTTAAAAAGGTTAAATCATCTAATTATGAGTTAGTTTTCTTCATTTTTTTACATTAAATTTTGGAATTATTTATAGAGTATTAAATTTAGAAAAAAATACATTTGGATTAACAAAAAATTATTTTATTTATTTATAAATATAGTTCGATAAATTTTGTGTAAATTATTTATAGATTATATTAAATGCTAAAGATTAATTCTAAATCTAGGACCACTCTAGCTAGTACTCCTTAATCTACAGCTGAAAGTAATCGATAGAATTTATTAATTTGGGATTAAATGTTTGGAAATTTTAATAATCCTCTTAAATCTAGAAATTAAGTTTAGAGATCGAATGCATAAAAATATTAATTGATAAATGATCCAATATGTACATCATCTCCTTTGCATAAACCAAATCCATTTTAGTTTAATGAAAAGCTTAGACAAGGTTTTTAAGAGTTTTTATGCGGGGATCGTACAGCTCTCAACTTAGTTAATGAATGCAATCACTTAAATAGAAAAGAAGCAAAGTTAAAAAATAGGATTAAACTTATCAAAAGAGCGAATATGTTTGCAAATTAGTTATAAGTAGGAAACAAATATAAGTCTTTACATTAATAAGGATTAACAGATGAAGAAATTGAGAAAAAAGTTCGAGTATATTAAAGATTTGAGAAAATAAAGAAACTAATTTAAAAGAATTCTTAAACAGAACCAAATGAAGAAAACAACCTCAAAGATGTGTAACTTTTTAGACAACTCTATGAGGTAAGTGAAGAAAACAAAAATAAAATAAAGCAAAAAAATCTATTAACAGAGAGAGCTGATGGACAACGTGAGTATAATAATGTAAAATATACAACTCATGGATATTTGAGAATTAAAAAGGTTGAATAGGAAAGATGGAATACAGCAAGTTGCGAAAAGAAATCATTCATTAAACAAAAGGTTCGAGACTCTATTAATGAAAAATTAGGGGGATTTTTAAAGGAGAGACAATAAAAGGAGAAAGATTTTTTGAACAAAGCTAAAAGAAAAATGTTAATGAAAAATAATCAGTATTAGGAATTCTCAAAAGAGAAATATGTTTTGAATGATCCTTTGAGTAAAGATGTTAAATTGTATGCTTATATGTTTATGAAAAATAAAGAAAAAGGAATAAGAACAGACAATTCTGAAAGAATGTGCCTAACAGCTAGGAATGAAGAGAGACCAAAACATTTTATAAAGAATTTTAATAATGAATTAACATCTCGTAATGTAAGCATGTCTAATGATTCATCTCTTAATTCAATGTTAGAAATTAATATAGACAATATGTATAGAACAAGTAATGCAATCTAAAATTAAATTCTTTAGAGTGATTCTGAAAAATTCGTAAGGAGGATAAAATAGTTTTAAAAAGTCTAATAACTCAATTTTGAAATAATAAAGGTGAATTAATAGAAACTCTCAACTGATCGCAAGTCAACTTTGTTTTGATTATAATATATTTATCGATTTTTTATGTGAATTAAAATATGAAAATCAAGTTAAGTTTAATTTTATAAATGACTTAACAAATTTGAAAAAGCTTGAACATTTTGATTTAAAAATATGATAATTCAAGAGAATAAATTGATTTATTATATAAAATTAAAACTTTAATATCGACAATAATTAATAATTGAATTTATGAAATGCATTCTATTATCGATATTGGATTGAAATGATACTTTTCCTTAAATATTTGTGAGATATTAAATAATATTAAGAAAATTTTATTTTTAAGTGGTGTGAGATGGATTAAAATCATCTAAAATTAAACTTTAGTTAGTTCATAGTAGAGAAACAAAATTCTTACACTGATGATTATAAATTAGGAGTAATTTAACATATAAAAAGTAGGGAGTATTGGGTGTTGGAGCATTTTCATAAGTTAGAAAAGTTACACATCGTAAAACAAGAGCAATTAGAGCAATGAAAGTATGATAAGAAATAAAAGTGTATAAAGGTTATAAGCAAATCGAGATTATCAACAGCAGAATTATAATAAAAGTTTATAAACGAAATCAATGTTTATAAGTAATTAGATCATCCACATATTTTAAAACTATATGAATTTTATTAAGATGAGAAAAACTATTACATAATCATTGAATTATGTACAGGGTATGTGATCCCAAATGATTTAGTGGCGAATTGTTTGACAAGATAATAGAGAAAGGAAGTTTTTCAGAGAAGGAAGCAAGTTACATTATGAAATAAATAATGTCAGCTATACTTTATGCTCATAATTAGAATATAGTTCATAGAGATTTGAAACCAGAAAATGTGTTATTAGATATTACAAGCTAAGGAAATTATAATGTTAAAGTAGTTGATTGGGGAACAGCAAAAATCTTTTCACCAAATTAATAAATAAATGAAAAATTTGGGACTCTTTATTATATGGCTCCAGAAGTATTAAAACGTAATTACAATGAAAAATGTGATATATGGTCTTGTGGAGTAATATTATATATACTTTTATGTGGAGTACCTCCATTTAATGGTAGAACAGATGCAGAGATTTAGAAGAGTATTTTGAATGGGAAATATTTATTAGAAGTAGAATATATATTTTATTTGGATAGGGAGAAGTTTGGGAAACAGTTAGTCCACATGCAAAAGATTTAGTAATAAAAATGCTTTAATATGATGTGTAAAAGAGAATAAATGCAAAATAAGTATTGGAACATTCTTGGTTTTAATAATAACATTAAGAAAAGGTTGATAAACAAGTTGTTTAAGGAAGATTAAAGAATTTAATGAATTTTAGAGCAGAATAAAAGTTATAATAGGCAACTTTAATGTTTATTGGGACAACAATGATTTCTAAAGAAGAAAAAAATCAATTAGTAGTTATATAACTATTAAAAAGATGTAAGCTTTTAAAGAGATGGATTAAAATGGAGATGGAATTTTGACGAAAGAGGAGATATTAGAAACTTATAAAAAATATATGGATGATGAAACAGCATTATAAGAGGTATAGAAAATAATGGGATTGGTTGATATGGATGGATCAGGTACAATAGATTACACTGAATTCATAATTGCATCTATGGATAGAAAAAAAGCAGTATAATTGGAAAAATTAAAAGAAGTAATTTATATATATATATTATTATGTTAGGCATTTTAAATATTTGATAAAGATGGAAATGGATTCATTTCAGAACTCGAAATAAAAGAAGTCTTAGGACCATCATTAACTGGAATTGATGAAAAATATTGGTTGGATATGATTAAAGAAATTGATAGGAATGGTGATGGGTAAATAAGTTTCGAAGAATTTTGTGAGATGATGATGAAAATCAAATAATGATATATAGAAAACAATTTCATCTTTACAAAAAACGTTCTAACATAGCTTTCATCATCTCATCCATTTGTGTATGATATTATACTGCACGATTTCCTATTTAAATTGCTTAGTCAAACTATTTTTCAGCAATCTCAAGTAAATAATTGTCATAAGGTAATTCCATTACATCCTTCCAAACTGAATAATGTAATTCTAAAAATAAGAGATTAATTACATTCTAATTTACGTAAAAGACTTATATATTATTCTTTTGCATTTATATGAGTGTTTTTAGATTCAGTAAAAAAAAGTTCTTTATCCAAAAAATCAAAAGAAGATTCTAATTGATCATTCATCATTTTAATGAGATATTCTGATATAACACTACACATTAAACTAAGTAATTAAATTGATTCTTATTTTTTATTTGGATTTTATTTCTCTCTGAAGAGTTTATCTACACTTTTCATAAAGAAATCCACCTCTTAACTTTACATTTATTTGAAAGAACCTATCATTATCTTAGATTCTAAAAGCTCTAAAGTTTTATATATGTCTTATTCATCATTTGTTTCCAAAACTAATTTTTTTAATCGATCATTAAAATACCATCTAAGATTTTTTAATGGAGATAATTGAATTCTTCAAATCTTTTACTTATATCATCTGGTTATTAATGTTTAATCTTAGCTAGTTCTTTAATATCTCCTTCAATCAATTTTTCCTTAAATAAATAAATAAATATACTTTATCTGCAATTATACGTTTTATCTTTTCAATGACTTCTGGAAATGTTTCTCTTAAAAACAATTTAATGTCTTCTTTCTCATATTTATTGCTTGTCTATTACATCTTAAAGGATTTTATAAACTATATAGATGATTTTACATTACTTCTTAATAATGTTCTTTGTAAATTGTAAGACTTTCTTCTTCAAATTCAAGATTACCCTTTGAACTCATTTCTAACTTTTCTAGTGCTGTATAATATTCCAATTAAGATAAAAATTCTTTTATTCCATTCATTTTGTTATATAAGTCCATTAAATGCTACTCGTGTTTATGCACATATGCAAATGCATTTATTGATAGTAGTATAATTAATAACATAATTAATAATGAATAAAGAAGGTCCTGGTTTCTTATATAAAGTATATTCTATTTTAGAGGTATTTCATTCTAACTATTTTGAGCATTCAGATTATGATGATATTGTAAGTTGGAATGATAATGGAGATGGATTTCAAGTTAAAGACATCAATATATTTCAGAATGACATACTACCTAATTACTTTAAGCACTCCAATTTTGCATCATTCGTTCGTCAAGTAATACTTATCTTTAAGAATTAAAGTTAAATATCTATGATTTTCATAAAACAGAAAAAAATTCCTTTAAACACAAATTATTTCGAAGAAATTAAAAGTAAAATATTTTAAAGACAATAAAGAGAATTGCTTCCATAAATTAAAAGAAAAGTTAACGATTAAATTATCATACTTCCAAACATTGAATAAATTAATCAGGAATTATCAATGTTAATTCTTAAAAATTAAGAGTTAGAGTCTTTGTTTACTTTTATTATTCAATAAAGTGACAAATTAAATAAGGAAAATGCCTTTTTATGGTAAGAATTATGTATGGTAAAGTAAAACTTATTCAGATTTACTTATCTAGATAAAAAAACGATCGTTAATAAGAAAAACTGTTCGATTGGCTTACCAACAATATAAGTGCAGAGTCTCTGTTTAAAATTCTAGAAAAAAGTATTAAAAAAAAAGATCTCATTAAATTGGTTACTAGACTATTTGGACAAGATCAATAAAATAAAAAAATCAAAAAAGACTATATTATTTGATTTATCTTATCATGACATATTTCAAAATACTCAGCATGATGTTATTCTTATGTCTGTTTGAGATCCAGACATGTAAACTACAATTTAAACATTTTTTGTTTTATCTCCCTTTTCAACTAAGCTGATATATAATAATTGCTTCCATTCACTATTTATTATTCCACATTTAATATTTTATTCCATTAATATCCTGATGTCTCATCACATAATTCTAAACATTATTTAAAATATATAACTTTTTAAATATTGTTTTACAAACTCTATGTCATTGATCTATGTTCTTTACATAATACTATTATTAATATTAATAATTTCATAAATAATAAAAATTTTAATTTATTTTTTAAAAACAATTATTTCCTATTTCTCTTACAAATATAAATTTTATTATCATTTGACAAAAATAAAATTATTTGGGCCATTTTATTTTATTCAAATTGAATCTATTTTAGATATCAAAATTACTAATGACGATTAATTTTTTTAGACTGAAAGCTCATTTTAAGTTATATTCACAAAAGTTTATTCAAAAGTTAAAATTAAAGATAAAAAGAAAAAGTTTATAAAATTCTTTTTAGAATTCGGATTCATTTTAGCAAATTCAAAAATTTTTTAACAATTTTAATTTATAGAATTTGATTGTATCTTTAGTTAAAAAGTTTCATGAATAATACAGATTTCCAGAATTTGTTGGTTAATTTCAAATAGTATTTAAGATAGTTTAGTTTTATGTTACCGTTTTGCTAATTAAGGAACAAAATTGTTTTAATTACCATATTTACTGTTAAGAGCTTCATTTTTAATGGAAATCATCTCTATGGTACGGATAATAGAGTATTTACAAATATAATTAATATTGTATATGCTGACTTGGAAACTATCAATTAAAATGTGCTATATTTGAAGATATTAAATTCTCTAATAATTAGTATATGGGAAGNAAAATTCTAGAAAAAAGTATTAAAAAAAAAGATCTCATTAAATTGGTTACTAGACTATTTGGACAAGATCAATAAAATAAAAAAATCAAAAAAGACTATATTATTTGATTTATCTTATCATGACATATTTCAAAATACTCAGCATGATGTTATTCTTATGTCTGTTTGAGATCCAGACATGTAAACTACAATTTAAACATTTTTTGTTTTATCTCCCTTTTCAACTAAGCTGATATATAATAATTGCTTCCATTCACTATTTATTATTCCACATTTAATATTTTATTCCATTAATATCCTGATGTCTCATCACATAATTCTAAACATTATTTAAAATATATAACTTTTTAAATATTGTTTTACAAACTCTATGTCATTGATCTATGTTCTTTACATAATACTATTATTAATATTAATAATTTCATAAATAATAAAAATTTTAATTTATTTTTTAAAAACAATTATTTCCTATTTCTCTTACAAATATAAATTTTATTATCATTTGACAAAAATAAAATTATTTGGGCCATTTTATTTTATTCAAATTGAATCTATTTTAGATATCAAAATTACTAATGACGATTAATTTTTTTAGACTGAAAGCTCATTTTAAGTTATATTCACAAAAGTTTATTCAAAAGTTAAAATTAAAGATAAAAAGAAAAAGTTTATAAAATTCTTTTTAGAATTCGGATTCATTTTAGCAAATTCAAAAATTTTTTAACAATTTTAATTTATAGAATTTGATTGTATCTTTAGTTAAAAAGTTTCATGAATAATACAGATTTCCAGAATTTGTTGGTTAATTTCAAATAGTATTTAAGATAGTTTAGTTTTATGTTACCGTTTTGCTAATTAAGGAACAAAATTGTTTTAATTACCATATTTACTGTTAAGAGCTTCATTTTTAATGGAAATCATCTCTATGGTACGGATAATAGAGTATTTACAAATATAATTAATATTGTATATGCTGACTTGGAAACTATCAATTAAAATGTGCTATATTTGAAGATATTAAATTCTCTAATAATTAGTATATGGGAAGTAAGAAAGATATTACATTATTTAAAAATAATTTGAAACTGTATTTTACAAAATATTTTTTTATATTTAAAAAAAAAGCATATAAATTGTTTTTAAAAATGGAAATGTATATTATATTTTACTTTTTTCTTAAAAAAAGATTATATAAAACAATTAACATTTCCGCTACTGCTGTATAGGAAGAGATATAAGTAGCTAATATTTTAGAAAATTCTACAATTTACTTGGACATAACCTAATTGAATTTATAGAATGTAATTATTTAGAGAGATCTAAATTTACCAGAGTTTACAATAAAGAATTTTTTTAATAAATTAATTTCAGGAGAATCTATAAAATAATTTGATATTTTTCATCCTTCAAATTCTTGTCTTTACTCTACAAATGTGGAAGTTGTGAAAATATTGGCGATAATACTATAAATAGTTCTAATAAGTTTATGGACTATGATCTCTATTTTAATCTCTGTTAAAGGTAGTGTTGAAACTGCTAATAAAATTGAACATGAACATAAATTATTAAAATGAAAAATAATTGCTAAAAATCCTAAAGCTGGTTTTTGTGGAATTCTCATTAAAGTCTTAACTAATTATTTATAAATTGTTAGAGCAATATCAACATTTTAATTATAATTACCGAGTGTTTTGTAATCTAGTATTCATTCTGTTAGTAATCCAGTTGAATCTATGAGTTTTTCATTAGATTGTTTCCTAATTACTGTATCTGATATTGATATCATTTACTTTAGAATGATATGGGCACTTCTTATGCCTCTTATTTATATTATTACCTTTTTAAGTATTTACACAATCGCTATCATAATTAATATTACTAAACCAAATGAAAGTGCCGTTACTACTAGTTTATTTACCTACTTACAACCAACATTATTGATAGGATTCATATCTTTATTATCATTTAGATATATAACAGATGTCTATTGGATTCAAGGTAATGTTGCTTATAGATATGATACTTAATCACATTTCAAATGGATGCTTACTTTTATATTGCCCTCTACTCTCTCTCTTTCTATAATTATTCCCATTTATATGTTTCTGAGTCTCTCCTATAAGAGAAACTAATTACTAAAGCTTACTTTTGGGAAATTGTTAAAATTCTTTAGAAAGGATTCATAATTGTTTTCTTGACCTTTTATGAAGATTTAATCATTATCAAAGCCGCATTAATTTTTATTATTACCTTTGTATATTCAATTTTCACTAAGAAATTTAAACCTTACAAACTATCTTATCTAAATTTTATCGATGAGATCAGTACTCTTGTATGTGAAACTTCTATTGTACTTGGAATGATTATATATTCAGCTTCAAATTCTGATAACCAAGAAATTATATGGCCTTTCTATATTATTTTGATATTTATTAACATTGTTTTCATTACTGTTATTCTTTGGGAAATTATTCTTGCCTAAATAGAAGATTAATAAGAAAATATTGATAAAATCAGAGATAAAATTAATAAAAAACTACCTCATTTATAAACAAAAAACTGGTTGTTTCGTAGATTACTCACAAACAGAGGAGAATAATAAAAAAGAGTAAGATAAAGATTTTTTAAAATCAGAGAATATCTCATGTAAAAAGTTAGGGCTAATCCTTGGTCAATATAAAATATCAATTGTTGATTAATTTGATATTTAATCACTATAAAAAATTGAAGATTTAAATGTAAACAATTTTATATAATTTTAGGATAAGCCATCAGAATCTGACAAAAAAGATACTTAAAATAATATTGAATACATAAGCAAATCTAAGGTCTATCCAGAATTTATAACTATTAATGAAATTGAGAATAACAATGAATAGAATGCCTAAGATAAATCCAAAAGTAATGATGTTTCATGAATAAATGATAATATATTAATTATCATAATCATAAGCCATTTTTCTATAATTTTTATTAGATTTAATATTTATGTTAATAATGAAAATTGAATATTGCTATATCATTTTGACTTTTCGTTGCTTAGAATCAAATTTTAATAGCCAAATAATTTTCAGAATATGATATTCAAGTGTTATATAGACTGATTAATTTATATGTTACTGTTTATATTTATGACATATCAAGACATATTAAAGTGAATCATAAGAATTTATATTAATTTCAAGAAACTGATAATAAGATTTGTATGAGCATTAAAAAAAGATAAAAAAAGTAACATTAAATTTATTAGACAATAATAATCAATTTCTTTATAAATAAAATCTATTTTAGATTAAAATTATTTGATAAAAAGATTAATGTAATTAAGAAGGAAATAAAATATAAATATTAATATGATGAGCTAATTAACAATATTCACAAATCAATTTTCACAAAATCAGGCAAAGATTCTCCTAAGTTTTTGAATTTAAGATCTCCACTAATCAACTTTTCTAAGGTTTTTTCTAGAATATAATTATATAAAAAGGTTACAGATAGCTTAAAATGTCATTTCTCCTTCATGAACAGCAAATCTTTTTCTTTTGCTTGGATTCAATAAAACAATTTTTGGTTCTCCCTAAAAATCTAAAGCTTGACCCCACTAAAATAATTATTGCCACAAAGACATACTTTTGATTCTGTCTTTACATCTAACCACATAAATTTGAAAACAGTTCCTCTATTAATATGTCTCTCATATTATTAATTTAATTTTTTCAATTCATCAACTAATCCATTATCTCTAAAATAAATTAACATAAATAAAATTACGGTTTATCTCCATTGTTCATTAAAATAACACAAATAACACCTTCTACTTTTAAACATATATCATTTGCAGATCTTTAATGTAATTATGGAACTACTTGCATCATCCATTCTTTAGTGGCAGCACTATCAGCAGATGATCCACCTCCTGGAACAAATACTTCACTGTGAACATTCAAAAAATCAAACATTGCTTTAAATTTATATTCACCTGTAAAAGGATATGGTTTTTTTTCATTTGTTTTTATAAGCAATAATTTTGGAAAACCTTTAATACTGTATCTATCTATTAAAGCTTTTTCACTTGATCTTACTAAACCAAATGATAATTTTTTCTAATTATATATATTTTATCTTATACTTCAAATTCTACACTTAATCCCTTATAAACAAGTGGATATCCTTTCTTTTCACTAAACAATAGAACTTTTGGGACTGTTGGATTTTCATTTATAAATGTATTGATATTCCCTTCAGTAATCTCTATAACATTATTATGGACGTATTTTGTTGCCAATTTAAGAATTCCATCTATTTCAAGAGGACCTTCATAATCTATTGCAGGAACAGGGTATGGTGGATATACTCTAAATGTAGGAAATTTAGACACATTCTCTTTTTAACAAATCTTCTCTGCTTCCTCACAATCACATGAAGCTATTCTGAAAATTCCCTTATATTCATTTGTAAATTCATCATATTTTGGTGCAAATGATCTACTCTCACCATCTACCAATCAAAATCATAATACTACCTGAATATTTATAGAAATGAACTATTGTAACATATTTTGTTGTTTGTCTTATCTTGTTAATTTATTTTTCAAAATTTATTTCATTCACAGGTGTTACATATGATTTTTTTACATCGTATAATTATTTTGCTAATGTGCAAGAGACTAAAATCAAAATCAAAATGCTTGTCTTCATATGTTATTTTTTTATTTTATTAATTCCACGTATGAATAGAATTTTTAATCTCAAAAGAACATTCTATCAGAAAATTTGTAAAATAATTAACAAATATTATAATTTATCACATTAATTCCTAAATAAAAGTCATGTTACTAATTAATATTATAAAAAATGAAATCTCACTTTATCATAGCCTTTATTTAAAACTAATTCTTATATCTTTTCTTTTTAATAAATTCTATTGAATTTACATATTAAATCTTTTATACCATTATATTTCACTGTTAATCTATAGCGAGCCTAGTTTTTATTATATTATAAATATTTTATCTAGATTGTTAAGTTAATCTAGATAATTATTGTGAAACGTTCATTTTTAGTTTTAATACTTTTTTAAATATTTTTTAAGTTAATGAAATCATCATATATATTATTAGTAACTAATCTTTCATTCTAAACATTGAACTCAAATTATTTTAATTACATTGTTGTAGTTGTTCATTAATCTATAATGTTATTGGTATCAACCTTATATAACCTTAGAGTAAGAGTTATAAAGTTCTTATGTATAGAGCAATCAATTTTTAAGAATATATAAACAATCTAAATAAGATTTGTTATGATCTGTAAATCTTTAAAATTTACTATTTCAATTAGATTTAAAAACACATCAATTTTTACATTATAATGTTATTAAATGTAATAAACTCTTTAAGTAATAGTATAAGATTAAAAAAATCAGAAAGTTTGTTTTAAACTTTAAAATTATAATGAAATAGGAATGAAATATCAATTACAAAAATAGATTTTAAGAAGATTATGAACTTAAATAATAAAATTAAATTAAAATTGTAAAATTCGATATAGTTTAAGTTTTTTAAATTAAAAAATGGAAGTAAATAAAAAATAATTTATATATAAAATTTTTATTTTTTTAAATAACATAAGTAATATATGAGTTTTCTTTTAACCTTAAAGAATCAAAGAGTGGATTCTAACAATATTTAATGATAATAAACTTTTTGAGTTTAAAAATGAAGTGGTAACAGGTATGGTATTAATGAATGTGAAAGTGAAGAGGAATATGATAATATAAATATAGAGAATGAAAATAAATGAAATTAGAATGTGATTTATATAGACGGATATTGTATTTAAGAGAGTTAGATCATCAATTCCAGTTAATTGAATTAATTGTTATAAATAAAATGAATAAATCATTACTTCAGTCACCAATAAAGCAATAACATCGAAAGATAGTTTCTTAATAGTAAAGTAGTCGTGGATATCGATTCTTTGATAAATTATCTTTATTTACAAAGCATAGAATACCGATAGTTGAGGAGACCCCATAAAAAAGTGAACGATAATCAAGGAGATTGAAAAAGTACTTTACAACAACAATGACAAATTCTAGCTGCAATTGTATTAATTGCGGTAAGAACAATTCATTTATACAAAAGACTTTTAAATTATTTCCTTTCGAGAGCAAGTAAATTGAATTAATTTAATACAAATTAGTTTTAATAGAAGGAAGAGACTCTATAAAAGGTTTAGAAAGTATGTTCATTGTGTGTAATTTATAATTAGATATAAGATTGTTTAAAAAATACGAGATAGATAAAGGAATAAAATGAAGAGAGCAATCAACTAGAATGTACATGTTCATAAACCTTCTGCAGTGGCAAATTTATTAGCTGAAGGAATTAAGTATATGTAATAAATATAGTTAAGATAATTGAAACAATAACATCATGTAGAGATATTGAATGAACATGATTCAGATGAAGAGTTTTATAATTTTAAACCTAAGATGCATTAGAATCGTAAATCTTTGGCATAGTTCTTATGTACAACAAAGGGATAAAAAAAATTAGAAAGAGTCTACTATGTGAAATAAGCCAATAGACCTATTAGTTAATATATAGCAAACCGTTCTAAACCATCTACAACTTAATGTTCTCCATAATCTATCTTACCTTAATTGAGTTCATTGTATGATTTCAAAAATTCGATCTCTGTCAGACATATGAAAAAATTCTGATTACAATAATTATTTTTTAATAATACCCTAGAATTAATAAAATAAATTTGTAAAAACAATTTACATAAATAAAATAATGAGCAAAAACATACATAGAATCATCTTCTAGAGAGTAATTTTGATTTTAAATCACAAGGTTCTTCATTTAAAGAATAATTGAATATAAGTTTGACAAATGATATAAATTAATCAAGTATTAATTCTGTAAAGTAAGAAATTATATATATAGATAAAGAAAAGAAAATCATTAAGGACTACGATTATTTAATAATTTATAAACTAGAATTAGAGATTAATCATAATCACGTTTGAAAACTTTAAATGATAAATTTTAATGATAATTTAATTCCTTAAAAGAATCTATACTCATCTAATCATAGATAAATGTAATGATTATAGAATTAAAATATAAGAAGATATAATATTTGGATTGAAATAGAGTAAGAAATTTTAATGAAAATCAATTTCAAGATTAGAAACCTTAATGTTAAAATAGATAGATATTTTGAAGTTCAAATGATTTATTAGAAATGGCAATAAAAGGATTTTATAAAAAATAAAGAGGAAGACAGTATAAATCAAAGAGATAGTGAGATTATGTAATAAGATAGAGCCATCATTTATTAATAGATCACAACTAACTTATAAGTACATATTAATTATATTTAGTTATATGAGTGAATTAGCGAAATTGACATAAGCTATCTCTTAAATGAGAATGATGTTTGTGAATTTGCTTCATATAAAATAATTATATAACGATATAGGGTATATTAAATCTTATCAAATCTCATATTCTTCCCATGAGTTTTCTTCTTCAAGAATTTCTTCAACTGGTCTTGGATCTTCATAAAATAATTCTTCCCATGTCATAGCATATCTATATTTATCTATAAATTATTTTAGACTGTTATACTACCTTTCAATGCATCCTACAATAATTTCTTTCTGCTTCTTTCTAATGTTGGTTTGTACCAAACTCCATATCCCCAATTTCTAGAGACCATTAAAAAAACATTTAAACCTTTTATTGACTTCTGCTTAAGCTATGAGTTCAGGCTCTGTAAATTATCTTTGTTTATAATAAGCCCATTTTCCAAAGAAATAATATCTGCCTCCATAGAATGCAGTGAATGCAAATGCTCCCAATACAACAAACTTTATTATATTATAATAGTACAGGTCTGATTCTTCTTAACCACCATGCATTGGTTTCCCATACAAAGTTTGTCCACTAATATACCATTTTTATATTAATAATAATAATAATATTATCATCTATGTCCTTTTGGTGGTAACTATTATGCTGATCTTATAGGTCTTACAGAATCAGATTACTATTTTTGATTATCCAACTATTTCATAGATTTTTAAATCTATTTATTCAACCTTAAATTTAATTCTTGATCTTCTTAACTATCTTCTGCTTCTTCATCATATAAATTATGTTATTCATAAAATTCTCTATCTTCTTTACTGATTCTCTTATTCTATTTCTTCTCCTCAAATAACAATTCACCTATATCTTATTCTTCTAAAGTATAATGTTATAATAATTGTTATTCATCAAACTATCTCAATGTATTTGAATATTATTTTTTAGCAGATTATGGTAATTTTGGTAATACTTATTAAGTATTTGAACCATATTATGGAGCTGCTGATTAAATGTCTCTTTTTTTTGCATCTATTTTCGGTTTAACAGCTTTATATTTTGTAGTTTCCTTATATTTATTAAAATCTATCATTTAATTTAGTTCGTGCTTTGTACATTTTGGAGAATAAGCTTCAATTTCTTTTACTTACTCTTCAAATGTATTATGCATATTCACATATTGAGGATCGAATATTTCCATCCATTCAGGTGGAAATGGATTACAATTATAATAATTATCATCTGGAAAATACACATTGTTATATTTATAAAGATTCAATTTACCAGTATTGTATTAACCATCACAAAACTAATGTATTTATAATATAAAAATACCAATCCAACTTATAAATTTAATATACAATAATGGCCATTTGCAAAAAATAACAAAACTTAAGCTCTATGTCTCTGTCCTCCCATTTAAGAATTTTTAAAATGATGAATAGTTTTTGTAGAACCTTCAGCAACATAATTGACCCATTCAGATCCTTAACATAATCTCATTTTTATTTCGGTTTCTGACAAAAATTTCTCTATATCTATTGTTTCACTAAAAAAATAATGCACTCTTATCACATTCAATTTTAGATTCTCATCATTAATCTACACAAATTAATCATCTACTTAACCTTCTTAATCTTCTATTGAATCAGATCTCTCTATTCCACTAAATCTAAGTTACTTTTATTATGATTATGAAGTTTGTTATTTATTTGATTTCAAAGTTTAATAATTATCCTCTTTTATTATATGTGTTTTAAATGATGATTTTGATTGATGTAATCGATATTACAATACAATATTCTTCAAATCTCCAACAGGATTTCCATTTAAATCTATTAATCTCCTTCCTTATAAATCAACCATTTCCAAATAAAAGAGTAATCTCCATTAATATAATTATTCATTTAATAAAGCGGGTCTATGCTTTGGTTTACTATCCATAGGAACTCTTATAATAGCATCTCCTAATGGAATATTTTAAGCCATAGCAAATTTTTATTCAATTTCTACTAATTCATGTTCTCCCACAATTAACATATAGCAAACATCACATACTCTACAAGGTCTTGTAGATAAATGAGATACTTTGATATTTGTTAATTATTTATTTCTCTTTTTTAAATGTTAAACTAATTCCCATAATAATTTATAAGTAAGTGTTTTGCTAGCATCATCTTTTTTAAATATGATACCACATAATTTACAATAAACTGAACAAGTCAATTAATCTAATGTTCTTTTTCCTTAACCAACTCCTTAAATTTCACTCATTGATATAGCATTTTCCATCATCAATTACTTACAATTAAATAACCAAATTCTTCCTTCTGGGTCCTATAGAAAATCAAAAACACCAAATCTTATTCTTACAGGATAATTCTTCTCTAAATAAGATACAATCTATTCACATACTCTCTCATATTCATATAATCCTACTCCCTTTATTTATTAAATTGTAAATGAATTTTATTGTTCTGTATTTATAGTAGTTTTATTGGTTATTGATTTTTTTGGATTTGGATCATATAATTCCATTACATTCATAATTCGATAACCGTAATTAGCATGAGAAGATTTAGAATTCTTAGTATAAAATACAAGTCTAACAATTGTTGCTTTCATTACTCTTGATATAACAAATCGTTGTTCTAATTTATTATTATCTAATTAAACTTTTCTCTCTTTTTACTATCGAAATGTATATACAGCTTTCGACATATTCCAATCCTATCCTGTTTAACCTCTACTTATTATATATGGATTATCCTAATTCTCAAATACATTAGTTCTCTTATCAAATCTATCATCTTTAACATGACGTTTCAAATATTCTTCATGATATTGATGCACCTAATTTAATCATTTTATACTTTATTTTCAAAATCCTAATAACCTATATCTGTTTTTCTCATCAATTACCCTGTAATAGGATCTGTGTACATCAATATATATGTTTATTCAAAACACATTATGCTCTCAGGAATATTCACTTTTATCTATTCTGTTGCTAATTTTCCTAACGCAAGAGCTTTATAAAAGAATATTCCTATTAAAATTTAATCATTTCAAATAAACCTGGTTTTATTGGCCATTTTTAATAATAATCATCATTTGAAGGATTGAATAGAATTTTACTCAAAATCTATTACCAATGTCTCTCTTTCTTCTCTGCTTCAGTTTCTATCTTTGGAGGACTCAATTACACCGGTTTCTTTTGAGTTATTTATGCCTCAGTTAATAAAAATGTATCAGTCATTTTATATTATAATTTAAATATTTCATCTCCACATTATATATAATTTTTATATTAAATTAGGATGCATTCTTTTCTCTAAATTAACTACTCTAATTAATTTAGTTCAAATTCTCTCAATTCTCATTCCTTTCATTCCTTTCACATCCAACTATATATCTCTTTTTTCATGAAGTTATTTTCTTTTGAATATGAAATTTATTGAAAGAATTGAATACACTTTCATTTTTTAAATAAGTTTCTAATTTTATTAATCCAGTATTTTTTATTAAACTACCTAGAGGACTTTAGTAAATTTATTATATCAAACAATAATAATGATTTCTTAACAACATATTCTGTTAAGTGATGTTTGTTAATTGGGATTACTAATTTACATCAATTAAGGTATTCATATTCATCTTAAAATAGCCACAACATTTTTAACTTTCTGGCTTTCAAGTATGCTTTATGCAAGTAGTATTATCATATTGCTTTTATGTTATTTTTTAAAAAAGGATACATGGAATTAAAGATTTGAAAGTATAGGCATAATTTTAAAGATCATTTCATTATGGATAGCTTAATAATACAATTTTGAATTCATGTTTTGTTCATTAATTTAAAGCTAAATGTTTTTCTAAAAAATCGACTTAAAAAAATAACAAAAATAGTCTATAATGATTGTGTTTTAAATGGTCTTTAATTTATTTTAAATAAGAGAAATCATAAAAGACACTATAATAACAATTATAAATTTATTCTAAGTTATTATTTTTTTTGTATGGATATATAGAGTGAGAAAACACAATTTCAAAAATTAATAGAATGCTAAATTACAATAAGGGAATGTTATAATTGAAATCGATGATTTTAGAGATTCCTAAAAATAACATTAGAAATTTATTCATACATCCTCAACAAAAAGGGTAATATTGCCTTAGAACACCTTGATCTTTAATTAAGAATTTGAATTGATAGACTGCTAAATAGATTTTAAGGAATTAATTAATCATTAAAGCTAAAGTGATTAGGTGATACAAATTATGTTAAGTTTGAAATTAAATTATATTATCGAAAAAGAATCCAAATCTTGTGAAATAAAATAATTGATGGAGTAATTATAATTAGATTAACGGATTTTAGGAACAATTGAAAAAAATGATTATATAAAATATGAGAATAATGTATTGCTCATTAGTTGTTAACTATTTGAAGATCTCAGATGTTATCAAATTGAAATAGTCTAAGTACCTTAAAAACATAGAAAAGTTGAAATAGAAGAATCAATAGAAATAGATATGTGTAGATCATTATCTCATGAATTGGGAACTAATTTAAATAGTATTATTACTTTTACAGCCATGGCTTTGGATGATGAAAAAATAGATAAATGTACAAAATTGAAATATTTGGACCCTATTTGGATTAACTGTGAGTAATTGAATCTAATTGTTGGTTCGATAAGAGATTATAATTTAATAAATTTGTAGCAATTTTCTTTGAAATTAGAAGAATTGGATTTACAATAAGAAATTAAATTTATGGTATCATTATTTTAGGATAGTATTGAAAGTAAATAAATAAAGGTAGATTGTAAATTTGATTTGTAATGTTATTAATTTATAGGAGATAAAATTAGATTTCGATAAGTATTATTTTAATTGTTATAAAATGCTATAAAATATACATTTTAATCATCAATAACTATAGGAATTACAAATGATTAATTAGAATGTAAAGTATTGATTACAGATGATGGTGTTGGAATGGTAAATAATTGATAAATATTTTTTAGACTGAAGAGGAAGCAGAGAATTTAAACTCTTTATTGAGATTGAATAAATTTATTAGAGTATCTGAATAATCAGTGGGGATTGGATTAGGGTTAGGAATCTCGAATTAATTGGTTAAGTAAATGGGAAATTAAGACAATTAGATAGAATTGAAAAGGTTGGTTAAAGGTTGTTAATTCTCATTCTCGATAAAGAATCACTATGATGAATTAACAAAGGAATTTAGTAGATAAAAGTCAAGTTTCTTTCCAACGAGAAATAATTAAACAATAAGATTTATTTCAGCGAATTCATATTATGAAAATTAAATAAGAGAATATTCTCATTCTAAAAATGGATTGAAAAGTAGTATTGTTTAAAATAATTCAAAGATATACAGATTTCCATTAACAATATAAATTAGTTTGGGTCATGATTTAAAAAGTTAAAAAGAAGAAAGTAGTAGCATATCTTCAATTCATCCTCCAATTTTAAGTCCTAAATTTTAATAATCAATTATACAGTGTAGTTTAAAAAGTGATTGTTGTTCTAGAGTATTAATAGTAGATGATGAATATTTCAATATTTAATGTTTAAAGTTGTTGATGTTGAAATATTAATCAAAATGTGATGCAGCATATAATGGAAATGAAGCTATAAATTAAGTTTTAGAGAAGAAAAACAATGCTTGTTAGATTTGTGGAAATAAATTCTATAGTTTAATATTTTTAGATATAAATATGCCTATAATGGATGGATTTAATACAGTGAAAGAATTAAAGAGAATGATGAGTGAATAAATCATAAATAAGTCATATTGTATTGCAAATACAGGATTTTGTGATTTAGATACGAAATTAAAGAGTTATGATTCTGGGATGGATTATTATTTAACTAAACCATTGGATTAGAAGGAATTGAATAAAATATTAAATGATATATATCCTATGTTAATCTCTTGATAATAATGAATAAGTATTATAATTAATTAAATAGGTATATGTATTAGGGGATGTTAATATGAAAAAAATTAAATCATTTTAAATAAATTATTAAAAAAATAAAAATTCTTATGCCATCAAAGAGAAGAAATAATGGTCGTTCTAAGAAAAACAGAGGACATGTTAAACCAGTGACATGCTCAAATTGTTGTAGATTAGTTGGTAAAGATAAGGCAATCAAGAGATTCACTGTTAGAGACATAGTTGATGCATCATCAAAAAAGGATATCTTAGAAGCATCAGCTTATGATTAAAAATAATAATAATCAATTCCTAAATTGTTTGACAAACTCTAAGTAGTGTTTCTATTTACAAATTATAGTATTGCGTATCATGTGCTATCCATGCTCGTATTGTGAGAGTTAGATCTGCTGAAGATAGAAGAATTCGTGTTATTGAAAGAAAAAGACCTGTCCAATAATCAACATAAAAAAAGGATGCCACCAAAGTTTAAGCTCCAGTTGCAGCTTAATGATAAATATATTACAAACATACATTAATAAATTTGAATTTCTTATTGTATGAATCCCTTTCTCATCTTTAAAGTATAAATAATTTAAAAAAAAATTAATATCTTCAATAAATGACACATAGTTATGGTTTGAAAAAAGGAACAAGAAGTAAGTTTGCTAAACCATTCAGAGGACATGGAAATATTAGCATTCGTAAAACACTTTAAACATTCAGAAGAGGTACACTAATATTATAAATCATAGGTGATTTTGTCGATATTTTGGTTGATGGTGCATAACACAAGGGTGTCCCATTTTAATATTATCATGGACGTACTGCTAGAGTTTTCAATGTAAATCCAAGAGGAATTGGTGTCTCATTACAAAGAAGAGTCAGAGGTAGATATGTAGAGAAGAGATTTCATGTCAGAGCTGATCATTTGAGACCATCAAAATGCAGAGAAGAATTTGTTAAAAGAGTTTAAGAAAATGATAAAAAGAAAACAGAAGCCAATAAATTAAAAAAACATATTTCAACTAAAAGATAGCCAATCCTTCCAAGAAATGCTGAAGTTGTCAAACCAAATGTTACAGTCTTTTAACATCCAAAAGCATTTGTCGAAATTATTTGAAATATAATACAATAAGTATATCTATACATCAATATTTTATATTATTTATTAAATTAAAGAAAAGTTCTAAACCATCAATAATCTTAAAAATATACTTCAAATTTTCACATTAATACTAGTCTTTACTTATTCTAAAGTATTTTGGCTTTGGCTATTTATTAAATCCATTTTATTGCCTTAAATTTTAAATTCGATTTTAGATTAATATTTGTAATATTTACATATTTGCATCAATATTAATGTATTCTAAAGACTTTTAAATTCCATTAGATTATTAAGCTCTAAGGGAGTCACAAATACAGCTTGACAAAATTATAGATCAAATTAAATCATAAAAGGAATAACAATCCTAAAAGTAAAACTCATTAACTTAATAAAAATTCGAATTTACTAAAATTTTTTAGCATTTCAATATTTCTATATCTCCCATAAAAGAATCTGATAATGAGAGTAAAGTAAAAAATTAAAAAGAATAAGAAGTTGAAAGAATGATAATATAAAAAGCTGATGAATTAAAAAAGAAAGGGAATGAATACTATTTTAATGCTAACTATTAATAAGCTACCATAATGTACACTGAGGCTCTTTAATTAATTTAAGATAATGTGATTCTTTGGTTGAATAGAGCAATATCTTATATAAAATTAGAACAATATAATTAAGCAATAGGAGATTGTTCAAAAGTATTGGAGATTGCCAATTAAGGAAAATATAATTTTAAGGATAATAGTGATAACTATTTTAAAGCATATTTAAGAAGGGCATTTGCATATTTTAAGATTAATTAATATGAGAATGCTCTATCAGATATAAAATAAGCTTTAATAATAGATCCTAAGAATTAGGAGGCTGAGAACTTAAAAACAGATGTAGAAAGACAATTGTTTTTACATTAGCAAAAATAAAATAATAAAAATAGTTTAAATGAAGTAAAGAAAAAATAAATTGATTCCGATTTAAATTATAAGGATGTAATAGATAGTTTTTTTTTATAAAATGAAAACTTTGATCTTTTTAAAGCATTTTAAGTGATGCAAAAGAATACTGATGAATCAGCAGCCTATTTTTATGATAAGAGGGGAATTGAAACATTAATATAAATAATAAAATCAGATGAAGAAACATTACATGATTAATACAACGTATTTTATCTTAAAAAATTAGTTGATGGCTAGTCTTCCAGCATTGATCTTATAATGTTATTAAGAAAAAAATTAGTTATACTAGGAGTAATTTATAAGAAAATACAATGGAGTTAATCTATTGACTCAAAAAATAATAAATTTGTTAGAGAAAGCAAATTAAAAAAAGAAATCAGCAATTTACGATTGTATAAAAGATTATATTGATGCGTTAAATATTTTGACAGATGAAAAAGTAAGGAATTTTGTATAAATGAATCCAATATTTGAGACTAAATTTTATTCTTAGATATTTTGTCCAATAATAATCTTATATAATACTGAATTTGAATTAGTAGCTTCTTTATTAAGTTTAAGTGCAAATTTATGTTATGATATTAAAAGTACTTTAAGGGTAGTATTTTACAATAATATAGATGAAATTATAAATTATGTAATTTAAATTTTGGAAAATGTTAAATTAAGTTAAGAGTCATGCAATTTATTAGTATAATTGTTTAATTATATGTGTAATTTATTAATTGAAGAGTAATTTAGATAGAAATTCATTAATTAAAATTAGAATAAAGAATTTTATGGATATTTTTTTAGTATTTTAGGAAATGTTGATTAATAATATGAAGAGCTTTATTAGATATAGTTAGGTTTTTTGATAAATCTTTTTTATAGTAATGAGATAATTCATTCAGAATAATTAATTTTTGAATTGAGAAGTCTACCAAAAATTCTAGAATCTTTAAGCCATAGTAAAAATACATAGATTTTGGAGAGAATAGAGATTCTTCAATCTTTTGTAAAGAATCGTAAAGCATTTTAGATATAAGTAGAGAATTAGAAATAATTGACATGAGAAATGGTTGATAATTTAATGAAGTTTGATGTGTTTATATTTTAGTATATATAGTGTTATTTAAAATTCGAATATTTAATAAGAATATTGAAATGTAGTATCTAACTCGTCCATAACAATAATTATAGGAGATTGTTCAATAGAATAATTTAAGAGCGTATAATTAATGGTAATTAGTAGTTATGGGAGTAAAAGTAATATTAAATTAAGTAAATCGTTTAATCCAAATGGATTGATGAGTTTGAGTCCAATTCAAAAAACAAATTAGAGCATTGGATTATAGGGGATTGATTTTAAATAAATAAAAAGATGTTAAGGTGAAGGTTTAAAAGGAAAATAATATAAAAAGGAATTATTAAAGTTAATGAGTAGTCATCAGCAATTATCTACTTTGAAATAAAGTCATAAAAATAATATTTCAGATACATAAACTAATTTAAAGACTATTACAATAATAGATACTCGAAGAACCACTTCTAATCAACTTCAAAAATCATTGATTTAGATAATATAAAATTAGAGTATAGTAAACTAAATTTTTATAGTGATTCATTATTAAAATTAGAAATATAAATTTATAATAGATGCATATAAAAATACAGGTTATTTAATGGATTATTTGAAATAAGAAATGAAAAAGCATTTAATACATTAAAATATTTAGAATGAATCTTAAAAGGATGGAGTTAAAATAATTAATAGAGTAGATAATGAGAATATGTAAATGGAAATTGTGATATTTCATACAATTGATAAGAATTTACCAATAGATTTTTATATATAGTAATTGGATAAACCTTTAGATATATTTAGTGGCTAAACTTTAAATTTATAGCCATTTTATGGTATAGATCAAGGGTTTTAATTAAATTTGAAAGATTTTATATTTATAAAATGTATAGGTATAGGAGGATTTTCAAGAGTATATTTGGTGAGGAAGAAATTGGATGGAAGATTTTATGCAATGAAATTAATAGATAAAGAATTTATTCTATTACATAAAAAATAAGGTAGATAAAATAAATAAATAAATTTAGGTATTGTTTAAAATGAGAGAGATATAATGACTGTATTAGATCATCCTTTTATAAATAAATTGGATTGTGCATTTGAATCTAAGAATTTTATAGTGTTTGTTTTAGAATTTTGTAGTGGTGGTGAATTATTTTGGTAATTAAGATAAGTAAAGAGAATGAATGAAGAATAAGCTAGATTTTATTTTGCTGAAATTTGTTTGGCAATTTGTTATTTACATTAATTATCTATTGTTTATAGAGATATAAAACCAGAGAATGTTTTAATAGATATGGATGGTCATATAAGAATTGCTGATTTTGGATTATCTAAACCGAATATGACTGAAGAAGATTATGCATATAGTTTTTGTGGTTCACCAGAATATATGGCACCTGAAATGTTATTAAATGTTGGGCATAATCTTTAAGTAGATCATTATTGTTTAGGTGCTTTACTTTATGAATTAGTTATTGGAATACCACCTTATTATTCTAAAAATACTGAAGAAATTTATTAATCTATTCTAACTGAAGAATTAACATTTCCAAATTAATTCAATTTAACTGATTAAATTAAAGATCTTCTTAAAGGTCTCTTATGTAAAAGACCTTAAAGTAGATTAGGTTCTTAAAATGGTTTATAAGAATTAATGCTACATCCTTGGTTTAAAGATTTTAACTGGATTTTAATTCTTAATAAGAAAATTCAACCTCCATTTTAACCTAATTAATTATAATTTCATTATGATTCTAATGAATTACTTAAAGGAGAACTAGAAACGAGAGATAAAATATTAGGAAAAACTGGTTTATAAGAAAATATTAAGATATTCAAATCATTCTATTTTGATTCCAAAAAATAAAAATAAATGAAAATTGAACAAAATAAAATTCTTAAATAACACTTTAAAATGATCTCTTAAATCTAAATGTAATTGACTTAAAAGTACAAACCTTAATCACCTGAATCTCGTTATTGTAATTAAAAATAATATAAAATGAATACAGAATAAACATTTTCTTTATAAAAACGCATCAAATCTTAGTAAAGTTATTTATCTAAATTTATAGGTAGTCATCTTTTGTTTAACCTTTTTAGACTAACACATTAGTCATTCCTTAATAATCTAAATTGATTGGTTTGAAAAAGATGATATCTTAAAATAATTTAGTCATAGATAGATTAAACACTTCTCCTACAAGTGTTGGATATCATTCTAAAGATAAAATTAATTAATAAGTTTTGTTATAAAATGGAGTATCAATCACTAATTTACAATAGAGAGGATCTTCACTTAAATAAAGAAAAAAATGATAAAAGTTCATAAGAGATCTACTTATATGTTTTAATTTAAATTATTGTAAATTCATAATCCTTTTTTCAATATTGAATTAGTTGGATATCTAGAGAGTTTAAGTTTTGTTCCTGTTTTCTTCTAATAGAGAATCAAATCTTCACTCACCATAACTGGTGGATCAGATTCTTCAAATATGAGAACAACTTCTAATTCATTGAAACTAACTTTTCTAGATTCCTTTTTTTCAGTATTCAATCTATTAATGAAAAATGTTTCTCTAAATTCTTTTACTTATGAAATACTTGGTTCGTCTTCATAAGACACTTCATCTATCGAAGTATCTGTGCTGTTATATTTGCATTACATTAATTTGAATATTATTATTAATATTAATAAGATTTAGGGTGTATTTCTCAACAACATTTAACTGAGATTACATCTATATATATAATGATTTAATTATAATCTAAAAAATATCAAATGTTTATTAGTAATTATTATTTATTTTTTTTGAAAATAAATTGTGTTTATTAAATTAATTAAAATTAATGTAAGTTGCTATTTCCATTGAAATATTTTTATAGTTAATGTATAGAAACAGAAGAGTTGTAATTTAAATGTTAACAAATTTATAAAATGAGTTGTAATTTATATCAATTCTTCTTCTAAATAAATTTGCCATTTGAAATCTGAATTTTTTCTAATCCAATTTTTTTATAAATTTATTGTTTATTATCTCTCAAGATTGTTTCCAAAAACTTCTTATCAGAGTATTTGTTTAATAATTCTTTTGAATCATTTCCATTCTACTATAAATATTAATGTTTAAAATTCTTAATTAAAATGGAAGTGTCCTAATATACATCTTAATTAATTGATTGTATATTAGTGATTTCACATTTGGCAATTTTTGGTGGTGAATACTACTAAGTGGCTGTAGAATTGAGTTTTTACATATTATCAATACATCTATCATACCAATCAGAGAGATAAAGGAAAATGTGATGTTTCTCCTTTGAAAAAAATATTTAAAATTAAGATACTTTCATCTTGAGATTGGGATTTAGACGAAGCTTAGTTTAAGCTGTCACTTCTAATTAAGACTATTACGGTACCAATAAGGGATTCAGTAACACTGTGGCTTATATTGGCATACTTCATATTATATTTATGGTATATACATGACTTCATCAATTTACTTTGGAGCTTCTTAAGTTTCACTGTTCTTAGTCTCCTGGTTTGGCTTGAATAATGAACTTTAAATACCTTGGAACGCTTTCGTTTCAATAAGGCTGCCTTAATAAAAACTAAAGTTAAAGGTGACTTACCTCTTCTAATTTTTCTTATTCTTCAATTCTCTACAAATACGATTTCAATTTTCTCTCCTCTCTGCTTGATCCCGGTTCCTTTATGCAATAATTTTAATTTTATAATTATTTCCTATTCCCCAATCGATGAGCCTTATATTATTTCTTCTACTGTCCCTCCTATGAAGATTGTTAGCTTAAGTTATCAACACTTTCAGCCTTAGATAAATCATTAGCACTCATTTTTTTATTTTATTAAATTCAAGATTTTTATTCAATTTTTAAGGCCTTTAATATTTTATTTCCTTATTAATCCTCAACACACTATCATTTCACACTATACACTTTTTTCTTTCATTTTTATCTATCTTTTTTATTACTAATTTTATATATATTATTTATTTAATTACAAATAATTTACACACAAATACTTCATCTACTACTACTTATATCCATTTCATTCAATCTCTCAACCTATATTCAATTATTACAAATATTCAATTTATTTTTTTATTTAAACTACTATTTGCTAAAACATTCAATTCTCTTTATATATATACTATATAATACTTTTACACATTATATTCTGATTCATTTATAATATCAAATAACATAAAACCTTCATTTAATATATATATCCACTTATCAATTAATAATTATACTCTTTTATGATTCTTTTTCATTTTCATATTATACTTATATATATTATAAAAATATCTAAACATATAACAATTTTTATCATCAATATTTAATTTTTTATATAAAAATCATCTTGATTTATTTTTGAGAAATATGCTCTTGGCAATATTTTTAGCATTTTAGTAAATCTTAGCAGATTGCATTGAAAATTCTTATCTCACTTATCCAAATCAAGAAGAATGGGTTTATGTAATTGATTTCTCTTATTTACTAATAGGAAGTCAAAAGAATTTCTGTTAAATTAGAAGGAGAATATGTTATTGGATTTGGTGATAATTATGAAGTTAAAGATAAATCAAAAATATAAATTAAATAAGTCCCAGGAGGTTTAACTTTTGGACCTTCCAATTTTGAAATTTATTGTCCATCAATTCATAAATTATCTAAGAAAGATATTATCAAATGCGATATCTAATTAAACATGAAAGAAATTAATGCAACTTCAACTCCTTCTAAAGCCTTATTTGTATTTTCAGTAGAATTAGATAATTTACTTAAATAAAATCCTGTATTTTAGATTGAAACCAATTTTCAAATGAGATTAATGGATTTTGCATAATAATTAGAAAATATGGCATATTATCTTGAGTATGAAAATTGTGATTAAATTGTGTATTTGTTACCAGATCCTTTACCAATTTCATCTGAATAAATAAATTTACTTAAAAAATACTCAAAAACTTTACCAGATGATACTCCCACTAAATAAATAACAGAGTCAATCAAAGGGTAATTATTTGTTGAGAACTTTTCAATTGATTCAAGTTCAAATACTCATCTTTATGGATTAATTGCAATCATTATAGGTGTTGTAATATTAGCCATAATAAGAGCTTTTAAGTAAAATTAAATAAGATTATTTATAGTAAAAAGCGAGAGTAATAAAAGTAATATGATCATTCTAAATAACCATTAAATGAACAAGAATTACATAAGTTAACTTGATTGTGTTTTAAATAAATTATCTATTTAATTAATTCCATTTATAATTTTAAATATAATGATTGTGCCTTATTATTTTTGTAAATAAAATATTTTTATCAAAATATTATTCTGAAAATGTAAGAAGCTAGATAACTCCTAATTTCTAAGAAATATGATGAAGCATTTATAAAATATACTCAATTACTTCTTGCTGAAGATATAGATGATAATAATAAATCAATTTGTGCTTTGAATTGTGGAATATGCCTAATAAATAAAAACAATCCTAAATAGGCAATTGAATTTATTGATAAATCTATTACATATAATTCAAAATATGTCAAAGCCTATTATCGTAAAGCCTAAGTCTTAATTTAATTAAAACAATATGAAGAAGCTTTATAGATTATTTCTAATTTAGAACCCTGTTAAGAAGTAAATGAATTAAAAGAATTGGTGAAAATGTAATTTAGTGATCCTATGTATGTAATTGATGATTTAAAGAATTGTGCTACTGAAAAAGATGCAATAAAATTCTTTAATGAATTATATAGCAAATCAGATTATATTAATTATGAAAAATTAATGAGGGAAAATGGATTTTGTTAACAAATACTCAATTAATAATTCATCTTCTAATAAATGAAATACATTTAATATTCTTTTATTAAATCTTAAATGTAATACTTACCTAAGTGGTTATAAGAATATTTAATAACCAATTTTGAGTTTTATTGTAAATCTACATAAGAATCAAAGATTTATGAATTAATTAACATATATTGTTCATTATTTTCACATTTTCAAATCAATTAATAGGTTTTAGGATTGATTTCTGAAAATTAGTATTTTTTCTTAGAAAAACAACTTAAATGCACTGTTTAATTATTTGTATAAAATAATAATGGAAATGTTACAGAAGAATTTATTGTGATGATAGCAAATTACGCAAAAAAAGCTGAAGATTTTGATACAAATACAGAAATGTATTATTTAATAGTTGATCTAATTATTTTACTTACAAAATAAAAGGTAATACATTTTGGTTTTTTAAAGAGAGATACTTTTAGATATTAAGATTTATTACTGTTAATTGGAATAATAAGTAATAACTAACTTGAATAGATAATGAAAACATATACAAATTTGCCAATAAAATTATTAAATACAATTGAAAAAAAGTTAAATAATTTAAGATATATAAATATAATAAATTAGATTTTAATGATGACTCTGAGCAATATTGAATTTAATTAGGAAATAAATGATCATTCAGTTAAGTTATCAGAAACATTGTTAGAGTATGTTTAAGAATATAGAAAAAGTTAGTAGTTTAATTAGAATATAAAAAAGTTTTGTTTGCTTTTTTTACTTTAGAGCAAGGGTAAATATTTGTAATTGTATGAGTATATTTATAAAGCTGATTGTGAGATTTTATTGTAACATATTTTTGAAGATAACAATATAGAAATTGATGAATCAATTGTACTATTGTAATTTATAACTTAATTTGATGATATAAAGATTATGATAATGCAGAAGAGAGAATAGCTTAAGAAGATTTTTAATAATATAAATAATTAATTTAAATTAGAAGGAAAAACATCACTTTAGAAGTTAAGATAATATTAGATTTTGGTTGGTTATTTTAATATTTTATTATAATTGACAACAGATAGATCTGCTGAATCAAAAGAAGAATAGAAGTAGAGATTTTAGATTAGTGATGAAGAATATGAATAAAATCGTAATTTTGCAAAATAGTATTAATAAGATATTTCTGAAAAATATTTTACTTATACTAATCAATATATAACGAAAGAAAAGATAATAGTGTTTATCGCACTTGAAATGAGAACAATTTAATTGTTATCATCATTTATATTTTAATATTAAGATATTTTAAACAATGAAAATGTGATATCAAAATTACTTACTTAATTTAGTTGTGATGATTAGGTTCATCAATATTTATTTGATAAATAATGTTTAAAATTAGTATCGAAATCAATATTATAAAAAAATGAAGTAGGTATTCCTTATTTATGTAAATAAATGAGAAATGCAAATCCTGAATTATTTGATTTTAAAGAAGCATAATTAATATGTGATGCTCTATTTGTTTGTGCTTAGAATGCAACACATGAATTGTTAACATTTTATGCATTGTTAGGAATAGTATAATTAACATCATTAGGTGATTTTATAGTAGATAGAATAATTGATTAAAAATAGTATATATAGATATAGAGTTAATTAATGGATGAGAATAATTATATAGTGCATGCTAGTTTAGAGATTTTTAATAATATTTCTTTGAATGAAAAGTTTTTGGTTCTTTTGGAAGATAACAAATTACCAACATTTCTTTAATTAGTATAAGCATTGACTAAACAATTCTATGAGAATATTAATGGAAAGGAAGGATAGAATATTTAAGATTTTAGTCATCCTAAATAAATATTGTAAACATTATTAGGATTGATTTCAATAATCTCATAAGTATTAATAGTTTAAGATTATTTTAAAAAAGAATTACCTTTACTTATAGATAAATAATTTTATGATAGAATATTATAATATTCGAATGAAAATTAATTAAGAAAAGTAATAATTAAGAAATATTTGATAGATTAAGATAGTTTGGGAAGAGTATGGATACAAACATAATTGAATAAATTAATTAAATATATAATATAAGTATTTAGAATAATATGTCATCCTCTTGGGAATATTTTAGAAGCAATACTTTTGAAAGCCATAATATTCAAAGGTTTCGTCATAAAGTAGTCAATTCCAGCATCATAAGCTTTTTCTTTAGTTTCTAAATCACTAAAACCAGTATTGGCAATAACGTAAACTTTTTTAATAATACGATTATTCATCATTCTTTTGATTATTTTGACTGTTTCAATTCCACCCATAATGGGCATGTTTATATCAAGAAAAATGAGTTAATACCAACAATTGTTACATTTTGGACAAGGTTTGGTTAATTTCTTATTTATTAATTCAATAGCTTCCATTCCATTATAGGCTTTATCACAAATGGCAAAGTATTATTACATTAACATTTATAAAGTCATAATATTAAAGTATTCATCATCTACAATTAAAACTCTTGCACAGCAATTACTTTTAAGAGAATAACCTTAGATTGTATCTTATAGTTATGGTATAATAGTTTAAAGAGGTTTAAGAATTGATTTATTTTCATCAAATTCTTTAGAATAAATAGTTTAATTAGCATCATCTTGAATTGAATATCCTCTTATAATTGATTTGATTGTGGATATACCAAACTTTGTTTGAACATCATTGATATTCTCATAATAGGAATTAATTGTTTAGAATTTAACAATAGTTCTATGTAATCTTATTGATGGTAATTTCTCAATACTATCTTTAAATTCAGATAGATTTTTTATTAAAAATATAAAAGTAGTTCCTTATTTATTTGAAGTGAATTGAATTTTGGAATCTTCATCAGCATTCATTTTTTTAACTAGTAAATTACTTATAAATAGCCCTAAACTAGAACCTATACTATTTTCTGATACTCTCAACATTACCTTTTATTCTAAGATCTTCCTCAGATTATTCTCCTCTTAACTAGCCTAATGTAAATGTTGAATTGCTAACCATTCCTATTCCAGTATCTATAACAAGAATTTCATATGTATAATCTTATTGTTTGATGATAACTTAGATAGTGCCTGTGATAGTGAAACGAACTGCATTGGAAACTAATTGAAAGATAACTTAACGAAATCTATCTCGATCATTGAATATGGGAACTAATTATGAATAATAGATACAAGATTCTGTTGGTAAGATAAAATCGATTCCTTTTTATTGGCAAGTAATTTAAAAGAAATCAACTATCATATTTATTTCTTCCAGAATATTGAAAGTTGATAAACTCAATTAAAATTGATCAGTTTCAATTGAACTATAATCTCTGATGTTAGAAATTATAAGGTTCAATTATTGGCTACTTGTAAGAATGGGTTGAATAAAGTGTTCTTTGATATCTTGAGTAATTGAAGACTTTTATAAGGCAATTTCAGATAAACTTTAAATACAATTGAGATTAGTTCCAAGTTCGTGAGATAGAGATTTACACATATCAAATATATTCCTATTAATTTCTATTGCTAATTTTGGAACTAATTAGAAATGCAAAATATAATATATTTATTATCTACCAATCAAACCAAATACATTTAGTAAATACTTTTGAATATCTAAAGTTTAACTTTGCATCTAAAATGTTTAATAGTAATATTCAAAATTACTCTATTATTAAATCTAATTCTCTAATACTTACCTCAAAGTTATTACTACTTTTTAACACATCAGAGATTACTGACTATTATCTAATCTTGATATAAACTTTACTCCCAAATCTAATAATTATTAAACTATCTCATTTTGATCTTCAAATAATTCTTGTGATTTCCCTAATATATTTAAATCAAAACTGTAGAATTTCAACTTTAAATCTCTTCCTAATACTAAATATTTCTCATATTATAACCATTTACTAATATAAAAAAATATAATTATACTGATCAAGCCAAGGTTCATCTTCTATCAATTTTAATGAATTAATAATTGGCATACTTCTTCTTGATTCTTAGATTATAGCAAATGTTTATTGAAACTATCCTCCTGTTGTCATTTAGTTCTATGATTATTGAAATTTCTCTTCTGAATTTTTTACTTAATAAATATTAGAAACAATCAATATTATAATTTACATTAAGTTTATGAGTTAATCGTATCCAAAATTTATAAACTATTTGAATTTGAATAAATTTAGAATCACCATGAAAATGAATGAGTATTATAGTGAATTTCTTTTGTAACATTCTGATGTCATGAATATTTAATACAGTATTAATAAGTTCTGATTTGTGCTTAAATTTGCATTTCCCAACCATACAATCAAGATCTTTCCTAAAAATGAAACTAAATTCAATCTGTATTTAATATCTAAATTCCACTCAGTATATACAAGCAGTTGTTGTAAAATAACAAAAAACCCAAATCCAATTATCAATGAAATCATTAATAACTAATCTATCTCCTCTTAAATTTATTCGAAAAGCAAAATTGAAATCGTAGCCAAATCCATTAAGATGAATAGAAATGTATTCAAAATCAATAATTTTTTTGATGCCATTTAATTAAATTAATATTATCATTTTAACCTTCTTCTACTGAGAATCTTTTTTTTTCAAAGGTAGATTTATCATCTTTCTACAATGTATATAATATTAATCATTTCATAATTCAATATTTATCATTTTTTCATTTAAATATTATTACTTGAATTATTCCCCTTCTATTCCCTTAGAAAAGACTAAATCTCTGAATCTCTCCAATAAATAATTACATCTCGTTTCCTTTAAGAAATATTTCTCTTTGAACCTCTAAACTAGACGATAACACTTTATATAAATAACAACTCTCAAAGTTATTAAATAGGCTTTTTAATATAAAACAATAACTAAAATATTCTTAAATTTTGAAATCTTCATATTCTTAATTCGGCCAATTTAGTATCAATATCGTCATCCTCTGTTATTTCTAACAAATCCAAAATACTCTTTAATTTAAAATCTGAAAAATAAATTACTTGGCCCATTTAGCTATAAGTAAACTAAATTTTTGGCTAAGGATAACTTTATGTTACACCTGAATAAATAATTATTAAATCATTTCTATAACAGTATTTTTATATTATTTGAGTTTATTTCCTCTCAAAATCCATAATTCTATCATTACTTATGTTTTATTAAACTATTTCTTTAATTTTCCATTTGGTTAAATGATTGATTATGGATTTAATTAAAAAACCAAACACTCTCACTGATATTAATCATTTATACCATTCATCTAAATATTATTTATATTTCTGTCATATTTATTATAGTTAACAAGATATCTACATAAATAATATATAAAAATACAAAGTTTATGAATTATGTATTTCTATCACTAATAATAATTGGGTAGTCAATTTAAAATATCTCCCTATAACTATTTTATCAATTTATATTTATAGAGTCACGATAAATTCCTTTAACATAGTATTATTATTTTTTAATTTCATACATTTATTATTAACATCTCAAATTAAAATTATTTTAATTTGTCAAATAACAAATTCCTATTTCTCTCAATTTAAATTATTTTAAGTATTTTGGAAATAGAATTCCCTTCTAAGTGAAATTTAATTTCATAGAAAATTTAATAAGAAATCCAATTTTTTATTCTTTATCATCACTTATAAATTAAAAATCTTTTGATTATGAGTTTCTAGGCTTATTTAAAAATTCATATATCTCATAGTTCTTTATTTACTAGCAATATTTATAATTTCTAAAACATTTATTAAAATTTGACCCTTGTCTTAATAATTTCTATTTGAACCCTTTAAGATATAATTCTCACTCTAAATTTGGGCAAATTGCTCATCCATCAATAATATGACTTTCATTCATTGAGATTTATTATTATCATTTAATTTCTCTTTTTAAAATCATTTAATCATGATTTTTATCAAAAACTTTTAAATATTAATCCAATTTTTAAAGAATATGATTGAAACAACAGATCAAAATTTCTATATTTTTGTGTTCAAAAATCTAAATTTTTTTTAATCATTTTAATTAAATAAATCCACTATTTATTAATCTAAAATACATATTCTAATTTTTATGTTATTTTACATAAGATGACTCTAAAAAAATAGAGAATCCAAAATGCTTAATAATTTTTTTCATAATTAAATAAAAATTTTCATTCAATTAATTACATAGAATGTATGTGTTTTTGAATTTATCAATTTCAATTCATTTTATTTATTCATAGATGATAATAAATATGAATTTTAAGACTGAATTATATCAGAGGAGGGCTCTAAAAATTTATTAATTAATATAATATTTAATAGAATTGATGATGGTAGTTATAAGGATCAAAATTATAAATATTTCTGGATATTTGTTAGAAAAGAAAATAAATTATAAATCATATTGCGGATAGATTTTTTTTATAATCATTCATGATAGCTGTTGGATTGACTTTATAATATTACAATCAGTACTTTGTATTTCAACTCAAATTCTTTAATAATATTCTTTGAAAATTGAAGTTCTTAGACTAAATAGTGAAATTCACCCTAAGTAAAATTAACTAAGCCTTCCAATATAGGCTTTGTATTTACTTCTTGCTCAAAATTTCTTACTGAGAGTAAGACATTAATAAGTAATTTTTTATTGATGGTGATTATTTTTGAAACCCAGCTCTATTTTATTTAAATTGTATGAAGAAATTAGTAAATTTTAGAGTATTAGTATTCAAATTGTAGGTTGAATTAAAATAGAAATAGTGAAGGGATCCTTTTGGGTATAGAAACAATTTTTATAATTCATTCAAAAGATATTTCTTCTTATTTATTATAAAATTATTATTTTAAAGATTAATTTTAAAATTTCTGGTTTTATGAGATTAACAAAAATCAATGGATTAATGTAAAGGTCAGAAGAGAATATAAAAAATTTAAAGTCTTTGTATGCACCTTAATTTTATCGTGGTTATGATGATTAATTAACTGTGATTGGCAGAATGAAGTAAATCATAATATTATCAATTTAGTTGGTTGAAGATCAAACAGCCTAAAATGTATCCTCTTTCTAAAGAAGAAGAAACCTTCTAAGCTAGAAATCTATGCAAATTCCCTGAGCAAAGAGATGCTATTTAAAATGAAATGGATCAAATGCTTGAATTTATGAAATTGAAGAACGCCCATAAATTATAAAAGACATTAAAGAATGTTAAGGGAAATAATGTTGATGAAAAAATATTTAGAGCAATGGAATATGACATGCATTCTTTTAAATAATTAGAGGAAAAGTGATTTTATTTTTATAACAAGTATATATAAACCACATTAATCTTATCATATTTCAAATTTGTTATAATTTAAATTCTTGAAAGCATATATCTCTTAAATTTAAATTATTGAAAAGTAAATAACTTTTAATATTTAGAAATCCTTTTATTTATATTTTGGACTTGATTAAAATAAATTTATACATTTTATTTTTGTATGTGATAAATAAATGTGTTTATTCGAATGAAAAATAAAAATATTTGCAAAGGAGATTTTATTTGACAATCAATGTAATTTTAAAACAGCTGGATTTAGATTTGCAAAGAATATTAAATTTTAATAAATAATTTTTATTGTGAATTTTTTAAAGAAAAGAAAATACAATAGAGCTGCATATTTTATTTTTTATAATGATTAGATTTGTCATTTAATTACTCCGATTATTAAAATTGTTAGAATAATTATTAATAATTTGGTTAAACAATAAAAATTAACTTAAAAGAGGATTTCTAGATAATTTAAAAGTATTATATAATTTATTAATCTCTAGATATTTTATAAATAAAATGTTTGAATATGATTTTAATCAAGGAGTCAGCTTAAGAGAATACTTTGAATGTCAATTCGTATTGGGTCCTATAATTTAATATTATCTAAATTTTTGAAGAAAATGATAGAATAACAAAAATTCATAAAAATAAATATAAAGTAATAATAAAATTTTTATTAAATTTAGCTTGATGTTGATATTCTAGATGAAGAAAGTGATGTGAAATATAAAATTTAGATAGAATTATGTGATATTGGAGATGAAATGTTGAGAGTTGATGTTCTTAATTTTGGATATGACCCAATAGATTTCAATTAAACTCTTGATCTTCTTAGATAAAAGATATAAGAATAATAATCTTGAAATTAATATACAACAATAATTTTATTCGATTAATATATATTCATTCATTTATATACTTGAATTTGATTCAATAACAAAAAAATGAGTTCTTATATTTTAGTATCAGATCTAATTAGAATTAAGATGAAAGGTTTTTAATTTAAAGGTTATAATTAATTGATGTTATTGTTTATTATATGATAAATGATTTTATTTCAATCGTAGAGAGTCAAAACCTTAATAAATTTAATTTAATAATATTTACATTTAACTAATTATGAAAATTAAAACCTAGTTATGCTTGAATTAAAGTTACATATGATTAAATTTAAAAAATGTAGCTATTATGCAATCTATTTTTTAGAATTATCTTGATTAAATTTAAAATTAGATAAATGAATTGTTTATCTCTATAAATAAAAATTAATTAGAAAATATCGTATTTATATAATTTTGTGGTTTATGTATTAAATAATGTGCAAAATCATAAATAAAATTAAATAAATGTAGTAATAAGGATAATAAATGGAAGGTGAACAATAGTAAAGTATTTGTGAAGACTATTATATTATTAAAACACTTGGTGTAGGAAAATATGGCAAGTAGGAACTTTAAAATTATAGAATAGGGTTAAATTGGGGCAGAAAGCATAAAACCTTGCTGCTTTGAAATTTTTCAAGTTTGAGAATGAATAATAATAATAAAATCAAATACAATAACTACTAAGAGAGACCTAAATATTATAAAAGCTTAATCATCCAAACATTATCAAATTAATAAAGTATAGTGAGTAACTTAAATATACTGTATAATTATTGTCTAAATTAGCAAAAAAATGGTACAATTACTTATAAAATGGGTTTGATCTTNTAAATTTTTGAAGAAAATGATAGAATAACAAAAATTCATAAAAATAAATATAAAGTAATAATAAAATTTTTATTAAATTTAGCTTGATGTTGATATTCTAGATGAAGAAAGTGATGTGAAATATAAAATTTAGATAGAATTATGTGATATTGGAGATGAAATGTTGAGAGTTGATGTTCTTAATTTTGGATATGACCCAATAGATTTCAATTAAACTCTTGATCTTCTTAGATAAAAGATATAAGAATAATAATCTTGAAATTAATATACAACAATAATTTTATTCGATTAATATATATTCATTCATTTATATACTTGAATTTGATTCAATAACAAAAAAATGAGTTCTTATATTTTAGTATCAGATCTAATTAGAATTAAGATGAAAGGTTTTTAATTTAAAGGTTATAATTAATTGATGTTATTGTTTATTATATGATAAATGATTTTATTTCAATCGTAGAGAGTCAAAACCTTAATAAATTTAATTTAATAATATTTACATTTAACTAATTATGAAAATTAAAACCTAGTTATGCTTGAATTAAAGTTACATATGATTAAATTTAAAAAATGTAGCTATTATGCAATCTATTTTTTAGAATTATCTTGATTAAATTTAAAATTAGATAAATGAATTGTTTATCTCTATAAATAAAAATTAATTAGAAAATATCGTATTTATATAATTTTGTGGTTTATGTATTAAATAATGTGCAAAATCATAAATAAAATTAAATAAATGTAGTAATAAGGATAATAAATGGAAGGTGAACAATAGTAAAGTATTTGTGAAGACTATTATATTATTAAAACACTTGGTGTAGGAAAATATGGCAAGTAGGAACTTTAAAATTATAGAATAGGGTTAAATTGGGGCAGAAAGCATAAAACCTTGCTGCTTTGAAATTTTTCAAGTTTGAGAATGAATAATAATAATAAAATCAAATACAATAACTACTAAGAGAGACCTAAATATTATAAAAGCTTAATCATCCAAACATTATCAAATTAATAAAGTATAGTGAGTAACTTAAATATACTGTATAATTATTGTCTAAATTAGCAAAAAAATGGTACAATTACTTATAAAATGGGTTTGATCTTAGAATATGGAAGTAATGGCGATATGTTTTAATATTTGAAGCATTTTTAAAAATTTGATGAACAAATTGCAAGATTTTATTTTTGTTAGATGATTAAAGTTTTAATTGATATGAAAAATCTAAATATTTGTCATCGAGATCTAAAACTTGAAAATATTTATTTTGACAATGAATATAATTTAAAAATAGCTGGATTTGGATTTGCTACAGAGTATTAAGGTTTAATAAATAACTTTTATGGTGGAACATTACGTAATTTTAAATCATAAATTTTAAGCTTATATGGCACCAGAACTTTTAGAAAGGAGAGAATATGATGGATCAAAAGTTGATGTTTTTGCTCTTGGGCAAATTTTATTTTTAATGATGACTGGATATTTTGCATTTTAAAAATCGAATCATTTAAGTTATAAATTAATTAAAGAGAAAAATCATTAATAATTTTGGTAAAAAATGTAAAATTAACTTAATAGAGAATTACCAGATAATTTTAAGTATATTTTATGATTTAAAAATTTTTTTAGAGATCTTATTAATAAAATGTTTGAATATGATTTTAATCAAAGAATAAGTTGTGAAGAATGCTTAGAACATCCATTTTTATAGGGTCCTATAGCTAATTTACATGAAATATAATAATAATTCAGAGCTGTCGAAGATAGAATAAATTAAGAAAGAGACATACAAATTTATAGGCAACGAGAAGAAATTAAAAGGCAACGAGAAGAAATTTAAAGACGACAATAAATTGAAAGGGAAATGCAAGAATAAATGGGAAATGATAGTAGTACATTTAAATGATAATTTCAAATAATATATTATAATAAAGGATATAATTTATTTTATAAAGTACACATAATATATTACTTAATAAATTTTATGAATGATATTATTTATATAAATTTTATGAATGATATTATTTATATAAATTTTAATATAATAATAAGAATGGGGGAACTAATAGTAACAATTACTACATGGGATAAACCAAATTATGAATTATTTGATGGAGAATCACAAAATTATAGAATATAGGAATATTTGATAGATGAACCAGGAATGTTTTGCAGAAATGGAGAGAATGAAACATTTTTCGATTAGAATATGAGTAGAAAGGATGGAGTAAGGATTCTATTCAATCTCAGAATTGACGATGGTAGTATTTGGCGAGTGCATTGTAGGACAATTTGTTATTGGAGATAAAGATTAAATTGAAGATTTATGGATTTAATCAAAGAATGAGTAACAAATAAGACAAAATGATGTGATAAAACTAGGAAAGAAAGTCTTAAAAGTACTTAACATTAGTAATGAAAATAACTTACATTTGACACATTATTAAAATGTAGTTANTTATGGTGGAACATTACGTAATTTTAAATCATAAATTTTAAGCTTATATGGCACCAGAACTTTTAGAAAGGAGAGAATATGATGGATCAAAAGTTGATGTTTTTGCTCTTGGGCAAATTTTATTTTTAATGATGACTGGATATTTTGCATTTTAAAAATCGAATCATTTAAGTTATAAATTAATTAAAGAGAAAAATCATTAATAATTTTGGTAAAAAATGTAAAATTAACTTAATAGAGAATTACCAGATAATTTTAAGTATATTTTATGATTTAAAAATTTTTTTAGAGATCTTATTAATAAAATGTTTGAATATGATTTTAATCAAAGAATAAGTTGTGAAGAATGCTTAGAACATCCATTTTTATAGGGTCCTATAGCTAATTTACATGAAATATAATAATAATTCAGAGCTGTCGAAGATAGAATAAATTAAGAAAGAGACATACAAATTTATAGGCAACGAGAAGAAATTAAAAGGCAACGAGAAGAAATTTAAAGACGACAATAAATTGAAAGGGAAATGCAAGAATAAATGGGAAATGATAGTAGTACATTTAAATGATAATTTCAAATAATATATTATAATAAAGGATATAATTTATTTTATAAAGTACACATAATATATTACTTAATAAATTTTATGAATGATATTATTTATATAAATTTTATGAATGATATTATTTATATAAATTTTAATATAATAATAAGAATGGGGGAACTAATAGTAACAATTACTACATGGGATAAACCAAATTATGAATTATTTGATGGAGAATCACAAAATTATAGAATATAGGAATATTTGATAGATGAACCAGGAATGTTTTGCAGAAATGGAGAGAATGAAACATTTTTCGATTAGAATATGAGTAGAAAGGATGGAGTAAGGATTCTATTCAATCTCAGAATTGACGATGGTAGTATTTGGCGAGTGCATTGTAGGACAATTTGTTATTGGAGATAAAGATTAAATTGAAGATTTATGGATTTAATCAAAGAATGAGTAACAAATAAGACAAAATGATGTGATAAAACTAGGAAAGAAAGTCTTAAAAGTACTTAACATTAGTAATGAAAATAACTTACATTTGACACATTATTAAAATGTAGTTATTTATAGTTAAATAATTTTTAAGTAGTAAAGCTGATCCAAATAATCTGCAAGTATTAGCAAAATCTAATGCAAATTATGCCTACAAACTGTTTTTTTGATGTTAAAATAACATACATTTTGCTTAAAATGCTAAAATTTATAGATTAAGTAATATATATATATATTAGAGATAATAGTGATGATATTACAGTGATCGTCGCATTTATTAATGAATAATGATTTATTAGGACTTTAAAGTGTGTATATATTTGATTATATAAATGTTGAGTTATATATAATTAAAAAATAAAAATTAATTAGAAAATATCTTATTTATTAATTTAGTGGTTTATATATTAAATTATGTGCAAAATCATAAATAAAATTAATAGTGAGGATAACAATGGAAAATGAGAAATAATAAAGTATTTGTGAAGGATATTATATTATTAAAACACTTGGAACAGGAACATTTTCATAGTAGAAATTTTATTATTATTCATTAGGGTTAAATTGGGGCAGAAAGGATAAAACTATGCTGCTTTGAAATTTTTCAAATAAGGCAATGAAGAAATGCAATTAGAATAATTTAATAGAGAAGCCCGAATATTATCAAACCTTAAACATTAAAATTTTATTAAATTGATAGATTGCAATGAGTAACTTAAATATACTGTATAATTATTGTCTAAATTAGAAAAAAAATGGAACAACAACTTATAAAATGGGTTTGATCTTAGAATATGGAAATAATGGCGATATTTTCTCATATTTAAAATATTTAAAAAAATTTGATGAACCAATTGCAAGATTTTATTTATGTTAGATGATTAAAGCTTTAATTGATATGAAAAATTTAAATATTTGTCATAGAGATTTAAAACCTGAAAATATTTTGTTTGATGATGAATATAATTTAAAAATAGCCGATTTTGGGTTTGCAACAGAGTATTAAGGTTTAATAAATGACTTTCATGGTGGAACAATACGTAATTTTAAATCATAAATTTTAAGCTTATATGGCACCAGAACTTTTAGAAAAGAGAGAATATGATGGATCAAAAGTTGATGTTTTTGCTCTTGGGCAAATTTTATTTATAATGATGACTGGATGTTTTGCATTTTAAAAATCGAATCATTCAAGTTATAAATTAATTAAAGAGAAAAATCATTAATAATTTTGGTAAAAAATGTAAAATTAACTAAAAAGAGAATTACCAGATAATTTTAAGTATATTTTATGATTTAAAATTTTTTTAGAGATCTTATTAATAAAATGTTTGAATATGATTATAATCAAAGAATAAGTTTTGAAGAATGTTTACAACATCCATTTTTATAGGGTCCTATAGCTAATTTACATGAAATAAAATAATAATTCAGAGATCAAAAACTGATTATTGATAAAAAAAGAGACCAACAAATTTATAGGCAACGAGAAGAAATTAAAAGGCAACGAGAAGAAATTTAAAGACGACAATAAATTGAAAGGGAAATGCAAGAATAAATGGGAAATGATAGTACATTTAAATCATCCGGTTAAGATAATTCTAATTAAGAAAAATTAAAAAAATAAAAGAATAAACTGATGGAAAAATACAAATTTAATTTTAAAGATCAAATTCTAAAGAAAAGCAGTCCAACATAAATGATCAATGAAATAGTAACATGTTAAGAAAGAGAAAGTTTATTTATTTAAATTATTTAAATTTTTGAAGAAAATGATAGAATAACAAAAATTCATAAAAATAAATATAAAGTAATAAAATTTTTATTAAATTTAGCTTGATGTTGATATTCTAGATGAAGAAAGTGATGTGAAATATAAAATTTAGATAGAATTATGTGATATTGGAGATGAAATGTTGAGAGTTGATGTTCTTAATTTTGGCTATGACCCAATAGATTTCAATTAAACTCTTGATCTTCTTAGATAAAAGATATAAGAATAATAAATTTGAGATATTTTTTTGATAAATCTATGTATGTAAAAAGAATATTTCTACATGTATACTAATTCACCAAGAAAATCTTCCGATGATAATAATTTTATTTTTTTAGGTTATATTTTCAAAATATTATTAACAATTAGATGAGAAATTCTACTAAATTTAGCTATCAATAATTGTTAAAATTAATGAGAAATTAAAATTTTAGTTTTTGAATCTTGATGAGATTAGTACCACGTTGATCATAATTAAATAATTGTTTTTTTAAATCTGGTTAAAGATTAATAGTGACTTTTAAAAAAGAAAAATATAAGTAATATATATAAATCATAAAAATTAAATGAAATATATATATAATTGATGATAAATTTAAATGATACATGATTGTCATAATTTAAATATATTAGGATGCTTTACAATTCCAGAAGGATTAGGTGATTTACTTCTTGGTCTTGGACTTAAAGAAGGTCTGGATTTGCGAATACTACCATCAGAAGGTATTTGGAGAAGCATTTGTTTTTGTTGTGGTGTTCTGTTTTCAGTGTTAATCCAGGGATGATATTCTACATCTGTAATTCGAGGACGTTGTTCGTGATTCTTTTCTAACATCAAAGTGAGCAAATTGACAACTTCTTCGCTAAAATTATTTGGTGGTAATATGAGTTCTTTGTTGATTATGTTAAAAACGATATCTTGTTAAGATTTTCCATTAAAAGGAACTTTGCCAAAAAGCATTTTATAAAGTATGATGCCAATCGCCCAAATATCGACAGAAGTACTGATTCTAGTGACTTTTCCTGCTAAGATTTCAGGTGCCATATAATGGAGACTTCCAATATTGACATGATCATTGTTAGTTGGACATTAGATTCCTGCAATTCCAAAATCAATAGCTTTGAGTTCATCAGAATCAGGAGAGCAGAATAGTAAATTTTCCATTTTTAAATCTCGATGAACAACGTTTTTCTGATGACAATAAGAGATTGCACTAACTACCTACCTTAAATATTTGCATGCTTCTTCCTCTTGAAACCTTCCTTTCTATTTTAATCTTTCAGCCAATTCTCCTCCTTCTAAAAATTCCATAATGACAGCTATTTAAGTGTTTTGTAATGCGTAAGAATTAAAAACCTTTACTATGTTCTTGTGACTCAAAGATCTCAATACTTCTGCTTCTCTAAAATTCAGTTCTATGTCTTAAGCATTCCCCATCATTTTGATTATCTTTATTGCAACTTGCTCTCCAGTTATTCGATGTCTGGCCAATGTTACACATCCAAACCCTCCTTCTCCTAGTTTCTTTATTGTTTCATATTGAGAAAATGGGGAATGAGGATCAAACTCTTCTAATAAATTAAACATCTAACAATATTGTACCTCCTCTAGATGCATAAAATGATTAGTTATCTTTAAAGAATTTAATATCATCTCGAAAGATTTCTACACCTTATTATGTAAAAAGCCTAATTTCTTTAAACTTTCCGAATTTCTGGTCTAATTGAGTTTAAATGTCACTCCAACTAGAATTTTATGCAATCTTCAAATCCAAGTACTTAGAAGAATCTCCATTCAAGTAAACTCGAATAGACTTGATAAATTAGAGAGGAGAATCATCATATTCTTCGTACATCATAAGTTAATTAAATATCATTCAAGAAAATTACAAAGTAACGCACATCGTTTTCTTTTTTCCTTATGTTTTATCATTATTCTGCTCCGTCCTGACTATAAAAAAAGAGTCTCATTTTTCTCTATTCTTCTTGCTTTTTGCAATTTTATTAGAGTTCCAAACTTAGAATTCTTATCCTCAATATACAACTTATTGTTCCTTCATATTGTTAAGACATTTACCTTATGACTAATGCAAGATGTGTTCTACTAATTGTTATTTCACTTATCTTTATATTACTCTCATGACCGCGTCCAACTGTCAAAGTTGTCTGATCTCCAAAATTAAGGACCATGATAATCTAATTTTCTACATCTTCCAACACAACATGATATTTTAAATTATCCAAATTATACAATCCTAACACATTATCTCCTGTGTACACCATCGAAGGGTAGAATGATTAACAAATTTCACACCTCACACTCTTAGCATTTATTCTAAATTTTTTGAATGTTTGTTACTCAGTACAATATTGAGACTGCTTCGCTTACATTTTCCCATATAGCCAAGTCTTTACACACTCATAGTGTACATACTTAGTACTACCACAACAACGACATAATGAAAGCAAAGGATTCGAAGTATTACAAGTATGTTCTAAGCATATTCTGCACATATTTTATGATTCGAGGAATGAGGTTTCTACATTTTGAATTTAAATAACTACATTTTAATAATGTGTCAAATGTAAGTTATTTTCATTACTAATGTTAAGTACTTTTAAGACTTTCTTTCCTAGTTTTATCACATCATTTTGTCTTATTTGTTACTCATTCTTTGATTAAATCCATAAATCTTCAATTTAATCTTTATCTCCAATAACAAATTGTCCTACAATGCACTCGCCAAATACTACCATCGTCAATTCTGAGATTGAATAGAATCCTTACTCCATCCTTTCTACTCATATTCTAATCGAAAAATGTTTCATTCTCTCCATTTCTGCAAAACATTCCTGGTTCATCTATCAAATATTCCTATATTCTATAATTTTGTGATTCTCCATCAAATAATTCATAATTTGGTTTATCCCATGTAGTAATTGTTACTATTAGTTCCCCCATTCTTATTATTATATTAAAATTTATATAAATAATATCATTCATAAAATTTATATAAATAATATCATTCATAAAATTTATTAAGTAATATATTATGTGTACTTTATAAAATAAATTATATCCTTTATTATAATATATTATTTGAAATTATCATTTAAATGTACTACTATCATTTCCCATTTATTCTTGCATTTCCCTTTCAATTTATTGTCGTCTTTAAATTTCTTCTCGTTGCCTTTTAATTTCTTCTCGTTGCCTATAAATTTGTATGTCTCTTTCTTAATTTATTCTATCTTCGACAGCTCTGAATTATTATTATATTTCATGTAAATTAGCTATAGGACCCTATAAAAATGGATGTTCTAAGCATTCTTCACAACTTATTCTTTGATTAAAATCATATTCAAACATTTTATTAATAAGATCTCTAAAAAAATTTTTAAATCATAAAATATACTTAAAATTATCTGGTAATTCTCTATTAAGTTAATTTTACATTTTTTACCAAAATTATTAATGATTTTTCTCTTTAATTAATTTATAACTTAAATGATTCGATTTTTAAAATGCAAAATATCCAGTCATCATTAAAAATAAAATTTGCCCAAGAGCAAAAACATCAACTTTTGATCCATCATATTCTCTCCTTTCTAAAAGTTCTGGTGCCATATAAGCTTAAAATTTATGATTTAAAATTACGTAATGTTCCACCATAAAAGTTATTTATTAAACCTTAATACTCTGTAGCAAATCCAAATCCAGCTATTTTTAAATTATATTCATTGTCAAAATAAATATTTTCAAGTTTTAGATCTCGATGACAAATATTTAGATTTTTCATATCAATTAAAACTTTAATCATCTAACAAAAATAAAATCTTGCAATTTGTTCATCAAATTTTTAAAAATGCTTCAAATATTAAAACATATCGCCATTACTTCCATATTCTAAGATCAAACCCATTTTATAAGTAATTGTACCATTTTTTTGCTAATTTAGACAATAATTATACAGTATATTTAAGTTACTCACTATACTTTATTAATTTGATAATGTTTGGATGATTAAGCTTTTATAATATTTAGGTCTCTCTTAGTAGTTATTGTATTTGATTTTATTATTATTATTCATTCTCAAACTTGAAAAATTTCAAAGCAGCAAGGTTTTATGCTTTCTGCCCCAATTTAACCCTATTCTATAATTTTAAAGTTCCTACTTGCCATATTTTCCTACACCAAGTGTTTTAATAATATAATAGTCTTCACAAATACTTTACTATTGTTCACCTTCCATTTATTATCCTTATTACTACATTTATTTAATTTTATTTATGATTTTGCACATTATTTAATACATAAACCACAAAATTATATAAATACGATATTTTCTAATTAATTTTTATTTATAGAGATAAACAATTCATTTATCTAATTTTAAATTTAATCAAGATAATTCTAAAAAATAGATTGCATAATAGCTACATTTTTTAAATTTAATCATATGTAACTTTAATTCAAGCATAACTAGGTTTTAATTTTCATAATTAGTTAAATGTAAATATTATTAAATTAAATTTATTAAGGTTTTGACTCTCTACGATTGAAATAAAATCATTTATCATATAATAAACAATAACATCAATTAATTATAACCTTTAAATTAAAAACCTTTCATCTTAATTCTAATTAGATCTGATACTAAAATATAAGAACTCATTTTTTTGTTATTGAATCAAATTCAAGTATATAAATGAATGAATATATATTAATCGAATAAAATTATTGTTGTATATTAATTTCAAGATTATTATTCTTATATCTTTTATCTAAGAAGATCAAGAGTTTAATTGAAATCTATTGGGTCATATCCAAAATTAAGAACATCAACTCTCAACATTTCATCTCCAATATCACATAATTCTATCTAAATTTTATATTTCACATCACTTTCTTCATCTAGAATATCAACATCAAGCTAAATTTAATAAAAATTTTATTATTACTTTATATTTATTTTTATGAATTTTTGTTATTCTATCATTTTCTTCAAAAATTTAAATAATTTAAATAAATAAACTTTCTCTTTCTTAACATGTTACTATTTCATTGATCATTTATGTTGGACTGCTTTTCTTTAGAATTTGATCTTTAAAATTAAATTTGTATTTTTCCATCAGTTTATTCTTTTATTTTTTTAATTTTTCTTAATTAGAATTATCTTAACCGGATGATTTAAATGTACTATCATTTCCCATTTATTCTTGCATTTCCCTTTCAATTTATTGTCGTCTTTAAATTTCTTCTCGTTGCCTTTTAATTTCTTCTCGTTGCCTATAAATTTGTATGTCTCTTTCTTAATTTATTCTATCTTCGACAGCTCTGAATTATTATTATATTTCATGTAAATTAGCTATAGGACCCTATAAAAATGGATGTTCTAAGCATTCTTCACAACTTATTCTTTGATTAAAATCATATTCAAACATTTTATTAATAAGATCTCTAAAAAAATTTTAAATCAAAAAATATACTTAAAATTATCTGGTAATTCTCTATTAAGTTAATTTTACATTTCTTACCAAAATTATTAATGATTTTTCTCTTTAATTAATTTATAACTTGAATGATTCGATTTTTAAAATGCAAAACATCCAGTCATCATTATAAATAAAATTTGCCCAAGAGCAAAAACATCAACTTTTGATCCATCATATTCTCTCTTTTCGAAAAGTTCTGGTGCCATATAAGCTTAAAATTTATGATTTAAAATTACGTAATGTTCCACCATGAAAGTCATTTATTAAACCTAAATACTCTGTTGCAAACCCAAAATCGGCTATTTTTAAATTATATTCACTGTCAAATAAAATATTTTCAATTTTTAAATCTCGATGACAAATATTTTGATTTTTCATATAAATTAAAGTGTTTAACATCTAAAAAAAATAAAATCTTGCAATTCGTTCATCAAATTTTTAAAAATGTTTCTAATATTAAAACATATCGCCATTACTTCCATATTCTAATATCAAACCCATTTTATAAGTAATTGGACCATTTTTTTTCTAATTTAGACAATAATTATACAGTATATTTAAGTTGCTCATTGTAATCTATCAATTCAATAATGTTTGGATGTTTAAGCTTTCTTAATATATAAGCTTCACTATTTAAATATTATAATTGTTTTTCTTCATTCTTGTATAACTTCAAAGCAGCAAGTTCAAATCCTTTCTAACCTAGTTTAACCTTAGTCCCATTTTTTTAAATTGCAAGTGTTTTAATAATATAATATCCTTCACAAATACTTTATTATTTCTCATTTTCCATTGTTATCCTCACTATTAAATTTATTTATGATTTTGCACATAATTTAATATATAAACCACTAAATTAATAAATAAGATATATTTTCTAATTAATTTTTATTTTTTAATTATATATAACTCAACATTTATATAATTAAATATATACACACTTTAAAGTTCTAATAAATCATTATTCATTAATAAATGCGACGATCACTGTAATATCATCACTATTATCTCTAATATATATATATTACTTAATCTATAAATTTTAGCATTTTAAGCAAAATGTATGTTATTTTAACATCAAAAAAACAGTTTGTAGGCATAATTTGTATTAGATTTTGCTAATACTTGTAGATTATTTGAATCAGCAATACTATGTTGAATTTACGAAGTTGGCATTAAATTAGATAATCTGCAAGTTCTCAAAATCATTTTAAATATAATATTTATTTTATGAATTTACATTTGGATATTAGGATGAATATAGATAATTATTAAAGAATTTTATCAAGTTATCCCCTCCTTTATGAACTTTTAGAGGATGAAATATAGATTTATTTAAGTTAAAAATGAAACAGAGTAATTTAAGCGTTTCATATTGAATCCATATTTAAAATAATATTCTTTGGTAGTACAACAATTAGTGTATTAGTAATTAATTTCTTTCTTAGATTAAATAATATGTGTGATATTGATGACTGTATCTCAAATAACTAAAGGTTAGTCTCTTATTAATATATATAAATATATATAAATTATAAATATTAATATATATAAATTAAATATAAATGATTCTGGATTATTATGATAATATTTCATAAATGAGCTTTATTTACCAAATTTTGATTAGCATAATCCCAATTGACTAAATTAGTTAAAAACAAATTTGCATAATCGATTCTTCTATTCTAAAAATCTAGATAATAAGCATGTTCCCAAACATCTAATGTAATCAAGGGGTTATATCCTTAAGTAATAGGATTATCAGCATTTGAAGTTTTGACTATACTCACTTTTCCATCTTTTTCTACTAACCAAGTCCATCTATTTAGATTTAAGAATATTCTTACCCTGATCCAAATTAACCTAAGGCAGCATCTGTGAATGCTTTGCTGAAAGAATCCAAGCTGTCAAAGCTTTACAATATTAAATCCTTAACTTATCCAGTTGCACCACCACCACCTTAAGGTTTCATGCTTCTCCAATAAAATCTAATGTATAATTCTTAATTAATACGTGTGATTCCATGTTTGAGCTGCATTATTGAATATTGCAACAGTGGCAGGGTTTCCAAAAGTATTCTTTACAACATCTGTAAGACTTTAATTTTCATAAGGTGTTCCTTTAGTTAATTCATTCAATTTGTTCACATATCCAGCATGATGTTTTCCATAATGAAAACTTATTGTGTTAGCTGAAATGTGTGGAGCCAAAGCATCTTAAGCATATGGTAATGGATCAAGAACAAATGACATGATGATATTTAATTTTAATTTATGAATTCTCTTCTCTCTAAATCCTTTAATAACACTTATAAGATATTATCATTTAGATATATTGCCAGAATATATAATAAAATCATTTATAATCAGAAATATAAATAATTGATTCCATTTCTTATATATACTACTTAATCATTCTAACTAATGTTAATGCATCCATATCTCACTTAAATAATATTTATGACCAAATTCTTAACAAAGATCAATAATCAGAATTATCATTATAATTCATATTTAACATCTATTTTTTATTATTTGAGGTGTATTCATTCTTATTATGAAATTCAAATGAATTGCAATATTTTTAAATGTTATTTATCAACCAGAATAACATTCTCTTAGAATTCAACATCATAATATGAATACTATTTTTAATCAAATACTATATTGATTTATGCATACCAAAATAAGTTGTTAATAATAATAGTATTTAGATATTGTAGTAATCCTACATTATTAGGTATTTCTAATATGAAATGTTCAATAACGAATTTAATCTATCAATAATAATCTGAATTCATTATATCTTTTCTTTTATCATAATTTACGATGATTTAAAGACTGTCACTTCCTCCTGTATTTTTGTTAATTACTATATTTATATTGTACTAAATTTATTGTAAATTTATCAGCTCCATCTCTAAAAAACAGAAACTATTTTAATAATTAAAATAAATATTATATATTATCAATCAAATGATATCTTATATTACTGCATGTTAGACATTTTTCTATTGATATCCCTTATATCACTGATATCATAAAAATAATTTTCAAATTGAATAAAATTTTAAAAGTTCGATGGAGTAAATGAAAACTTTATCATTTCACTTATCAAACTCAGAACCTGATAAATTTTGGTATTCTACTAATTAGAATTTTATAAATTCATTTTAAGTTAACCAATTGATCTAATTTATGAGTAATACCGATTAAGTGTATTCAATTCATCTAAAGATATATTATCATTTAGTTAATTTATATTTAATTATTAACAGATGAAGCCACAAATTTAACGTACTCTCTCTTAATTTAAATTGTCTACATATAATTCAATCTTAATATTTATTTACAATAGATAAAATATAGTTTAACCTAAGCAAAATAGGTCTTACTATCTTTTAATATCTTAAATATTTATATTAGTAAAATAATTTTAATGTAAATGATCTCTTAATATTTTATAGGGAGTTTTATAAAAATTCTCTTCTTCGTCTATTTATTATATTTATAATTCTTAATTTTAATTATAAAATTATTAAGTTAATCCAAAATCACATAAACAAATTTTAACCCATTTTTTTATAAATATATTGTTGCGGTTAAAAGTTTATATACCTTCCTTTTCCAGCCACTTTCTAATCCAATATATTAATTGATTTGTCTGTTCATTATTAAATTATTATCTATACAACAATAATTGTATCGGAAGATCTTCTCTAGCATTTTGAAAGTTTCTTTAAAGAATTTATTGAAACGAAACATAATCTGGTTCAATCTGATTTTGATCAAATTATCCTTAATCGTTATTATTTTCCAATAAATCTATTCTTAATTACTCTAATTCTTATTAGTATGGCTATTCAATTGCATTTAATATATTTTAGGCTTAATAACAAAATTAATACTCATAATGAAGTAAAATATTTTTTGGTTTAACATCCATATGATATATTCCTCTCTAATGAAAATAATTTAAAATTCTTAATAATTGAAAACTAATTAAATATATGGATGATGCAGAAAGTAGATTGTTATGATCAGTTTCCATTTCATAACAATCCATATTCAAATTACCTAAATTCATGTATGTAGTTGCGATCCATGAATAATATTACAAATCACATAAATTTCTTTAAATTTAACATGTATAAAAACTACCAGCCAAAAATTACAAACATTCAATTTCCATCTATGTTAATTATTTTTTAGATACTTAATTCTTAATTTATTACTTGTTTAATCTTAACCAATTATCTTAGATGTTTAAAAATTTATATACTCTATCATCCACTTAAAACAATTCATCTTCAATAAACTCGTGAAAAGAATTTTCAAAATTTCCTCTTAATTATTCAATTCTATCCCTAATTCTAAAACTCATAAATTATTCATTCATTTTTTTTAATATTAACATTCGATTACAAAATTTTTTATATTAGCAAAAATTCCTGCAAAATACTTTCTCTGAATTTTAAAATCTTCTAATTCAAATCCTTAATTTTGTGAAAATAGATAGATTATATCACAATTGATTCCTAGTTTCTTCCAATTTTATAATCATGATATAATTTATCATTGATTATTAGTGAAGAATTCAAGAATTCAACAACAGAAAAGGTTATTAAAATTATATCTACTTGAATTTGGTAGATTTTAAACATATACATGCAGAATTCTCTACTATATCAACATTAGATGTTTATTATATACTTTTTTATAAAATAGAATTTGATCATTTTATACTTAATAAATTTTAATCATCATGTAATAATTTTAAATGAAAACATGAAATATAATTATCCTATTTTTAACACATTTGTAAACATTCTTAAATAAATTAATTAAATTCAATATTTAAAAAACAAAATATTTTGAATTAATAAAAAAACATATCATTTTTATAGATTGATAAAAAATATAAAATTGAAAAATAATAATAAATAATAAGCAATAGAATAAATTTATAGGAATGGATTATTAGCTAGGTACAATTTACTTATGTCAAAGAACTTATTAATCATAATTGTAATAGAAACATAAAGCATTCTAAGGTAGTTTAATTCTTTTAATATTTTTTTCTTTTCCATCCTTTATATCTATTTTAATTTTTAAACATAAACATAAATTTATCGATTTAATTCATGTTATATATATATTAATCCTTAATTTCATTTCCTTTTAATTATATGATACTTTCACAGGTTAACTTTGAAACAATAAAAATTGATTATAATTCTAAGTTGTTCCATTTATATTTTCTTAATCATTGACAATTCCTTCTGCTGTTTTCTATTTTAGTTTATTTTATTATTTTTATTTAAACTATCTTATTCACTTTAATACTAAAGACTTACATAATATATCTTAATGAACAGTAATTTATAAGATTTGAGAAAATTGTTAGTATAGATACTATTTAATTATTTATATAATCATATATTGAATAATAATCTTAAATTACTAATTGAAAAACTAAATTTTGACATCAATATAATTTATCATTATAATTCTGTTTTAATTTATGCAAATCAAGATATGATTTACTTATAATTTAAGATTATGGACTTGAATACTTAATTTATTGAGAAAGTTTAGGTGTAAATGTACAAGCACTAATTATCTATTATTCTTTTTCTTATTGAAGCCTTTTTATTTTCAATTGCTTCTTTTTTTGAAATATTTCATTTCGATGAACTACTGATAAGCCTACCCAATCTTTATAATGAGATAACTCTTATTTAATAGAACTCTCTTATTATTTTAGTTCTCTGAATTCAGAAATCTACTTAAAAAGAGCCATAGATTATGGTCTATACATTTATTATTTTGTGATAGTTTTTGGAGTCTAACTTTGAGTGGATGTTGTTTCAGGAACTTTTGTGTTTTTTGATACTTGTACTTTTTGCACTTAAGGTTTTACAAAAAATTTCAAATTCATAAATATTGTCTTTTTAATCATCTAATTTTGCAAGTCTGGTTTTTAATCCATCTTACTCTTTTTTTATGTAGTCATCAGATTACTTAATCTTGATAAATTTTCTTTTAAGGTCTGCTCATCTAATCCTGTTGATTAATTCATTACTTCTAATATATTAATATCATTTTTAATTCAATATTAGATTATAAACATTTATTTAGATAATCATTACATACTATATTTTAAATATCCCATTTTATTATTTATTTTACATAATATATATTTATATAAGATAGTAGAATCATATAAGTAAAAAAATATATTGAATATATTCATAAGTAAATATATATATAAAAATGCTAGTTTCAAAAAAAAGATATTAATTTTTGTTAAAAATTATTTTATTCATAAAAATGTTTATTTCTTTTTTAAGAGGTGGAGGTTGTGCAGCCACAAAAGTTCCAAAGAATAATAAAAGTAATAATAAACAAGAGATGGAGAGAGGTCAATAAAAAGTATAGTTGACAAATAAAGAAAAAATGGCGAAATTGATATAATAACATAGTGAGATAATTGCTAAAAATGCAATAATAGCTCTGAGTGAGAAAAAGAAGCTTTAATCTAGTTTTTAATTCTTCTTAGATAATCAATAAGAATTATGGGAATTGATAGTTAATAAAGATGAAGGAAATTAAATTTTAGATGTTATATTAATAAATATTAAACCTTTGCTTGATGCTTTATAGATTTTGATAAAAGGATTTATAGAACATTCAGTTTATTTATCCTAAATAATCTCATTATTATCATGGATAGTATTTTGTTTCTACATAAATATTGGAAAAACAGATAGGTTTATGCCTAAAAAAGATCAACGTAAATATTTAGATGCTATTAATTAAATTAAATCTGAAATAGATATTGAAAAGAATATTGATAAATACTAAAATAATTTAGAATATGATCTTTATATAATAGAGTCAATATTTACGATACTTCCTACAGATGGTGATGAATTATAAGAAATAGCTAAGTAATTTTTTGTTGGAGCAGCTACTTCATTTTTATCATTTTCAATAGATCGTGAATTTTTAGAGAGTTTAAAGAATGGAGTAATTTATATCTATAATGAACATGATAAAGCATCAAGAAAGAAAATATTAAAGATAATATTTGGTTTATTATAACTTAAATATGAAATCGTAAGTATAATATAAGGAACATATAAAAATGAATAAAAAGATACTTATGCTTATTTAGATCAATTAAGTAATGTCTATAAAGAAATAGTAAGTAAATCATCTGATTGGTAAATCTGGTGTACTTGGACTAAAGTATTGTCATAATTGTTTTAATAAAAATTGATTCTTCCTTCTTCGAAAATATAATCTCTTAAAATTTCAGATTAACCATTTATACATAATAATGCAAATACATGTTGGTTAAATATAGATAGTAGATTAATTGAAAGTAATGCTACAGCTAAATTATTATTTGAAAATATTGCAGAATTATAAGAACTTGGTAGATTGTAATATTCTATTTTATATGGTTATTAATAAATGCCAAGTTTTGAATATTTATATTCTTCTAAACTTACTTAAGCTATCGAAAAAGAAAATTAAGATGCATTTTCATTTAATTTAAGCACAGTATCTATTATGTAGCATAATGCATAAGAAATTTAAAAAGCATAATAATAATTATAATAACATATTTAACTATTAAGTAAAACTAATAAGTCTAAAATTTAAGATATAAATAATAATTTATCTAAAGCTATTACTAATACTATTTAATTATTAGAATTCATTTATTCACTTCATGAAATTGAGAATCCTAATGAAAATGAATTAGAATCTCCTAAATAAATTATCAGTAAAAAAGATTAGCCAAAATAACAACCACCTGAAGAAATTTAATAAGAATCTGATAATAAAGAGAAAAGATGGTTTGAAGAAATTTATAAATTGAAAAAAAGTTATATCAAAACTTTTGTTTCCTTTTTTTTGAAAAAACTTATATATTGTTAAAGAGAAAATAATTAAATTGATGTTAAAATAAAAGAAGAATTTTAAAGAGATTTTTTATTTAAATAAGAAATTTATCAAGATTCAATTTTATAAGATATTAATTTTTAATTGAATATTTTATAATTACTTAAAGATGTAAAAGATAAAAAAAAAAAATATAAAAAAAAAAGTACAAGAACTGAATTTGAAATTCTTGTTAATAAATTTGAAGATGATGCATTTGAATTAATAAATCTTTAAGATTTATAGACAAGTCTTAAATATATTAGAATTAGGAATTCTAAATATCAGATGAATAATGATAAAGATTATTATTATGGATTTAAAGAAGGATAAAATTTACTTTAAGGAGGATCAGCATTTTTAAGATGGAATTTAAGATTACTAATTAAGATGAAATATTATATTTAGGAACTAGATTAATATAATGAAAAATCACCAACTTTACAAACAGATTAAATAATTAATTCCTTATAAATATTTTCAACTTAATTATCTTCAATTAAAAGTATTCAGAAATGCATTAAATTTTTTTATAGTAAATTTGAAGCTTGTATAAAATTTAAAGTAATAGGTAATGGTTAGAGGAAACGTAATGTTATTTATTAAATTGCTAAAAATATTACTTTAAAAAAGTTTGAGACTCTCAATATGGTGTATTAAATACATAAAGAAACAATAAGAAAAGTAAAAAATGAAGGTGTAATATATATATGTTAATCAATGTTTTAAGCTATTTAGAATGATCATGATAAGTTTTTAGATGATTTAATTTAAATTAAAAGAGCCATTTAAATGGTAATTGATATTTTAAAGGCTAATAAAAGCAATAAATAACTAGGAGATGAATTAGAATTATTTAAAGATAATAATAAAATTTAAGAATAAAATATAGATTATCCAGATAATCATGCTAAATGGTTAAAAAATAAAGAAAAATTATTTTAAATAACTAGTTATTATTAAAACTATTAAACAAGTTTTAAGAGTTGGTAATAGAAGAATTAAAATTTATAATAATCTAATATTTGGAAGGATATAGAAAAGAAATAAAAATTAATAAAAGATTATATATATAAGATTGAGTTAGCTTAATAATATAAAACAATTTAAGAGGATGATGATAATGTTAAAAAAGAATTATATGGTTAAGTAAATTAACATTTTCTAGAGTTATTATCATTAAATATTTAAAATGAAAAAGGCATATAAGAAATAGAAGGAAATGGAAATAATAAAATTGATGAAACGACTAAGTTTTTTGAAGAATTATTTGAGAAAATAAAAGAGATTGAACATTAGGTATAAATTTAATTTGATAATTTGAAATTCATTAATTAATAATAGGGAATATTTTATGGTTTAATTAATAATTCATAATTATTAAAAAGAGCAAATTCTTAATTTTAGAAAAAAATAGATTAAAATGAAGAAAAAATAAAAGAATTGATAGGAATATATGAAGAAAAGTTACCGAATGAAATATATGATTTTGGTAAATTAAAAGATATATTTAATAATTATAAATTAGTTTTGAATGCAAATTTAAAATCAGAAATATTTTTTATATTAACTTAGATATGGAAAAAGGAAGATGTAACATCAGATCCAAATTATTATGATTAATTTAAAGAAGCAGCAAGTGATTTAATAAATTAAAATAAATGGAGAATAAGATAATCATGTATATTTGAAATGTTATAATTTAAAACAAGTTGTTTAACATAAGCAACATCTGATTTAGCTCGTGGTTTAATAGTTAAATTTCAAATATATGAGACAGATAGAAGAAATAAATAATTATTAGATGATTAAGATTAAAATTAAGTTACTAATATGTTTTAATAATATTGGGCATCATAAGAAGAAGATGTCTAAAGTAAAATAAAATAAAAATTAGAAGAATTAAATGATATAGCATATAAAATAACAATAGAAACTAAATAATATGAAAAATTAAAATTTAAAAAAAGGTATGCAGAATTAGAAAGGGAAATTTAAGGAATTGTGAAGAATGCTGAAAGTTTAGGTAATTCTTTAGGAACTAGTTTATTGTTTTTTTAAGATATAAAAAGTGATTTAGTGAATATTTAATCTCAATTAAAAAGTTTATAAGGCTCAATAGATTAAATTTAAAAGGATATTCAATAATTGTAAGGAAGAACAATAAAAGATTTACTTATTATAAGAATGTAAAGAATATTATAATAAAGAATCATATTAAATTCTGAAAGTGTGTATATACCAATTAAAACTAAGGAAAAATAAGTATCTGAAAATTTAGAAGATGAGGAAACTCCATTATATACAGATGATTTATTTAGTAATGGAGAAATTAATGAATTTATATGGAAATAATAGAAATTGAGTTTGTTGATTCATGGATAAGCAGGATCTGGAAAAAGTACAGCTGCTAGAAAAATAGAAGAATTTTTATGGCTTTTATTTAAAAAGAATATGAATATAGCAGAATCTATTCCAATAATTCCTATCTTTATTTCCTTACCTTAATTGAAAGATCCTATTTCTATGGCAATGGAAGAAACTTTGAAATCAGATAACTATAGATTTAATGATAAATAAATTATTGAATTTAAAGAAGCTGTTGAATAAAATTAATTTAAATTAGTTATTATTATGGATAGCTATGATGAAATTAAATCTGAATTTACTAATAGAAATCTTATTCTCTCTAATAAATTGTATAAGTGGAGATGTTAATCAGATAATCTTAGATTTCCTAAAATTATAACTACATCAAGATCTGAAATGTTTGTAAATACTGACTATAGATAATGGTTCTTACCTGAATCTGAAAATCTTCAATTCTATAAAGAAATTAGATTATTAAATTTTACTAATCAATAAGTTAATACATATATTGAATATCATGTTATTTTGTCAGTCAAAAAAATTATAAAGGATTTCTTTTTTAATAATAAAGATAATAATGGATTTTTTGCATTTGAAGAATTATTTAATGAAGTCAATAAAGTTATTAATGATTAAGAATAATAATCTGATTCTCAAGATTAAATATTCTTATTATCAAAGAATCAAATTGAAAAAATTCTATCTCTATGTGAAAGTTTTGCAAGTGGAGACATAGCATTAACAATGTAATAATCCTTAGAAGAAATTAAGTCTAAAGAATTTTATTTTAAAAATATTAAATAAATGGATATAACATCCTTATTAGAAACACCTTTCATGATTGAAATTGTGGCATCTGTTTTACCTTAAATGATTAAACATAGATAAGAATTAAGTACTCTTAAAGAATCATTTCATAAAAAACTATTCTAATAATAAAAGTACAATTAAGAAGATGTATAAAAAGAATGGACAAAAATAGTCAGTCATGAGAAATTTTTAGAGGATTATGTAAAAGAACCAAATGATATTGAAAGGGAAAAAGTTCTACTTAATTATTTTGGTTAATAAGATGATTTTACAATTTTATAAAATGCACTTTAATTAGATCCTTTATGTTCTTATGATTTTTATGAGTAATTTTTTGGTTAATTCTTTAAGAGATAAATAAGTAAATTAAAGGAATCAGGTGAATCCTTAGCTTACATTTCAAATTTAGCTGATATTTGGGAATTTACTCATAGATTAGCTAATGATATGACTATTTCATAATTAAGTTAAGTCTAATATACACCAAGAATATTATTATTTCAAAAAAATAAGGATGCTGATTGGAGAGATGTATATTTTAATGATGAATTAGAATAAGGTTAAATAAAAAAACTGTTTAGAAAGATTATGCCTATAAGATAAAAATATGGAATCTATTCATTTAATCATAAATCATTATAAGAATTTTTGGTAGCAAAATGGTTGATCAATTCATTAGATTAATTTAATTAAGATTTATATCCTAAAAAAGTTTAAGATTTTACTGTAAAATAGATAAAAGATTTGAATACATAACTTGATGACTTATGTGTTCATAATTTATCAAAAGATTATATGAATGGTATTGTTAAATTTATGATTGAGAAATTAAGTAATAATTAATTCTTGTAATAAAAACTATTTGAGATTATTAATCTCTCTAAAATTATCAGTCTCTCTACAATTATTCCAAAAAAAGATTTTATAGGGGAAGATGATAAATTAAAAATGAGTTAGAGTATTAAAATTAAACGATCATAAACTCAAGTATTTGCTTCATAAAATATTTAAGAAAATTTATATTCAGTAGAAGAAAATGCATAAAGAATTATTTAAGCTAGTTCAAACAGTTTATATCTTCTTCATAAATTGAAATATTAATTTTAATAAGATCTTTCGGATATAGTTATTAATGATGTTGAATTAATAGATGCTAATCTTGTTAATGTTAAATTGTCTAAATCTAATTTCAGTAAAGTCAATATTTCATAATGTAATTTTAATTTTGCAGATCTTAGTAATGTTAAATGGAATTAGATATTAATTGATGAACTACCAAGTTTTTAAGTTGAGCATGAAGATGATGACTATAAAGAACTTGATGTGAACAAGCTATGTTTTTTCCATTACTATAAACCATAAGAATAAATAGTATTAATGATTAAAATTTCTCCCAAAAAGTAGAATCAAGATAAAAACTTGATTCTATGGTATGATTATAAAAATTAAACTTTAAATAAAAACAACGATCAAGATGAAATTTTTAATCCCAATTTAAATTAAATGTTTGTTTCTAAAAATTAATAGAAATATGCATTTTTTTATCAAAATTCAAAAAATTTTATTCAAATCAAAAATTCTAAAATTGAATTAGATCCTAAATTTATTTGTTAAATAGCGAATTTTACAAATAAAGATGATGAATTACTTGTTGTATCAGACTAAAATTAGATAAAGAGAATCAAAATAGATTCAAATGACAAAGATAACCTTATAATTGATAATCAAAATATAATCTAAAATACAGCGCCTGACGAGATAAATTAAATTGCAAGCAATTAGATTTATTTTATTTTTCTATCAAAGGAAAAGGTTTTTTTTGTTAAAAATGAAAGAATTTATAAATTCTACTACAAATGCTCACATAATAAATGTGAAGAAATTCGAAAACAAAATCGCTTTTCTGAATGTCTAGAAATAGTTAAATATACACTTATCGAAGTTAGTTAGAATTAAAATATTTTAGTATTAGGGTTTCTTGCTAAATTTAATAAATGTTAATTTTTACTTATAGAGGAATTATAAGTTGAAGAAGAAAAAAATTTGATTACAAATGGCAAATTTAAACTATTTGAATTAAAGGGGGAAGAACTCAAAGTTTAATTTGTTGATGATGACAAATATATCGTAACATTTTCTACTTATAATAACGTAACAACTATGAGCTTATGGAATTACAAAGAGAAATAATTATTGTCTTTTAATTTGTTAGATGATCGAATTAAATCAATTACTAAAATAACTGAATTATTAATTGCAACTATTAGTGTTTAATAGAAAAAAATTTAGATTTGGGATTTACAAGTTTTACTCAAATAATAAAACTCAAGTTCTTTATCAACAATTACATCCTGTATTTTTTCAAACAATAAAAATATTATTTCAGGAGATAACAATGGAATTATTTAAATTTGGGATACTGAAAAAGGAATGAAAATCGGAAAGGATTTATAACATAATAATGCATCTGTAACAGCACTAAGAACATTTACAAGAAAAATTTATAAAAAAACCCAATAAATTTTATTATCAGGAGATTCAAAGGGTTATATCAATGAATGGGATATAATAAAATAATAATTCCTTCAATCAATAAATATTATTAGTCCTATTAAATCTTTAGAAATTATAAAAAACAGTGAAGATAATATTCAGTTATTTACACATAGTTAGTAGAATCATTATTTATAATTATGGTCTAAAGATTATCAATCTTATTAATTATTTTCTAAATCGGACAAAGATTAAAAAAACTTACATTAAATTGAACAAACAAATATAACCTCTACAATAATTTTTTTAAAGGATAAATAAATTTCACCTAAAAAATGTGATGGTCTTTAAGCTTCTATAAATTGTACTGCATTTACTATCGGGAAATATACAAATGATTTATATTTTGCAGGGTATAAATTATAATAAAATATGGAATCTTAAAGTTACAATAATCTATTTATTAATGTATATAGAGAAGAATTTGACTAATAAACATCTAAATTTCAAGTTAAGTTTAGAGGAACTATTCAATTGAATGATAATTAATCTGATAAAGTTACTTCAATTATTAAAGAGATTAATTCATAAAGATTATTTGCAATTACTGAGTAATCTGTATATATCATTAAAATCTAAAATTTAACTATTGAGAAAAGATTTTATTACGATAAGATTGGTAAAATATTAGATATATAAATTGATGAAGATTTATTATTTATTTGTGGAAAAAGTGTTGAAATTTAAAATATTAGAACTGAAAAATAAATTCCAATTAATTAATAATAAATAGAAGGAGAATAATTTTGTAAACTTGCTTATTATCGATTTAAAAACATATTATTTATAGGTACAACTAGTGGTAAACTTATATTATATGATTTATTATGTTGTAATTCTAAAGTGCATTATTAATACTAAAAAGATGAAATAATATACTTATAGATTCATAAAAAATAAGTATAAACTGGCTAAGAAGATGTTCTTGTATCTGCAGGAAAGAATTCCTTAATACATTTTTGGTCTCTAAGTGATTAAGACTTATAATAATTGAAAGTTCTTGAATCTAAAAATATTTTGGAAAATTAAGAAATTAATAGATTATGGTATTTTGATCAACAGAATTTTATAATTTTTTAAAATTAAAACGGTTTTTTCATAGCAGATTACAATAACTTAAAATATTATGCTATTGCAAAATATCATCCATAAATCTTATGTGATTATAACTATTCATAATAAGTATTTTATTAATATGATGATAAAACACCTATTTTAACTAAAACTAGAGTTTTATAAGAAGCTCATAAAACTTATTTTTAAGAAAATAGTTCATATAAAGCTGAATATATGCTGAGGGATCATAAAAATAATTAAATTATTACTTCTGATGGAGATGCATAAATCATCTTTTGGAAAATTGGTGGTGATTATGAGATTTATTAGATAGAACCATTTAAAATTAAAAAACCATAATAGGTTTCTATTAGTTTATCTGAAAATGATTAAAAACTAATTTGTGGTTGTTATTGTTAAGAAGATGAATAATTTTAATTTTCTTTAATATCTCTTGAAAGTCATAAAACAGACCTAATAAATTTGAATAACGAAAGCTAAGATTTATTACAAGGTAATAAACTTATTTAATTGTAATTATTACATCCAAATTTATTATTGATTTTAACAGATAATAATATAAACATTTGCTTTATAGATAAAGAATAAATTTTATAGTAAATTAAAGATCCCTCAGGTAAATCTAAAGGACTAGCTGTGCTTTAAAATGAAGTATAAAATAAAGAATAAAATAAAGAATAAAAAGAAGTATTTATAACGTATGGAGAATTTAATTAACTTACTTACTATCAATCATTTGGTGAAAATGATTAATTTGCCTCCAAATTTAGATTCGGTTCAGCTATGAAAAAATTTTCTTGTGAATATGCAAATATCAAAAATTCTTAATTTACGTCAAAACATGGAATTAATTTAAAAAAAATTTTTGAACAAAAAAACAATTTTTATTGATTTAATCTAGGCTAAAAAAAATATATAATTGTTATTAGTTAAATATTATTTTTAATTATGTTGTTTTTTAATTGATTGGTTACTTTTTCTGCAATTTTTATAACTTTTAATATTTTTTAATAAATTATCTATCTTAATTAATATTTATAGTTTATTAAGTAAGTGTTAGGTTTTTTCGAAAATCTTTTCTATACAAAATAATTATAACATAGCTTTGTAAAATGATTTTATAATTTTTTCCACAAAATGAAACAATATCAAAAATAGATGAGGCATGTCAACTATTAAAATATATTAAATTTTATTCTATTTATCTACTTTTTCTAAAATAATTTAAGTTATTTATAAAGTGATAGCTTTTTTTTCAAATTCCAAATGATAATTATTGAAAAAGGTGTTTGTATATTGAAATGTCTTTTTTAGTTTAATTTGAATAACGGTAGTTCACAAAGCTGAAGGCTTAATATTTAAGAAACTTCATATTTTAAAGAATTATATAGTGATCCTTCAATTTTATAATGATCTTTTTTCATCTCATTTCAATTCTAAAATTACAATATATATTACAATTATAATTTATTTTCCAAACATTATATATCATTGTTTTTTTTTAAATATTTACGATTCAAGAATATATTGTTTTAAAAAAATAATAATAATATTAATAAAAATAATACTCATCAATTTGGTAAAAGGGATCAATTATAAAAAAATGCAAGGAAAAAGAATTGATTCTTTATTTGAATGCATGGATGAGGCTGCATATTTAGAATCTAATAAACCTCAACCTATTTAAAAGTATATAAAAAATTTAACTTTATTGATGTGTAATGAGCTTTATTAGGAATTTTAAAAAAAACCTACATGATTAATGTACAACTTCTAAAGAAAATTAGTAAATTGTATGAAATGAAAAAATAGCAGAAAAAGACTTTCTTATCTAAAAATCCTGATCTTTGAGAAAATTTGGTATTGGTATCACTAAAGGATTTGAATAATAAGTATAAGGTGCTACTTTGTTTCATTAATTTTGTTGTTATCAAATATTTTCTGAGGTGAAATTAAAACTAGAATGAAGGCTTGAATTTATAACTTGTAAATCGGACAAATGAAAATTTTACATTTAACTTATACTGCTGTTAGAATTAGTGTAAAATTTCAAGGTTTTGATGTTTTAGTTATAACATTTTTTAATTAATTTACAATATTTAATGAATAATGTTATAAATAAA